GTACCAGTGGGTGTACAGCACGTACTTTTCGCTATGGCGCGAAATCTACCTCGAGCCGCTAGACGAGGGGCCAGTAGCGCCGGATGCAACCGTCATGTACAGCCTATGGTGCATGGTCCCGTCGGTGCCGTCACTAGCGCTAGCACTGATCATCATCGCACTGGACACACTGGTCGTGCTGGTCGTGTTCGGAACGCGGCGGGGCCGGTTCCAGGGGCCACGGATCCCGCGATCGATCGGGGCGGTCCTCCCGTGGCTGGCACACAGCCGCATGATGGGCGATTTCCACGGGACATACACGTGGACCAGTGAGGCGCGCCGGACGCATCTGGATGGGCTGGACAAGCGGTACGGGTTCCGGCAGTTCACGGGAGTGGACGGACGGTGGCGGTATGCGGTGGACGAGGAAGACTGCCCGACGGAAGACAAGGCGGGTAAGACGGGGGTGATTGAGCTGCGTGAGATTCGGGAGCCGGACTCTCGTGAGCAGGATTCTCGTGAGCAGGACTCTCGGGGGCAGGACTCTCGGGGGCAGGATTCCCGTGGGCAGGACTCCGCTTGATGAATGATGTAGAATAATGTATATAGAATGTACATATAGACAAAAGGTTTATAAATCGTATTATACATCTACTCCAGCTTTGAACCGGGAGGCAATAGCTGTACATAGTGTACATAATAGATGATCCATACAATCGACCTACTATACGCCTATTCTAGGTTCTCAATCACAGGCACAAATCGATAGAAGTGGGACTAGCCACAGAATCTAACTTTCAATTCGCTATACACTTTCCAATTGTGAACCACAGGGAGGAAATACCTGTATCTAAAACAGTGCATACTAAACAAACCATACTCAATCCACTATAACACCTAGAATTTCCTCACCACACCGACCTCCCTCTTTATCCCGACTTGCGTCGCGACTCCCCCTTCGTGAACACATCCACCGACCCCGCGACATCCGGCTTCCCAGGCGTCAAATCCCCCTCCTGCTCAGGGCCCGTCCAGCGACCCGACGTACAATCCTCATCCAGCCGGTGACACCGGTCCTGCCAGATCTCACAGAGGACATTCCCCGTCGGCGGGGGCGTACTCCAGCAGACGTTGCTCTGACCCCAGCAGTTCTCAGAAGCCTCCCAGCACTGCTTCTCAGAAGAGTACTCCGGCACTTCGACGGCACACCAGTTATCCCGTTCAAGGACACACCCGGCAAGACGGAGTCCATTCTTCTGCTTGACAGGATCGCTCTTGACCCGGGCGGCGTCATCTTTCGGCCGAAACACAGGCGGACCAAACACGGGATACGTCTTCGGATCAGATTCATAGATATTGAACGTCAAGCCAGGGACCTCCAGATCATACGTCCCCTCGGAAATCGACACAGTCTCCGGCTGCTCGACAAGCACCCCATCATCACCCCCACCCTCCAAGTAAACCTGCGCACAGCCGACAAAAAACTGCGGATCCGGCGGACTCTTATCGGCATCATGAAGTGCCAAAATCTCCGTCCTAACCAGATAATCACCCGCCTCCAATCCCTCCGGAACGTCCACCGATAAGTACCCATTATTCTCAATCAGCATCTGCGTACACCACTGCTCGGACGCAGGGTCATAGTCCAGATCCCAGATCTTGAACCAGCCCGGACCGGCCGCGGCGTTGGCGCCCGAGGCGGCGGAGGCGGTTGCGTCCGCCACGCGCTTCATGTAGACGGCGCAGGGGCCGCGGTGCGAGGGGGCGATGGATCCGGATCGGGGGTCGTCTGCGTTTTGGCGGAATTCGAAGGTGAGTTTGGAGGAGGGTTTGATGCCGCACGTGCGGGACACGGGGGTCTCGCCGTTGTGGCCTTATCCTTTATGTCAGCTTGTTGAAATAGGAGAGAGGAAGAGAGGGAAAGGGTACCGCAAGCCATGAGGGAGCTGTCGATTGGGACAGGATCGCTAGATAGCTCGGCGACATTGTGCATGCGCACGCAGACACCATCGCCTTGGTTGACTCCGTCGACGAAGAGGTTGGTCATTGTCGTGTGGGCGGCGGCGAGGCTGGCCATGAGGCCGGGGAGGGCGTAGTGGGCTTTCATGGTGATGGTGTTGATTCATCTGATGATAGAGGGATGGATCTTGATATTTATACAATTGTCGTATAACTAATTACACGAGATGAGACTATTCTGACCGTTGTACTGATTACACTGTCCAACCTCATAAGATTGGACGGATGAAGCGCGTACACAAGCCACACCGACACGGCGGTTATCCGCTTTGGCTTGTTATAATCTCATGCCTCGTAGTCAAATAAGATACTCACATAGAGAAAACCCTGAGTATCAGATAGATTATATCACCCGATCTCCATATCAGACGAACATGATGTGTCGACACGGACCACTGCTTGACGGTCAGCCCTAAGTCCTGTCATTTGGGTGTGTTTCACAGTGAGACGCTCGGACTGACGGATATGTAGCTGTTCTGACCTGTATACTTTGACAGATATGAAGTTCATTGACGGGGTGTTGGCAGTTTCAAACTCATCCCGAGGTCATTATGGGGTCTAACGTCGGTTTGGGTTCTTCGTCTCAAGGCGATCTCGCTAGTTTATCCTACATTCGTGACCAACGCTAGTAATTCCACTTTGAGATCCCCAGGGGGCTGGAGATATGACATGCTGGAAGGAAAACTTAATATTGGTTTGTGTCGCAATATTACAAGAGATTACTACTTGGCTACCAAAATATCATGCACTTGCCCTTCGTAACCCTAAAATCAGTGCGATGTTTGTTAATTCTAGTACCTCAACACACCGCGTAACACCAGGGATATTCCTTCTCTATCTGCGTCGGGATCTCCCGAATCACACGAATAATACGACTGATCCGTCGCGGACGTGGTGGGCGGCAGTACCATAATGTCCAAACATACATGCTCTCTCGGCCATCTAGTCGCTGTCTTGTGGCCACAACAAATGCAGAAAATCTCTTCAACGGCATCACCTTCCTCCTCGTCTTCATTCCCTGAAAACATCTCTAAGCTCCTTGGCACTCTCCACAGTTGCCTCCCTCAGTGGGGAGGAGAGAATCGTACCCGCTGAATCCGTAGCCGACTGGTCCCGGGGCGTGGTCGAAGGTGTGTTAGAGAGGATTGGGAGGCAGTCCAAGACTAAAGTCCTTCCTGGCCAGTGACTTCAAAGTTGACTTCTCCAAGTAACCACCAGGAGAGGCCCAAAATTGGTCTTTCGCCTCGACCGCAGATGTACAAGCCGTATGATTGGCGCTTTTGCTCGTCTCAAAAAATTGAAACCAAGCTCCCCTCATTATATATTTATATTTCCTGGGGATCATTGTTTTAAGCCAATCCAGCAATGCCGTCCATCAGGACGTCGATGCGTTGACAGGGGCATGATTGTAGCAACGGTTGACGCGAGTCCACTAAACCATCCTGCATGATGGTTTTATTAGCTTGGCTTTCCCGATACCATTACTAGACAGCCACGAGTCCTTTTTGAAAATATGTCTGCAGGAGATGATCACCTGATTGGTAGTGCGCTACTGCCGTCATGGCGCCAATATTTGCGCGTTGACAAAGAGGGGCATATATCTCGTATGCCCGGATCACGTATATATAAAATCAAAGTGTCGGATCAACAGTTCCGAGCCCATGTAATACAACATGAAAGACACATGTTTGAGGACAAGGAGAAGTATGAGATGAATCAAAGGAAATGTGAATATGGAAGAATGGAATATATCATGTGGCTACTGGCTACTGGCTACTGGCTACTATAATACCTCTTCCGGAGAGGGAAAATGACAGGACAGGGTGTGTTTCAACTCTAACCTATATCACTTCTAGGTAGAGCCGAGTGATTGGATATGGACAATCACCGATTGTCTTCCTGCTATATTCTATGATGTTCATAAAGAAATGATACTGAGCCTCGTGTATCCTTTCAAATGCGTTGTCCACATTGCTCTGGAGACATGGGCAGCACTACAGATCCAATCAAGATCACAATCAACCGATCCTAAACCACAACATACGACTGCACCATATCGAGTAAAAGGGGCAACATAACAAAAGTTAGAAGAAGCAAGCTACCCAAAGAGAGATACATACAATACCTAGATGGTACTAGGATATCGCTAGTTTGTTTTGAATAATTCTTGTCAGATAACTCCTCTCCTGTATCATGATCTGCGTGCTAGGATGAACGAGACGGTATTGTTTTGTTGCTAGCATCTAGAGTATTCTTCTGATACGATTACCAGTTACTAGTGAACCAATGGTTTGGATTCTGGACTGCAGAATCCGGAGCCACATCACGCATTGACCTATTGGGGTATCATACAGAAGCCAATCCACGTTATCAGAACCTTTATAATATTGTACAAACAGGGTTGATTGAACATGCAATTGCTAGAAATCTGCCTACTTCCAAATATAATTGGTGGGGGCGCAGGATAAAAATTGTAGCAGGGTTGACTCGAGCATCAATCAAACCAAATTGATCAACCCTCGTGTCGAACATGGATCGCGACGGCTGTCCTCCGGGATATCGGACCAACGCTGGCTTAATTTGGGCTGGTCGGTCTGGTTGGTCTGGTTTCTGATTCACAGTAGCGTGACGAACCTATATAGGCTTAGGTGGGTACTTGGAAGGATCAGGCTGAGGAAGGGCTGATGGGGCGGAGGAGATGTGTGAATCGCGCACCAAGTTGGTTACATCGCGATAGTACAGTGTTCGGTTCAGACGTTGTGTAAAAGGTCTTCTTCTACTTTTTATCAACCAATGGATTGGGATATAAAAACACCCTGGGTTATGAGAATTGACACATATCTTGCTGGAACTTTGAGAAACACGCGACCCGCTGGGCATCTAGACCCCAAGTGGGGCCTGGATTTGGCGCCGTCTAGCGTGGAATATAACAGTTCTCTGCAAGACCAGGTGTTCGTTGCAAATTGCATAGTGACTTTTCTTTGACTCAAATACTCACAGAATCTCAATCATGACCCCTTTCCCCCATACATCGGTGATGGGTCCTGAACACTGCAATATGTTGTGGCCAGTATCAGAGAGAAGTGAACCAGGGAATTGGGGCTGTGCGGCGCCCCTCCACGCCAGGCGTTGACGGGTTGGTCCCCAGGGACTGAAGGATTCCAGCCCCCATGGCATCAATCCATTCACCTGCCGAATAACACCCTGATATGGCGTCGACCGGTCTGTATATATTGTATTGTGGTCCCCCGCGGTCGAGAAGCTCCTCAGCTTGAAGTCTTCTCCCACATCCAAGACGGGGTGCCACGCTCAACATGGCCTGGTCGATGCCCTCAAAGCGCTTCCCCTCGCTCTTGCTCTACCTGATCGGAGTGGTCGCGGTCGCCTTCGTCCTCTTTGCATACGCGACCTTCCCAAACCCCGCGCCGGCGGCCCCCCGCCGGACGCACCCTTATCTGGATGATATACGAAACGAGACCTTGGGAGTGAGTGACCCTACCCTGTATTATATCTTCAACTCACTCAAAGACAACATGACAGGTCGAGAAGATCTTCGCCATCAATCTCCCCTCCAGACCCGATAAGCGCGATAGCATCGTTCTCCGGTCATCCGTCCTGGGATTTCACGTCGACTGGATCGATGGTGTCACGCCAGACCAGCTCAATGCGCTGGCCTACCCTTATGTAAGTCCACAGGGCACGAGAGTCACAGATGTCCAAAGTCTCTAACGCGGACGATTCTCCAGAACTGGCATGACGACCTCACAGCGCGCGAATATGGCGCCCGACGCGCGCACGTGAACGCCCTACAGCAGTACGTTCGAAGTCTCCGGGTGAAACAACCGCCTGTTAACCAAACGCCAATAGCATCGTAGACGAGGGTATATCAAGCGCCATCATCATGGAAGATGACTCTGACTGGGACGTGACGATCAAAACCCAACTTCAAAGCATGGCCATTGCCCTGCGCGCCCTCCAAGGGACGAGCGCAGACGCGACATCTCCCTACGGTGAGAACTGGGACGTCATCTGGTTCGGCCACTGCGGGATAAACTGGCGACCGAACACCAGCTTCTTCGCCGCTTCTCACGACCCGACCGTCACACCGAAGCATCACTTCACGCCTGTATTCCGGGATTCGCCACCGATCAACCGAACCGAGGATACGCGTCTCGTCTTTGAGGCCGAGGATGGGGTGTGCTCTTTCTTTTACGCAGTGAGCAACAGCGCAGCGAGAAAGATGCTGTCTGCCCTGTCGGTCAGCCCCACCGGCATGAAAGAGGTCTTCGACTCGGGGGGCCAGCTAGACATTACGCTTGGTCGGATGTGCAGGGCAGATTATCTGAAATGCTATGCGCCGTTCCCGTCTCTGACTGGGCGACTGACGACATCGTCCGATATCAGGGACTCCGACCAAAGCGAGGACCAAGGTCGGGAAAGGAGCCGGACGCCGCCGGATAGTGCCAACGTGGTGTATAGCACTTTGTTGAACATCAATCGCATCATGGATGGCGAGTCGACCGTCCACGCGACGTGGGAGGATGTGCCCCTTCAGGAAATCAGACCCGGCAATGCTTCTGTCGTCGGGGGCACGTTGCAAATTCCTGAGGAGGGAGAAAAATGGCGGGGGGTTCCATTTTATCCGCCTTTGTGATGCATCTGCGCTTATGTGTACAGTACCATGTTTTTTATAGCGTTTCAACTCATTTTTTATTATTCCCTTGGGAAAAAAGAAGCCATTCCTCGGGGTGGGCTGTTCCTGATCATCACATAGTGCAAGAGAAACGACGTGTATCTCTAAACGTGAGAACCCAGAGTACTGTTACTGTACGTGCTGTAGTTCCGAGAGTGCACCCTCTATGTGTCGTATTGCCAGGCGATGAGCTCGATGTTCTGGTGCTTCTGATGTAGACATCGTGGTAGGGACATATCATAATATGGAGGTTGGGTCTCTGGGAAGCTTCGTGGCATATTCTTTCAAACAAGGGGATCGTATATTTAAGGGATATAGAGTCGATACCAGTTTGAATTTTTGTTTGATGTTTGCGAGCAGACGCGGTATGCCCAAAGTGGATAAGAGAGTTGATGGAAGTAGAAATAGAAACCAAACAAATCACTAGCATGGTACAGGAAATAAAAAGTCCAGGATAGGACCGATTTTATATAGGTGCTACAGCCGGCAGAGCAGTACACAATCACATTATACAATCTACGAGTTACTACATTGTCACTTGATAGCATTGCACGTTCGCTGAGTTGACTTTTCGCTGGATCTATACATCTATACAGTCAATGAACAGAACGATACAACCACTCTATAACCCTGTTCACAATCAAACCCTACTCTCCCTTCTTCTCACGCCCACAAAGACCCCCTCCGCCCCAGCCAGAACCTCCCCTGTCTGATCCACAACCTCCCCCAGCACGATCCACCTCCCCGCCCGCTCCTCCTTCACCCATGACTGCACAACGACAGCCCCAGGCGCCGGGACGGGCCGCCGATACCGTATATTCAACGACGAAGTCATACAGACCTCGCCTCGAAAAGCCATTAGTAACCCCATTACCGAATCTAACAAGCTAGCCACTACGCCTCCGTGCAGCACGCCCGGGTGGCCCGTGACATCTTCCCCCAAGGAGGCGAACAGACGCAGTTTCTCGGGTTGTCCTGTGGATGGAGAAGGGGGAGCAGGCAAACGACCTTGTAGAATACAGTGTGGGATCGCGTCGGGCGTGTTGAGAGCCTTGGAGAAGAGATTGTCGTTGGTGACGTCGGAGGGATCGAGAGGGCGTGAGGGGAGAGGGAAGGTCTCGTAGGAGGGGTTGGTGAGGAGGGCGGCGATCCAAGGGATTTGTTCGAGGGGCGTCATTTTTTTTTTTTTTTTTTTGATTTGTATGATATTGGCAGGGATATCTATGAATTGAATGGTCTATATTGTACAGAAGTGGCGACCAGGAGTAGCAAATAGACAATATATAGTGTATAAATACATGATGCGGGGTTACCGAGGTTCGGATCTGTCTATCACAGTCAGTCTACCCCAATCTATACAGACATTTTCTACTCACACCATTGACCACGTATACACAATGTAAACTAAACTTTACTCGCCCTGACCCGTACATACAGACACTCCCCCTCAGCCAACAATCTCCCTCCCTCATCCCGCACATCCGCTTCAACGACCCATTTCCTCGTACTGGGCTCACCCCCCTCCCTCAGCCACACATTGATAACCACATCCCCAGGGACCGGAACCGGTCTCTTGAACTTCGTATTCAAATAAGCCGTAACAGGCACCTCAGCCAATGCGCCGTCGCGCGACCGTTCTCCCGCCGGCCCTACTTCCCCGCGCACTCCCAGCAATAATCCCATACACTCGTCCAGTAAGCTGGCCGTGACGCCTCCGTGAAGCGTTCCAGGGTATCCAGTGATGTCTTCGGCGAGACGGACGAAGAGGCGGAGGCGTTTCACGTCCCCTGGATTTTCTCCAGAAGAGAGGTCCGGACGCTGGTACTGCATGATGCAAGCCGGGATGGTGGATGGGGTGTTGAGTGTTCGGGCGAAGAAATTGTCTTCGGTGGATGATTTGGGGACGCGCGAGGGCATGGGCGTCGTTATGTAGGTTTGGTCGGTTAGGAGGGTGGTTATCCAGGGGGTGGATTCGAGGGGTTCGTGGGGCGCCATCGCTGTTTCTGTGCTTTCTTTGGGGTCGAGGGTAATTGAGTATGTATTATCATAGGTTGTTGAGATATCATGTGCATATATGGAGAGTATAACGTAGAGTAGAAGTGGTGATGGCGTTTGTTTACCGTTGTATGGGCGTGCGGGGTTGATTGCCGAGGTTCTTTATTTGCTTGGTTGGACTCAATAGAGACAGATGGTACGAGTTGAAATTGAACCCAGAGTCAATTGTACAATGCAAACCTATACCTATAACAAACCATACCCTATAAACCAACCAGAAGCATGTAAAGCAAAATCAAACTAGAAATCAACCTAACAATCCTCACACATATCCCGCGACCGTACAGTATCATCCTGTGCATCCGTCCCCCTCACCCGCACCCAGTAATCGCACATCCCCGCATGCTCCACATGTCTCCACCGTCCGATATCACGGTTCGCCATCTGCCCCTGCTTCTCGGTGACCTTCTGCCCCAAACCCAAGTTATAAGGCCTATACTCGCGATCTCGACGGAGTCGCTCAATGACACTCCCGTGAATGCGCGCCCCCTCCGGCAGCGGCCGACGCAGACCGCGCGTATGCCAGCGCGTCATGGCCACCGACCCATCGGGGGTAATCTTCGGCCGTTTAAATGGGAAGAATTCCATGATGCGCCAAAACAGCGTCTCAAGCCCCTTGCCGCCGTCGTAGTCGAGCGAATCGTGCACCTCCGCCGCAGTCGCAGCCTGCACGATCTTCGGGTCGGCCCGCTGCGTCTGCGGGTCGAAGCACCCCAACCGCGCCAGCTGGTCCGGGTCAAAGGTCAGTCCTGCCAGGATCGCCTCCTGCACCATCCACATGAGCGGGATCTGGCTGGCGGGGACGTCTTCGGGGCCTTGCTGGCGGCTGTTGCTGCTGCTGGTGCGCTTGCGTTTGCGTCCTTCGCGCCCGTCGTCGGTGTCTTCGTCGGGCGCCCACCCGCCTCCAACGTCGGAGTGGTCGCCTGCGAAATACACCTCCTCGAAGTCGTCGTTCCGCTGGGAGGGTGAGAGCGTGCGGATGGGACTGTCGTGGCCGCAGGCCGAGACTCTGTCGCGGTCTTTGGCGGCGAGGGCTTCTTCCCCGTGCGCGGCCCACGTGCTGACCCGCTTGGGGGCGCGATTGGTATGTTTCTGGAGATGGGCGTCCCCGAAGAGCACAGGCTGAAACTTGATGCGACGCTCGTCGATGCTGACGGCGTGGCGCATGATGCGCGGGTTAGGCTGGATCTGCTGGTCCTTGGACTCGTCGCGGTTGAATTCCGCAACGCTGTTGACGGTGTCGAAGAGGCCTAGGAACTGCACAAAGCCAACAGAGCGACACATGGTGTCGCGCGAGATGCGGAGACAGCGTTCGGCTGCGCGACGCTCGGGACCCGGGTCGGCGAATTTCCACTGCGTGAAGGCTTCCCATACGAAGGGGATGAGCTCTTCGTTGTCGGCGGAGATGAGGCCCACGAAGTCGAGCATTTCGTTGAGGAAGCGTGCGGTGTAGGCGCCGCGCGAGAAGCCGAACAGGTAGATCTTGGCGCCGGGTTGCCAGCGGCGGGCGAGGAAGCGGTAGCCGCGGATGACGTGTTGGTCGAAGGAGGTGGCGAGGGCTTGGTCGAAGATTTTGTGAGTTGGGAGGTTGCTGAAGGGGCGGAAGGCGAGGTTGGCGAATGCGCCTGGGGTGATATCTGTTCCTATGCCGGCTGGAAACCCTTAGTAATTGATATGGTATTCGATGTAGGACATTTGAAAGGGAGGATCGAGAGCATACGCTGGTAGTAACAGTCTGAATGGGTTAGCATAGGTCGATCCATGAGGAGGAGATTGGGACGTACATCGTTTCTCCTTAGTACGGTCCAGCATACGGAAGATCTTGAGGATGTTGCTCTCTTCGCCATCGGCGCGGAATGTATTCCCAGTCCCATCGAAGCAGAGGACGAGCTCCCTACTCATGTCAGCAACGATTCCACCAAGAGCACCATAGAATATGGTCCTACCGCGTAGGAGGCATGTCTTCACAGTCACAAGGCCCAGCCATCGTGGGGTGGTCACAAAAAGGATTCATCGGGGGCAGAAGGTTTTAAGTTTCACGTCGGCTCGATTCTTAGTGGAGTTGAACAGATGGCCCGTGTCAGGACTATTGCGACTCCATGCAGATTGTAATTGCTGATCATGCGATGATATCAATAGATCCTGCATGGTGCAGACGATGCCTCTTATACCGGCCATCGTATATTGGACACACCGCACCGTTGAGGCTCAGCTCTGGGCAGGCCCCCCGGTCGTCATCTATATATATCAATGGATGCTGATTTTAATATATTTGCGTCGTGCCCTGCGATCAGGCTGAGGACTATGTCACCCTGAGGCACCCTGGCCAGGGTGAGACGACTAGCTCGACTCAGCCAACTGTGCCGTCTTGGGGGGCTTGTCGATCAGCCGCCGTAGACAAATCATAGACATTAGGGCCCCGTGCCGAGTCGCTGTACACGGCGGGGCATGCGAGTCATTTCCAAGGACCCATTCATTACTTAAGAGTTGCAATTATGTGACCATGACTTCAGCATTTGTGTTCTTGAGGACATCTCTGGTGTATCCGCGAACGGTCGATAGGCCAGTCAGTGTGCACACGGCAATAGTGTCTGCACGGAACACGGCCACCACAGACGTAGCCTGATCTATCAGCTCGACCGTCCCTCCTCGCATACTGCCAAGACACCCACTTGGCGCTCTGCATGGCCTCGCAGGAGCCACATCAGGTCGGACTATATACAGCTACTCAGAAATCACGGACGCACTCCCTCACAAATCAGAAAGGGAAACGGGTACCAGTCCCGCCGGGCCTCTGCTTCCCACTCCGCGATATTCTTGACCATCACCCAACCCGTGCGCACGTTCACCTGCGAGAACCCCACCTCCGTCAACAGCTCCGTCATCCAATCCCGCGGAATCCCATGCCGTTCGACACCGTCCAACTTGGATGGCGGATGGAACCACATACACTCGGGCCCGGCATCCTGATAGTCCGTCAGTAGGACGCGACCCCCTGGTTTCAGGCAGCCCATCATGGTCGTCAAGAGCGCCTTGACGTCCGGCACATGATGCAGGACCAGATGCGACAGGATCAGATCGAACTTGCGGCGGGCGCCAGAGCCGTCGGTACCCGCCGGTAGCGCCGGGTCCTCCGGGTCCTCGAGTAATTTGCAGATGGGGATGATATTGTGGGGCTGATCAGGCTGCGCGGTCTTGGCCGTCAGCATTTCGATCATGCCCGGTGCCGTGTCGACCGCGACGACCTCGTGCACCAGGGGTGCGACGAGGGTGCTGAGCAGGCCCGTGCCGCAGCCAATTTCGAGAACATCGACCGGGCTGTCTCTTGCCGCGATGTGAGCCTCGATGTGGGGAGTAAGCTTCTCGAAGGCGAGACTGGTGGCTTCTTGCACGAAGGGGTTGGAGTCCCAGTCTGCGGCCTCGGCGTTGAACCGGTCGGTCACGGTGGAGTTTTGCACGGCTTCGCTTGGCGGCAGATGCATTTTGCTATATCATATGATACAATGGTGTACCAACAGACAAGTGTGTGGGTGACAGGAGATGTGTGTAAACAGAAGATGGACGACCGAGGAAAAGCCCGGTTGCGGCAACTTCTCCGCAGTGCGGGGTCCATCTGTTTGGCCACACCCGCGTGGATCATTCATCATTTTCAACCGATAAATCTCTCTGTCTTTGATTTGACCCCATATGGATATCTCAAACACCGAATAACGGCCCACTTGCAGCGTACGAACACGCCATAACCCGGTCCGTCGAGTGAAGAAAAACCCGGGGAAATGCCTACCTTCCAGTCCACCACACTGGCCCTGGCCCTGATAGCCGCCAGCCACATCACCATCCGCTGCATCAGGCCGCCCAACGCCACGGCTCCAAGCCACCCCAAAAATAGACCGAGCGACAAGGGTGGTCAAGAGAAGCCACGCGACCGCATACGCTTCATAACGGGCTTATTGCCCCTGCTCGGAGCGCATATCTTGCGACTGGCCTTCTTCTATCAAGCGGTCACCGTGCTTCTCTGGACCACAAGCCCCACAGATACATCCTATCTATCGTACATCTGCCCGGGGAGGCAGAATCTCGATCCAGCCATCTTCACATGGTCACCAACTACTATCATCAGCTTACTCGCAATCGCCAGTGGAGGGGCCCTCCGTCTCTCTGCGTACGGTGGACTCGGCCCGAACTTCACGTTTCATCTCGCGCAGCCAGACCAGCTGATCACGGACGGCGTGTACGGCTACCTGCAGCATCCAAGCTACTCAGGGCTGGTGCTGATTGAGGCTGGGACCGTGCCGCTTATCCTGCGATGGGACGCGGCGGCAGCTGGGTGTTGGATGGAGGCGTGGATGCGGGAGACAGTGTCCGGGAAGGGGATGGTGCTGGTGTTGCTGGGGGTGGTTGTAACTGGTGTGTTTGTCACGGTGAGGGTCAGCGACGAGGAGAGGATGTTGAGGGGGCGGTTCGGAAAGGTCTGGGAGGATTGGCACAGAAGGACGGCGAAGTTTGTTCCGGGGTTGTGGTGATGACTTTGTTTTAACTCATGATGATGGTGTGTATTTGTCTGGATTTGTATGTTTTGGATGAATAAATTGTAGGCAGAATGGCTGCTCATGATGCACGATAATAATGGGGTCTGATTAGATCTCAAGACCGCTACGCCAAAACGTTGACCAACGTTTGGTATAGGGCTTAACCTGACTGATATACCCAACATTAGATGGCAAAGCGTGTTAGGCAGGATGACGATAATATTGTTGTTGATGATCTCGATCTTTTTGTGACTGGTAGGCCTTTTGCTTGAGACCCACACATTCCTTTGATCCGATCATTATCCACCAAAGATGGATGGTGTATTACAACAACAGCCTAAAACTGCTCGAGCAAGGAGTGCGAAAGATCTGCCGTCGATACTAGTAGGCATTTCTGCTGTGACAAAACGCGACAATGAAAGTGGCGAGCTGAGCATTGTGATATTATTCACTCTCACGATTTTGTCTCTCCATCTTCGTCTTCTCGTGGACCCATCGATATCCTAGGCACTTATTAGATATGCAGTACAGGCCGTGGATGCAAGATATACAGCTAGCTGAAAACTTGGGCGACAAGTAATCCACATCTCGACTGTCGCATTGCACCGCCTCTTCCGCGGGGAGAGGGGCGGCTTAGCATGATTTTATTTACCGCCACGTCCCCCAGCATGAAGACATCTAATCAACATTTTCGCTTCCAATACCTAAGGAATAATATCTAGTTCGAAACCCCATTGTTGCATTGTCGTCAGAATATTCGCAGGCATGATAAGGTATTGGTCCGTTGTCAACGTCAATCTGCAGTCAATCGCTTACCGATATGCCAGTAGTGGGACACTCACAGAAAACGACTATCAGGTGGGCTGGATTTGCGCGCTTCCCCTCGAAGCTGCGGCTGCCACAGCGCTCTTGGATGAAGAGCATCCCCCCCTTGACCAGGATCCTAGAGACACAAATGCATATACACTTGGTCGGATTGGCCGGCATAATGTGGTCATCGGCTGCCTTCCACTGGGAACAGTTGGAGAAAGTCCAGCGACGGCAGTCGCCAAAGATATGCTGCGGAGCTTCCCCAACATGAAAACTGGCTTGATGGTGGGAATCGGGGGGGGCGCACCGGGCCCACCAAACGACGACCCGGAGGAAGATATTAGACTAGGTGATATTGCCGTGAGCAAGCCGGGTCCTGGCCACGGTGCGTCGTTAATTTCACGTACCACCACGCGACACTAATTCCCATAGGTGGTGTCGTCCAGTATGACTACGGGAAAACATTATCTGAAGGAAACTTTATGAATGTTGGTTATTTAAATCGCCCACCAAATGTGCTTCTGTCTGCGCTCACAAAGCTTGTTTCACGTCATGAGCTTGAAGGATCTACCGTTCCACGGCATTTGGATGAAATGAGAACCAGGTACCCAAGAAGGACTCAGGACTGGCAATATCAAGGAGCTGAGAATGATCATTTGTACGTCGAGAACTTCCCGCACGTTGATATCAGCCGCTCCTGCAAAGACCTTCACTGCCCTGATGACAACGGGCGACTGGTGGCCCGTAAGCCTAGGGCCACGGAAGACCCTGTCATACACTGTGGTTTGATTGCGTCCGGCAATCAAGTGATGAGGGATAGCGTAACCCGCGAGAAGCTGCGAAAGAAACATGGTGTGCTTTGTTTCGAGATGGAGGCCGCTGGCCTAAACAACAATTTCCCGTGCCTTGTGATTCGTGGTATCTGTGACTACTCCGACTCTCACAAGTCTAAGCGATGGCAGCCGTATGCTGCGGCAGTCAGTGCTGCATTCGCTAAAGAGCTTCTTCAGATAATCCCAGTTTCCCAGCTAGACAGAGCGGAAAGGGTGGAGTTCATCACCGGGAAAAGTCAGTCTTCATGATCGATGCGCACCTTAACCCGCTAACTCCTCACTTCTTCTGCTATAGTGGACGACGAATTTGGAAGACTCAACGATAGTATTAAACCTCTCCTGCAAACCCAGGATCGCGAACAACACCAAAGAACCCTGAACTGGCTGTCCCCAAGCTATTATCTATCACAGCATGAGGACGCACAACGGACTATCGACCAAGGATCGGGAAAAAGTTTCATGGAAGATAACCGATTTACAGAATGGATACGCGGCAGTAAAGCCGTGCAAAGTCTTTTCTGCCCGGGGTTACCGGGTGCTGGCAAGACTTCCATGGCATCACTTGTGATAAACAGACTCTGCCGGGGTCGACAAAAGACGAACTATACCCTTGCATTTGTCTATTTTAACTTCAATTTACAAGCCGAACAAACGTTGGTAAACGTTCTCCGATCCGTTTTGCGACAGTTGATTGAGGTCCTTCCGTCGATCCCCGATCGGATCACAGAGCTCTGTCATGCTCGCCGGCAAGTATCCCCCCATGAGACCGTTCAACTACTATGCTGTGTCATAGAGCAGTCTAACCACCCGTTCGTGATCATTGATGCCCTCGACGAATGCGCATCCGAATGCTTCCACGAATTGATTCAGGTTATCCGACGGCTGCAACACATGGGAGTTCGCTTCCTGCTGACTTCGCGCCACATCGATACCATTGCAAAGGAGTTCAGAGACATGCCGAATTGCCACTGTTTGGAAGTTCGAGCAGTCGAGAAAGACATGGAGGCATCCATTGATCGCAACTTCGACTTTTCGTCATTTTACCGAATACCCGATGAATTACCCGAGATAGATTATTTTAGAAGGACAATTGTTGATGCCGCGCAGGGGATGTAAGGGACCATATCCAGACCGGGCTTACATGTCCAAGCTCACACCTCTAGGTTCATTCTCGTTCGACTCTATGTTAACATTTTGAAGCGCAAGTGTACGAGAGGCGAAATACAAGAGGAGTTGGACAACATAGCGAATGGTCGATCCGAGGATCCAATCCAAGAGGCGTACCAGAAAACGTTGCGGATGATAGAGAACGCAGGCCACAGTGAGTGGGCCTTCCGTGTTATAAGCTGGGTATTCCATGCTCAGAGACATCTGAGCCCCATGGAACTCAGAGAGGCTCTAGCGGCCCAGACCCAGCGAGATGGCACTTGCCTTGACCTGAATTACGCGCCGCCAGATATCACGACAGTTGTCTCTTATTGTTCAGGCATCATAACCTTGAGTCCAAGTACCGGCTTCATTGAATTCGTCCATTTCACTGCTTTTCAGTATTTTGAGAAATACCACCAGCAGCATCCCTGGATGAGCTCTGGCAGAGAGATATCATTGGCTTGTCTCAGGTACCTGTCGTTCGATGTTTTTGCCACAACACCAAGCTGTGCCTTCTTCCTCGACTATGCGGTTCGTTTTTGGGCGGAACACACCAAGCCAGTACAAGGCGATCAGAAAGTGCGCGAGTATGCCATGCACTTTCTTCGAGCCAAATCGTTGACCGCCGCCGCGGATCGAATGTTTCCTATCGACGACCCCTGTTACATAACATTGTCGCTCGTAGACGACCTCGATGGACCCGGTGCAACTGGGCTTCACCTAGCTGCACGGTTCGGCCTCGCTATACAAGTCCGAGACTTGCTAGACGGGATACCGGCTGCCGAAATCAATGGCCAAGATTCTAGTGGTCAGACACCCCTTCTGCTTGCGGTAAAAAGTGGATGCCAGGATGCTATCAACATTCTTCTCGAAAATCCAAACATAACACCGGACGCCCTTGACATCCATGGCCGGTCGCCGCTATCGATTGCGGCGCAATTGGGACTCACCGGAGTGACTAAAAGTCTCCTGTCGACTGGCAAGGTTGACCCCAACCTGCCGGCCTGGGATGGCTGGACGCCCATCATGTATGCTGCTCGGAATAATCGTCTAGAGATACTGGAGCTGTTATTGGAAGTGGATGGTGCCAACCCCAACTGGATGAGCCCCGATGGCGACACAGCCCTTACGTTGGCAGTGGAGATGGGATTTGCCGAGACGGTGGGGCTGCTTTTGGAGCGTGGGGGGGTGGGAGCTAACCTGTCCGATGTGAGCACCAAACGCGCGTTTAAACTTGCTCTGGAAGATGGAAATAAGGCTGTGATGCATGAACTGCTTCAGAATGGCTTCGAATCGGCGCTGGAGTGGTCGGTGCTGCCACGGACCGCCGGGTCCCAAAACGTGTCCCCTTTGTTGATGAAAGACAACAGCACACTGGACATCAGCCACGTGTTATTGCTAGCGGTGCAAAAGGGCCTTACCGACGTGGTTACGATCCTCCTGCGAAGGAATTTCGATATTGACCGGGTTTATTATGGTGGGAAAAGTATGCTCATGGTTGCTGTGGAGAATAGACAAAAAGACGTCGTGGAAACCTTGCTGCGGGCCGGCTCCGCTCGTACTGATACAATGACGAAGCGCGGAGATACTGCTTTATTCCTGGCCGTTGTCAGAGGAGATGCCGATATCGTTCGGATTCTTCTGGAAATTGGCGGAGCCAATCCGAATGCAGGCTGCAGTAAGACTTTCCACCCGTGTGGGTCATCTATTCTTGACTCAAGTTTCTTACTCAATGTGTTACAGACGATCCATATAAGTACCCATTACCCGTGGCGGTCGAAAACAATCACGAAGAAATAATCCAATTACTACTCACGACCAGTAACATCAACCCCAACCCCGGGCTTCAGGCAGCGATAACAACCAAGCAAATGCCAATGATACGCATGTTTCTCAATTTGCCAAACGTGAATCCTAATGTACACGACAGACTTGCCGGCCAGACTGTTTTGATGACCGCAATACGGCAGGGAGACATGGAGATGGTTCGCTGGCTCCTGGAGAAGAATATGGTCGACATAAATGCACGTAACTCGGCGGGCGAAACTGCTCTTATGCGTGCTGTCACGATGTATGATCTGGAGACCGTCAGGCTTCTCGTTGAAGTGTATGGGGCAGATATCACCGCGCGGACGAAGTACGGTGCTACCGCTCTGGATTGGGCTGAGAGATATCGCTGGACTATCGACGAAGTGATCAGGTTACTTTCCCCCAAGAGAGTGCGTGTTGCTTGAATGAACAATCTCTATCATTTCACCGTGTACTTTCCCTATTTTCTCAGTCGGTTGAGACTGGAATCACATTGTCTACGTCAAGATAGAAACCCGACCTTCTTATCCCTCTTGCTGTGGGTCTAGAGAGTGATAACCATACCTGGCAGTGTCACCGTGAAACTAGCCGTTCTCAGCCAGAAACTGAGATTTTTTTTGTTTTGTCAAACCAACTACACTGGCATTCTCACACGAATCTGGCTGATCGAAGGCCCACGGTCGGCCAAATTGTATTCTACTGCACTGCTGGCGAGAAAACCACTTTTTGGGGGATTTTTTCCAGTGGAATGCCTGTAACCTACTGCGGGAATGCCCACAAGAGGGCGACTCAGCGGATGTGCTGTAGCTGAACATTTACTTGGTGGGGCTTAATATAGAGGTGGGGAGATCCATATGGTATGAGCAAATTGATAAGCAAACACGGTGTGCAAGCCAATTTCGAAGGTCTGTTGGTTGGAAATTGTCTAGACGAGGTGTGGAAAGCATCCAATACATCAATAGTACTCACGGGTGGGGGATATTTTTAGTTTCTATGGGGTCACTGGATTTGTTGCTTGCCTGGATAACAGAAACACACGGCGTAGACTCGTCTCGAGATGTTCATGTGCTGTCTTCCATAATTTCCGTCTTAATCCCGGTCCCAAACTCCGGGACTTGAGCGATAAAAAGCCTCACAGATCTGAGAGCATAGTTTCCTGGGCGGGGGATATCACCCGTTTTGACATCTAGGATAGCATGGATGGGACTTGTGGTTGGGCTGACAGACAGCTGACGTGAGAGCTAACCTGCCAATCTATCTTGGCTGTCAGTAATCATGAAACCCCGCAACTAACCCCGTGTAGAAAGTGATTCACCACCCACCTGTGTTGATGCTTACGGATCACGACCCCGAATAATCCGTATATATCCCACGACATCCCCCAGCCTATCCATACCACTTGGCAACTATCCTCAGTCCCACTCACCATGACCGCATCCAAGACCGGGTCCTGCCTCTGCGGCGCTGTCAAATACACCATCACCGGTGTACCGGAGCACTTCTACCTCTGTCACTGCATCAGCTGCCAAAAGGCAACGGGTTCGGTCTTCGGGGCAAACTGCTGGTACAAGAAGTCGGTAAGACCTGCCTTTCATTCTTCATAGAAAAGACTTTAGAGTCAAATTGCTAACAAGCAACACCAGGAATTGCAAATCACCCAAGGTAACCACTCAATCACGACGTACCAGGACAAAAGCCCGGAATCGGGCAATCCCCTGCAACGCTCGTTCTGCACCACGTGCGGCTCCAACCTATTCATAAGCAACGATACTATGGACAAGCTGGGGGCTGTGTCCGTGACGAGCGGGACAATCGACGATCAGTCGGGTCTGCGCCCGACGTTGGAAGTCTGGGGGCGAGGACGAAGGGAGTGGTTGAATCCTGTTGAGGGTGTTGATGGGAAGGATACGCAGTGATCTTGGTTGGAATTAGCTTTGGCCTGTGTTGCTGTGTCGACTTTTGTAAGGGTCAATAATTAGTGGGAATAGGGTTAGTCACTGCGAATATGGTTCAAAACGCTTATGGAGATTGGCGGCGTCTAAACAGTGTCGGGATCCTCAATTTCGAGTTGTTTTATTGGTCTCTCTAGATGTGGGTGTAGCAGAGATGGCAGATTAATATGTCTCCTTCAACTTCAAGTGGGTTCCATCGGTGGATTGGCAGCTGCTTGCGACCAGTTGTTGTGCTTGTCTCTTCTTCTCTATAGCCTGGATGCTGGGACAGAAATTCACTTCTGTCAGTGCCTGAAAAAAGTCATCAAGAGTGGGTCTCATGGAGTAGTAGATCTACTAGTACATTTCTCCCGACACATGTTTTGACTTCTTGGAAACCCTGTATCTAGCCCTGACGTCATTACATTCCTGTAGCTGTTGTTTGTCTACAGATCTCCAATGTAGCTCTTTCAAGTCACAGCGATTCTAAGCTATATATTGTTAGCAATTTGAAAAAATGTCCTGCTCAGTGGTGGTTAAAAAACATGAATATACAGAGCAACCTCTTAATCAGGAGCCTCCCACGAAAGCCTTGATTGACCAGTATGTATAATGCTCGGAATATTAGGTTGAACCCATTGAACAGTCCGACATCCAGTCGACTCACCAATATAAAGCCATCACTGATGTTTATTTAACACTCCAGTTTCCTTACGCCCCAAGACATCAGCTACGACCGCAACCACGGCCCAATCCCACCCGTATCCGAAGAGAAGCACACCATCGGAATCGGCGGCGTGGGACTCCATTCCCTTGAACTCACAGTAGACCAGCTACGTTCCAAATTCAGTCAACACACGGTCACCTGTGCGCTGCAATGCGCAGGCAATCGGCGACACACGATGCGCACGCTCTTGAAGGAAGTCCAGGGAATTGATTGGGGCGACGCAGCCGTCATGAACTGCAAATGGAAGGGACCTCGTCTTCGAGACGTTCTGCTGCGGGCCGGTCTGAGAAATATTCCCAACAATACTGATCGCCAGCTATACGTGGCGTTTTCGTGCTACAAAGTGGAATGTCAAGATGACGACTTTTTCGAAGCCAGCGTACCGTTGGAGAAGTGCTTGGAGGAGGACCGGGATGCTATTTTGGCACTGGAGGTGCGTAGTAGCTGTTTCTTCCACCCTCCCAAGGCTATTGCTCACGATTGACTAGGTAAATGATTCCCCCCTTACTGCAAATCATGGCTATCCAGTCCGAGTGGTCCTACCGGGTATAGTGGGTGTGCGATGGGTAAAGTGGCTCGAGCGCATCACCATCCAAGATCACGAGTCACCCAACGTGTACCAACAGCGCGACTACAAAGTCCTTCCACCGGATGCGACGGACAGCGAGTCCGCGGAGCAATACTGGGGCTGCACGCCTCCGATGTACGATTTGCCCATCAACTCTGTTGTTGCCGTTCCGAGCGACGGGGAAACCGTGTCGGCACCACCTAGTGGCACGGTGGAGGTCAAAGGGTATGCCATTCCAGGGGGTGCAAATGGGCCTGTTATCCGGGTCGAGGTGTCTGGAGACGGTGGAAAATCGTGGGTACAAGCGGAGTTGAACGAATCGAGTCGCAGTTCGAAGTGGTGTTGGGTGCTATGGAGAGCTAGTGTGAAAATGACACTCGGTACAAAAGTCGACATTTTGAGTCGCGCGACGGATGCAGGTGGGAATTCCCAGAAGGAGCACTCGCAGTGGAATCTTCGAGGGGTTGGTTACTCTGGTTATGGCCGAGCGAAGGACCTGACTATCGTGTGAATGTCATTCTCTAGATAAAGGGGATTCCCCCTAATACCCGTTTACAGATGGAGCAAGTCCTCTAACTGTATGAAGGGGGCTGGTTTAGGATCTCGTGTCTTTTCCCCTAAATATCAGGTACTAGTAGAGACTGGACCAGGAAAGGCATAGGCAGAATATGGCCAGTGGACCGACCAGTCACTCTCAAGACCGCTACGCCAAAACGTTGACCAACGTTTGGTATAGGGCTTAACCTGGCTGATATACCAAACAGTTACTTACTGCCTTGCCACCGAGGAAGGAAAGCAACTAAGTATTCCCAGAAATCCCGCTGATTGGCAAATTCTCCAAGCCACAGAATCATGAGATAACTGTGTTACAAGCCCTGATAACACTGTTTCATCAGCCATCCTTTCCGGTCGTGACAGACATGGCCATGCATATTTTATTCACCCATTGCACACTAGCTCCTTACTCCACAAAACTGACTTTGAAGTATCAATGGTTATTGGTGCAGGTCTTTACGCAAGGATGATGCGTGTTGACATATGCTGTGTCAATGTCTTTGCCTGATAGGCATGTCAGTCACTTTATCAAAATATAAAAACTAGCCTTGACTCCCATTACATTCAGCCAATCTTCGTTGTCACCGACCTTCTACTTCCTTTTCTAGTACAACATCCTAGTTGAAGCAATCCACCAAGATGTCCCACCGAATTGATAGAGAAGCCCAAGACTTTTACGAGAGCCAGAATGATCCATCCCCGGTCTCCAGCCGTTTTGCAGACGACACCTACACTGGAGAGCCCCGACAAGCCCTGAAGGACAGAATTCCCGTCCAAACGGACGAGGATATCGAAGATAGTCCGATGCAGCCACCTTTCTCCAACACCAACGACCAGTTGGGTATGTTTTAGGTCATCGATATGTAACAAGTTAAGAAGCTGACTAGTGTCTCACAGCGCTGGACGAAGATGAAGCTATTCAGAGCTCGAATATCATTTCTGGCGACCCGCTCCGTCATGCGAAGCCTCAGAGCTCCACTAAGTATAGTGAGGGGCCAGACGAGGATGAACTGCCCGAGGATGTTTTGAGTGCTAGATATTAATCGAGGCCGTTTTCTGGGCTTGGTCCTGTCTATGGAAGGGAGACCATATCGTGTGTTGTTCGTTAATTTGAATTGTATTATCCAATAACCTGATCAACGTAACTATAAGACCAACCATTTCATATAAATTGTATGATGCTTTTCTGTTTTTTTTTTTTGGTAGTCGAGGATCGAGAACTGTAACTCCGGAGAGGCTTGAGGACTAGGTCCTGTTCAGTCTGGTTGTTCCATGAGACACGGTATAACTAGGTTTGTGCTATGGAAGCTCCATTTCAAGGGAAGTCTTCTCAGTGATGCAAAGAGAGATCCCCAACTCGTTGCCATTCTAGAGCTGTTGCAAGGGAAATCCAAAGAGTATTCAAACTTAGATACCTTCCCTTTCGGACGATCAATCGTGATTTGGTGTCACCCTTGAGAACAGACATGGTGCAACTCGACAGCAATCACACCTGCACTACGTCAGGGTGCCTACACTTGGTGGGCCTGCAAATCGGAACCTGTCTCTGTAAGACTACGCGCATGTTTTAGTACCCCGTATTAGCTGCTAATGTGTGAAGAGCGTTGGGGAATACTAAAGTCTCCCAATGCCATCCGAAATCGCTTTTGGTTGATGGTCTATAAACCAGCCCTATCAATATTAAAGTCAACCAAGCCTCAATATACTTCAACCTTTCCATCAGTTTGAACCCCAAATCCAGGTAACTCTTTAACGACTGTTGAGGTGAGGAAAACACACGGTCCATCTTGGCGTGCCATATCCTTCCAAAAGCAGGCATAGAAGTAATGACTGCCTTTGCAAAATATCACCGGAACCCCAAAACCCAAATCCATCCTGGCCCGCACGCGAAAATAGATATCTATACAGAGATACATTTCCCCGAGCCCATGTTAGTCAGGGGCTTTCGGCTGTTGCGGAGTAATGTACTCTCAATGATCCCTGCCATCAGCTGCTCAAAGGAAATCCCGTTGATCTGAGCGCTGGCAGGCAACGGAGAATGACCTGGCAGCATGCCGGAGATGGGATTGACCTGTATTTCACGTCAGCCCTGCCCACAAGAAATGATGACCGTGGATCTGACCTCCATAATCTGCGCAGTGGAGCCCGGCTCGTTGCTATCAAATCGGATATCCACCCGTCCAGCATCCCTGCATCCAAGCAGAGTCCAAGCGTCGAGCGCCAGAAGACAGGCAGTTTGAACCTGGGGATCGATCGTCTCGCTCAGTTTGTAATCCTTAATGACCAATCCGCAGTCTGTGCTGGACTTGCTTTGCCAGCTGGAAAAGTCCTGCCTACTATCCCCATTGGTCAACCCATCGTGGCTGGGCTTGGATGGGTCCTCCCAGACATGTTCCCTCACGCCAATCACCCGGCTGAGCTCACCGGTGCCGAGGAGACTGACGGTAAACTCCCGACCAGCCAGGAAGGACTCGACCAGAATCGGCTGGTCCGGGAAGTCCGACCGCAGGTTCTCCACGGCCTTTGTCAGCTCCGCACTGGAGTTGACCTTATTAAACGAGTCGATCCCCTTCGATGACCCTTCCGTGCCCAACTTGACAAACAGCGGATAGTCAAGGTGCTTGGAATCCTGCACCAAGTCACCAAAATCGCGCTGGTGGGGGGAGATGACCGTGAAAGGTGCATTGGGGACACTGCAATGGTCCAGTACGGTCTATTCCCGCGAAAGGAATTAGTCACCGGGACGACCGTAGCCACGAAGACATCGTACCTTCGTGTTGATCTTGTTCTGGCACAACGCCATGGTAGCGGCATCCGCGAAGGTGTATGGGATCTGATAGGCGTCCAGCAGGGCTGGGACCTGCGCTTCACGTGCGGATCCATAGAAACCTTGTGACATGTTGAACACTAAATCCCACTCCTTGTTTCTGTTGATCGCGAGAGCCTGGACGAGAGAGGAAATTCCAGGGAGCTGCACAACAGTATGGCCGAGTCTCGTCAGCGCCGCCACGACCTCGTCCACTTCACCGTCATGGGTGAGAGCGGCACATTCCTGCTGTGACTGTCCATCCGCTAGGTAAGCTGATCGCCGTTCAGCGACGAGAGCTATGGTAAGGGCAGGCATGGCTTCAACGGAATAGGATACAGCCAGGGGATACAGAAAACAATTGATAGTCCAGTCCCAAGGACGTTCTCAGGGTCAGTATTTGACACCTGATATCAATAGGGCAACCAGCGGGCCTGAGCCTCAACTTGGTCTTCTTCCCACGCCACCCCTATATATTGCGCGAATTCAGGGAATCGCACCCGAAGTCGCCATCTCAGTCACGTCACGATGATGGAAGCGGTGAGTTCCATCAGTAATCTAGAACTTTTGGCCCTGACCGACCAGGTGTGGTTGGATGACAGTCGAGATTCAGCTGCGCCGAAGTGGGTTCCTCGGCCGACCATGACATCATCATCGACTTCATCAAGTTTACACTCCCACGCCATCACCCCAGCCAGGATTTTCGTATAGAAACCATTCGCCCGGAAGCATACCAGGGGGGCTAGACCTAACGACTGATTCTATTCTGAAGGTTATGCGATGCTTTCACACGATTCGTCGGAGTCAACGGCGTCGGACCACGGCAATGTCGATATCTTAATCGTTGGAGCAGGACCAGCGGGGCTCATGGCCGCATGCTGTGCCGCACGGTACACTCGGTCCATCCGAATTATTGATCTGAAAGAGAGCCGTACGAAAACGGGGCATGGGGATGGCTTTCAGAGCCGGACGCTGGAGATCCTAGACAGTTTTGGCCTGGCCCAGGAGATACTGACGCAGAGCATGCCCGATATGGAGGGCTCTTATTGGGTCGGTCCAAAGTCTACCAGGCACCATGATTCGTCGTTTGGCTAACTTAACGTAGGCGGCCAAGAAAGACCGCGGACATATCCAGCGCGTGGGAATAGAGCCAGCCGGCAACGGGCATAAATCAAGGTTTCCAAAGGCGTTGCTCAACCAGGGGGCAACGGAACAGATCCTTCTAGACTACTTATATCGAGAGCATGAGATTCGTGTGGAGAGATTGAAGTTGGCCGAGACCTTGCACATTCGTGACGTGGCTGATGCAGCCTTCCCCGTATCTGTGGGCGTCCTGCATGTGATAGATAATGGTAACTGGTTCCCCCCTCATGGAAACAATGTCTGACCCAACGAACAGACCGCGATTGCGCCAATGAGCGGGAAACTGTCAATGCACGGTATCTTGTTGCATGTGATGGCGCACACAGCTGGACCAGAGAGCAGCTGGAGGTTCCCACGGAGGGGGACCCCTCCGGGTCAACCTGGGGCGTGTTCGATATAGTTCCCATCTCGAATTTTCGTATGTCGTCTTTTATATGGGTTGTGTATCGTGATCGCTGACAGACTTGTAGCTGATATTCGCCGATCATGTGCGATCCATTCCGAGGGTGTGGGGAGCATCATGACTATACCCAGGGAGAACCGAATGGTTCGGTTCTATACTCATCTTCACGACGGCGTTAGCGACACCAATATAAAGGATTCTGATGGTGTCCCTCATGAGCTGGTAGATAGAGCCGCAAGGACCATGATGCCGTACAGCTTGACGTGTAAACATTGTGACTGGTGGTCACTGTATAGGGTACGCGACCTCTCTAGACGTGAGAAGGAGAAGACTAACGAAATACAAGGTAGGAAGACGTTTAGTAACAAAATACAGACCGCACGATCGGTGAGTCGTCCAGTGAAGCGGTCACTAGACCAGGCTAACAGCTACAGGGTATTCCTGGTAGGCGATGCAGCCCACAGCCATTCACCACTAGGAGGGCAGGGTATGAACGTGTCCATGCAGGACAGCTACAACCTCGTGTGGAAGCTAGGAGCGGTGCTCTCTGGCCACTTTGACAGCGCTATCCTCGATACATACGAGCAGGAGAGACGTCCTGTTGCGGAAAGGTTGATGCGACTGGATGCGAAGCTTGTCCAGGCTTACGAGGATGGGTGCACAAAAAGCGACAAGGGCGTAGCTGAAACTCGCGAGGACTATTCGGGCTTTATGTCTGGTATAGAGTTGATATATCCCTCGAGTGTGCTTGTCTCTCAAGAAGGGAGCTTTGGCAGTGCCTCCGCACGGAATGTGAAGATAGGAAGACGCATGGATTCAGTGCAGGTGACTACGCACTGCGATGGGACCAAGACACATCTTGCGCGATATTTTCCAACGAATGGGTCGTGGAGACTTCTCGTCTTCCCGGGTGACCTAGAACAGCAAGGGCGGATGGATGTGCTCACTCGATTCGCGGAAGCATTCACGAATACGCCCTCTCTAGCAATGTTGAATCAGAGTTCCTTTGGGAAGGCGAGGTTTTCGATGATTGAGCCCATTCTCATTCACACCAGCCCAACAACAGCCTTCAACCTCTTGGATCTCCCAGATATGTTTCACCCATTTGACGAGGAGCTTGGATGGGATTACTGGAAGGTTTTCTCTGATGATAAAGAGCACTCCACTGGGGTCGGTCACGCCTATGAAACGTATGGGATCGATGACGAAGGCCCATGCTGTCTGATTCTTTGCCGTCCAGACCAACATGTTGCGTGGATAGGCGATTCAGAAGATGTGGCTGGGTTGAATGAGTATTTCTCGAACTTCCTTTGTAAATAGTGATCGAATAGAACTTTGGATATAGACATGGCTTATCTCGTTCATTCACCATATACTGGTGTGTATACCAATCTAGGCATGCGGTGTGTCGGTCTAGATACCTAATCGTCGCGATAGAGTAAGTATGGCCATTCAAATAGATACGCAATCATAACTGCACCACTTTTCATTACATACACAGATTTACACATTGAAGAATAAGCAACAGACAATTCAGCGTACCCTTCCCTTGATACAATCGACACATCCCACATATTAGAGCTCCACACATTATAAGCGCGAGCTGACATCTACCACGCCACAGTCGAGCTCAACCCATCCAATTCACGCTGGTAGTTGCGATGAAGGGAAATCTGGTACAGGAACATGCCGATCAAGTCCTTAGCATCCTTAAGGATGTTGACCCCGTCCTTGAAGCTCTCTGGCTTCTCGACCTTCCCCCCAGTAACCACGCCGTACCACTCACGAGGCGCAGGATTATCCGCAGTAGCCACCTGGACGTCCAGAGTCGACCCAATGGCCAATTTGATGAGCTCGGCTCCCTCGCCCGTCGCCCCGAGCGCTTTACAATGGCCAAAGGCTTCGGCGATCCAGTACCGGATCTGTCCGGTGTTCTTGAGCGTCTCAACATGCGAACCACCGGGAACGAAGGTGGCATCGAACATGGTCGATCGCTGACCGTCGTACTGGTGATCGGGGATGACACCCTTGCTCGTGCTAGGCGACTCGCCGGCGGCGTAGATGGCGGAGCGTTTCATGCCGATCACGAACGGCAGCGCGTTGGCAGCCAACACAGCCGTCTTGATAGCGTTGAAGGACACGGGATCGTAGCCGTCGCCGATGAGAATGGCGATGCGGCGGCTCTCGATGGTCGGCTTCCGCGGTGTGAAGTCCGTCTGGGATAGACCCGGGGCCGTGTGCCCGGGGTTGGGGCGCAGCTGTTTGTCGGGGATGGGAGCGCCGACGACTTCGGCGACGGCTTGAGCCAGCGGCAGGTCGATCTCCGCAAGACGATGGCCCGCCATGCGCTCGTAGACCAAGGGGTCGTCGCAGTGGTCCAGCTCAAAGCAAAACGCTTTCTGCATGTGGGCCTTTTCGAGGGGGGTCATCGAGTTGTAGAACATTTGCGCCTGGTGGTGGTGCTCGCGGAACTTTTCGCTGAGGGCGCGTCGCTTCGAGCCGCCCACGGTTTGCGGGTACGACACGAACCCGGTGTCCTCGGAGGCGGGGGGCACGGCCTCGTATCTGTTGGGCCAATAGTTGACGGTGCCTTTGGTGATGCGGTGGCGCTTCGCACCGTCGCGATTGTGGTTTATGAAGGGGCACACCGGCCGGTTGATGGGGATCTCCTCCCAGTTGATGCCCAGGCGCGAGATCTGGGTGTCAAAGTAGGAGAAGTTCCGGCCCTGCAGGAGGGGGTCATCGGAGAAATCGATACCCGGGACGATATGGCTCGTGCAAAAGGCAACCTGCTCGGTTTGGGGGAAGAATTCGTCGATATTCTTATCGAGGGTCATCTCGCCGATGACGCGCAGGGGCACCAGGTTCTCGGGCCACACCTTGGTGGCATCCAAGATGTCAAAGTCAAAGTCATGCTGCTTCTCCTCTGGGATCACCTGGATGGCGAAGTCCCATTTCGGGAAGGCCTTGTTGTCGATGGCCTCCATCAGGTCTTTGCGGTGGAAGTCGGGGTCCTGACCGGCCAGCTTCAAGGCTTCATCCCAGACGAGGGAATGGACGCCCAAGTGCGGGATCCAGTGGAACTTGACGAAGTGACGCTGTCCGGCCTTGTTGATCAGGGAAAACGTATTCACCCCGAAACCCTGCATCATGCGGTAGGACCGGGGAATTGCGCGGTCGGACATGGCCCACATGAACATGTGCGTGGCTTCGGGATGCATGTAGACAAAGTCCCAGAAGTTGTTATGGGCCGTCTGCGCCTGGGGCACTTCATTGTGCGGCTCCGGCTTGACAGCGTGGACTTTAGGAAGATTAGCATTCATGTCTGGCCTTACTCGAGGCGTCCACAAAACCCACCGAAATCCGGAAACTTGATGGCTTCCTGGATGAAGAAGACCGGGATGTTGTTCCCCACGATGTCCCAGTTGCCCTCATCGGTGTAGAACTTGGTGGCGAACCCGCGAACATCGCGCACGGTGTCGGCACTACCCCTGGAGCCCTGCACCGTCGAGAAGCGGACAAACATGGGTGTGGACCGAGAGGTATCGGTCAGTACACCAGCAGTCGTCACATCTTCGGCGCTCTCCTTCAGGCGGAAGGTGCCAAAGGCGCCGGTCCCGCGAGCATGGACGACCCTTTCGGGAATACGTTCATGGTCAAAGCGATGAATCTAACACGACAGTTAGAGCTGTCTACTACCCAAGCTGCTCCCGAAAAGGGTTTCCACTGACCTTTTCGCGCGCAATTTGGTCCTCCAGCAACGAGGGTCCGGTTTGGCGATCATCGACGGCTTTCAGCCAATTGTCGGGGTTGGTGACACGGACTCCATGGTCCGTTGTCATGGGCGTCTGGGTATGTCCCTCGACGGTGTCATTCTCGAGATCGATGGTCTTTTTGTCTTTGGGGGCCTGCGAGGTGACCACATTCTGGGTCTTGTGTTTCAAGCCCTCTGCTAAAGCCGTTGCCATTTTACTGGGTTTTAGTGGAGATTCTGATTCGTCTGGGTAGAGTCAAGCAATATAGAGTCGTTGGAAAAAATCCAAGGACCTGTACCCCTGTGTCATTTTTAAAGAGGTGGTCCAAGGTGGTGTCCCCTGGTTGTAACGTCATGACGTCTTTGATGTGACCGAGCAGTGAGCTCATCCCGTCACGTGAGGAAGCAGGATCTCCAGGATTTCCAGCAGAAATCCTGCTTCAACTCATTTTTGGATGAGCCTGATGCTTGTTATGCTGATGATAGTTGACCTTATTCGGCGATTTACGGTTGTGGTGTTTTGATGACATGGTTGTCGTGGATTGTTCTGCCAGGGCAGGGCAGTATCCAGGTGCCTTGTACCTTGAATCTAGTAGTTGTCATCGGTTTACTATACATTGATTTTTATTGGTTCTGACCCTAGATGTCACATTTTTAATTACATTATGTAGTTCAATGGTTCTGACATCCTGGGGTTTAGTCAGTAAATGCTTGACAGGAGCGTTGATGTAGTATTTGCATCGCTTCTCCTCGTTTCCGGTGGCCATCTAGCTCGCCGGATTCGGTCAACTCGCGTAGAAACTTCCCTATATTGCATTTATGATTCACTATCAAATCCATCACTCGTTTCGGGCCGTGGTTGGAGATCAGTGGCTCGGGGTTGGTTTATGAGCTCTCTTAGGATATTTTGTCTGACCAACTGGCACCCTGTCTCCTTTCCTACATCAGCTAGTTGAGCGAAATATCTGTACCGATTGTCTCATCCGATTTTGTTTGATATATAAACTTTCATTTTCTACCATTGACACTGATTCCAATATAAACAGGCTGGGCTTATCATACGACATAGTCTTGAATACTGGACTGCTCACATGGCGAGACTTCCTGGAATCAAACCAACTTCAACGGTGAGATCTGTCGTCAGTACTATAACGCATCTACACCAACAGGTAAATCATCTGAAGACATACGGCTGCACCATATAGCCAATCTACAATGAGTCACATCTTCCCTTCCTGTGCTTTAACCCACTATTAATTTAGTATATCACTTGAATCCGCTTGGGGAGTGGTATGATACCCTATGGGCCGAACTGCAGTATCCAAACTGCTGGATTACGGGAGAAATAACTCTCAAGATCGCCCCCCAACACCTATTGGTGTTCAAGAAGCCCTAGGAGCTCCTACAAAAGAGGCCACTGCGCCGCATACCGCAGCCGCCGTCATCCACATGCAGCAGTCCAATAGGACGTCATCGTCCATCAACCCTTGACGTGGACCTCTGAAAGCCCTATGCGTGTTCAGCGAGGCAGTTCTCGACATGGATCTGGTCGAATCAGGTCTCATTGCGAGCCAACAATACACTCATGTCTATTGCCGCAGTAGGGTCGATGCGGCGCAGCGGCTGCCGGCTCGGAGAATCCACGCCTATCAATTAATTGGCGCGATGGAGCTGCACACCATTTCTCCAGATAATGAGGCTGGTGGGGGTAAATTCCGGCCGTTTTGCTGTGCCTCTCGTGGAGGTTGCCAGGAAGACTCGCAATTCTGCCGGCGTCTCGCTATAGTTGGGAGTCTCGACTCGATCTCCTGCACCTTGCTCTGGAATAGTGCTAGATTAATCTTTTACTGTCCAATGGCTTGGTCTGCTTTCGGGTGATGCATTCGTGGGGCGTCTATGGAAGATCCCATCTGGGGTACTCTATATCCTGGCTATGCGCATGGCTCGCAGACGAGTGGAACAGCTCACACTTGCTGGAGAGAGACAGACAGCTATAAATACCAACTCTCGAATTTCATCCCAAATACTTTCCGCAGCTCATAGTTCAGCGCAGCCTCTAGTATTTCAGAATGGCCCAGAAGCTGAAGAATAGACAGAAGATTTCGGTGAACAAGGTCCTCACAAAAGCCGTAGTCGACGAGACGGCACCTGTTTCCCCTCCTCCGCCTCCCTTGGTTGTAGTCAACCAACTGTTGAAATCGTGAGCTCGTAGAACCCCCGATCACGCACGTTCACCGTCAGCTAACCAGTGCTCCCCCAATGATCCTAGCCCGTACACGCGTTCAACCGAGCTACGGATCGGGAACGATACCTATCATATCCCATCGGCGTACCTAGACAAGTACCCAAAATTGCAACCGAGTTCCCCCTTCATTCACCCTTCTACGCTCGACATCGACGGGGATATTGGACACTCCGTGGTTCACTACATTTTTACCGGCGGCTATGAAACACTCCAGACCTCTCTTGATGACCCCAATCAGTACATTCCACGCGAGTTCCAGCGAGCCGTCCAGGTCTATTATACTGCCCACAAGTACCAAATACACGGCCTAGGAGAACTAGCCAAGACCTACATTGAAAAGTTCGGCGACGAAATTCGCATTGTCACTATTTTAAAGGCAGTCCGAAAGGTGTATTCACGACTTCTCAACACGGAAACCTGGCTCCGCGGTTACCTCCACACCAAGCTTCAGGGCGCATTCGACGCGGACGAAAACACTTTCACACGCAATGAGTTCTACAACAGCCTGGGAGATGACAATATCTTCAATCAGGCGGTCATGAAGATGGTGGTGAAAATCTACGCGAGCACGGTATCCTCTCTGCGCGCTCGCGCAATCGAGGACCGTCAGGTCGAACCGGTCCCGGAACTTCATATAGAACCCGATTACCCCCCTACCCCTCGACAGTCCAGTCTGGTGATGGTTCCTGAAGACCCGCCCGCCGGTCCAGTCGAGGCGGATGAGGTGCCGGTTGAAGCGTGCGTCGAGGACGCTTGTGATCTGCCTGCGGCCACTCCTCTCGATGACTGGGGCTCTCCTGTTGACCGGCATTCCGTTCCGGTCTATTGACCTGCTATTCATACGAAAGTCTTTGCTTGAGTTAGGCAGAAAGCCTCTGAGAGTCAACAATTGATTTGCCAGAACTCTTACTTCCGACGTGGTTATATATGGATGAAACTGTAGGGGGAGGAGCAGGGATGAGCTGTGCTAGGAACTACCGTACTCGCGTTGATTTTTGTTTATATTCGTCTAGATATTGGCAGTATCAGAAACAATCAACAGACATCTTCTCTCTTGGTATATCAAGGCTCCCTTCGGTTGTAATGTCTCACGTTCAGTATATATGTCCTATCGTCATCCATTTCAGACACACCATTATATATATCCGAACGACTTCTTATCAACAAGTCAAAAATAACGTTTCAATATATCAAAACAAAATCAAAATAAAGAGAAATAACTCGAAAATAAGGATGTAATTCATATAGACCAACATCGACCACAGCAGATTCACAGACGAGAAATACGGGGAAAGCTACAGTAACCCAACCGGGCTTGACCCGATCCGTCACGTCACCACCTCCGCCCGAACTTCCCCAACTTCCACCTCACCACTCCGATCCCTCCTCCTCACTCCCATCGTCCCACCCCACGTCCACCAATCCCGCACAATGGGCTTCATTACTCGCACAGTCAAGGTGACCACTCTCGGCGCCGCTACCGCGGCCGGCGCCTTCGCATGGGCCACGCGCAACGACAAGCTGGTGCCCATGACCCCCGCCGACCGCATCTTCTCCTCACCCGCTTACCGCAACCTCAACCCGAGCAACAACCCCACCACCCACGACTACTACGTGCGACGAGTGCCATTGACAGATATCAAGCCGTCGCTGCTGGAGAATAAGGGAAAGCTGACAGAGGCGTTTTGCGCGGGGGTCTGGAGCGGATGGGGTATGTCTTCCTCTCACCACCAGTTTACCAGCATGCATGCATGCATGCGAGGAACCTCAAACCTCACCATAGTAAAAGCGATCACTAACCAATGACTACACACAGGCTACGCATTCCAACGAGCCTACCTCTCGCGCAAATACGAGAACCCCTCCACAGCATCCGATCTCTGGACGCGCGAAGCCCTCCGCGCAGGCCCCTACGAGCTCGGCACGCGCATCACAGACCACTTCGAGGTGTTAGAAAAGAGCACAGAGCGGATTGTCGTCCGGTGCGGGGCGTCGCCGCGCGAGACGGGGGTGCGCGACTCCGACGGGCTGTTCGAGATGTCGGCTGTTGTGAAGGCCGATGAGGGCGTTGCGGAGTTTGGGCTCAAGAGTTGCTTTTTCCAGGGGAGGGGGAAGGCCGACGCGCCCCCCATGCCGGCGCATATTGATTGGTTGCATAAGCAGTATACGAAGTTGTGGTTGGAGACGGCGTTGGTGAATGTGAGGCGGTAAATTGGTTTTCCTGGGGGACGGGGGATTAGTGTAAGATGGGAGGATGGATGGGGTGTAGTATAGGGTGTTTGGGATGGGGGAGTAGCTCAGGCTGCGATGTGTATAGACTACTATACTTGACATTGAAGAGGACACCGTCTCCCCTGCAAGGGTGCGGTCTGGAAAGTTCATGAATACGAATCGACCCTTGCAGCGACTCGTTTAATATACTCAATATGCGATCTTCAGTCAACACGAGCGACGACTCTGTCTAGACCGTTTATGATATGTCCAGGACATCTAAGAATAGCAGCCGTTGAGATTCCAACCGGAGCAGGAGTTGAAGCCACGCACACCGTTAGTGGAGCCAGCAGCGGTGAAGCGGTTTTCCTGGCAATCGTTGATATAGATACAACTGAATAGAAACCCGATAATAACAAGTCATAAATATATACTCTATATAGTAAATACCGAAATAGATATTCCTTAATCGATAGTAAACCTTCAGATTCATCTTCCGAACACTATACAAAAGTCAGACAAAGGCAGATCTGTCATATGCAATAAGTATCCTGCATGTGGGAGGTAGTGATAGCTGCGAAGATAACCTTGCATGCCGAATGACTGGGAAAATAATTGACCGCTGCAGAAGCATACGTCTCCTGTCTATTCACCTAACGCATGTGCAAAGTAAGGGAGATATGCGTAAGCCAAGCCACGTGAAGTTAATAACTACGCGCTCTTCAATGTACAAACTCTTGGTGTAGAACAACTAACGCTGCAAGTGATGGAATTAATCATATGAGCTGTCTACCACATTGCTAGGCCAGTCTCCTTGGTAGCGACATCGTGCAGCCCAACGAAGTCTACCGCACTGCAACCTCCATCACACTCTCCATACCAGGGCCGTTCCTCCAGACACTCCGGATCTCGAGTCCCGCGCTCCCGAGCAGCTCCTTCCACTGGCTCTCTGACCGCTCCGCCCCAGCCCCGATACTCATCATCTGGATGTCTAGGCTGGACTGTAGAAGCGGAGCATGCGTGTCGGGGAGGACAAAGTCCACGATCACGATCCGGGAATAATCTGCGTCCATGGCGGAGACGGTGTTGGCCAGGATCTGGCGACAAATATCATCTGGCCAGTCGTGGAAGATGGCGCGGAAGTAGTAAACCCGTGCTCCTGTGTCAACCGTTAGTCACTACTCGGAACATGTCTCCAGATACAACCAATAAGAAAATAGAATAGAATAGAAGCGGACATACCCTTCACCGGCTGCGGATCAAAAAAGCTATACCCCATAATCTCAACGCCATCATCCTTCAACGACGACGCCGGCGCAGACGCCACGACCTTAGGCAAATCCTGCAGCACCACCCTCCCAGAGACGGAGGGGAATCGTTTCCGGAACCGCACCAAGTCATGCCCCTGATTCCCGCCTACATCGACCAGGAAGACGGCGTCGTCGCGCGCGACAGCCGTCCGGCTCAGCCGCTCGACAGGGAACGTGTCGAACCAAGCCGGCCTACCCTGTCGACGGGAAGCCATGTACGAGTTAAAGCGCGTCTGGCTCAGCTTACGCTGGGCAAGCCACTCGAACTGGCTCTGGCCGACGGCCCACTGCATCGGACAACTCTTGTACTCCCTGGGCATGACATACTGGTGGTCGCGGAAGTAGTCGGGGAGCTTGGAGAGCGTTGGGAGAGTAAGGTCGTAACTGTATGTTTTAATATCTTAGTATATTGCACGTCGGTCCCTTGGTTCTCTGCTTTCTGGCGCGTGATCTATTCTCTTTGTGCTTTTGAGACATGGGGGGTGACAAAGGAAAGAGAGACGTACATGCAAGGAACACCGTCCCTGCCGATCGGCTGCGTCAAAGCCAACGTCTTGCTATTCGGCAGGTACACCTCGGTCGAGGGGTTGTCGCACAACCCCAGGGCCACCATGACTCTCATGAGTCGCACTGCAGCCGTTAGGACCCGCACTAGTCATGGCGTTGAAAGGAGAGGGAAAGTACCTATCAAAGCCCGCTCGGCACCGGTATGCCCGGCCAGCTCGGTGGCCGATAGTCCGCTGTGTGCGTGTTGCACGAGCAGAGGGCAGATACCCATGTCCATGACCGTCCGGAGGGCCGCATTTTGGGGAGGCTAATGAGCGTTAGTCTGCCTATGTTCTTTGTTCTCATATATGTGTGGGTTTTCATATATGAGTGCTTGTGTAATCGGGATATATCAAAAGCCCGAATGCCCGAATGGAAGAAAATATGTACGACGAACCTGATAGATGAGACGCAGGACTGTCTCGTTCGGCGTTTCCACGGCCAACTTCAACTCATCAATGAGGTTGAGGAGTTGGGAATGCGAGTCCGGGGATGCATTGTGCTCGTTCGCTGCGGCGTGGCGAATCCGGTCAACCAGCGCCAGGAGGTCTGACTTTGGTGATGGTGCTGATGACGATGCTGGAGGTAAGGTTGGGAAGGGGGTGAGTACCGAATTCGGCATGGACACTGCAGTGGCCGTCATATTTACACGGTGAGAGATTGATATATGTACAGGAGTGTGTATGTGCAGAATGTGTCGGACGTGGTGTACATGTGATGTAGGATGACGGCGGTGACCAAAGGGTCGAATATATAGCAGTAGCGATACAGGCACTGCCCGGGGAGGAGACTCGGTCGATGGCGATCCAGATGCGAATACTTCAATGGAAACAGGCTATGGCGACAGGGGTCGGGGAGGGCTGATGGGAGCCCTTGCCCACCTGAAAACGGCGAAGCGACTGAGACACTCGGATTCTCTAACTCGAACAAGTGGTCCAGTCCCACGACCAGTGGCTACGAATGAACCATCCTTCGACGATTCCTTCGAACTCAATCTACTATGCGGTCGATATAGACCGACAAACCTGGACGATCCCACCCCACCCACTGACCAGGCCAAGGCAACTACTGCCCTCCCATTATCGACAGACGCTATGGCTCTAGCGGTCCAATCAAACCGGGGAGATGCAGTTCCAGCTCTGCCCTCGGTGTTTCCTTCTCGATGTAGATGTCCTGGTCGGGAAAACGTGGCTGGAGGACCTTTGTCACCGCGGGATATCGCTGGGAGGCCACATCCGCATCCTAGCAATGCGATCCACGGTGACGGTAGCTATTAGTCCAGATTGAAACTCGCTGCAGTTCTAGAGACCGCGGAAACTTCCATGTTTCCCGCGCAATCCAACGTCGCCGCCATAATCAAAAGTCCGTGTGACGGACTGGGTTCTTGTCACACGCCTCCAGCTCGACGCTAGCGATGCGGATGTATCCAGTGGCCGCGGCTGTGGGCACTATTGTCCGGAGGAGACGCTACCGTGTGACGGGCGGGTGGGGGGATAAGATCCCCAAAGAATCATCCTAGTTGTTTTCTGACGCGAGGAGTACCTGGCTCCACTATGATGTATCGTCACGTCTTTGTAGATACTGGGTTTGGAGTCATGAAAGAATCAATCAGGACCAGGAATTGCGCTGAAACTGTGCAATGCTGGGTAATCGCAATGAGCCATTGGCGCTCAAAGCGCATAGTCGCCACACCGTGATCCCCTAACTCTGCCCATCCAGCGGCTACTCCGAGGGGCGCCTTCAGGGAGTATACTATATCTGGGATTGTGATCGCTAAGATCTGGAACGAGGTGGAGACGGTGGATACGGGTTGCATCATCCCCTGGCCCTGCGAACCGTACTAACTTCGTTAAAAGTTAGTTCCCTAACTTTACCAATAGTGGTGTGCTAATGGATCGAGGTCGATCACCCGGATTTCGGATGTGATTTCCACAGGTTGTGCGCAAGCGAGGTGCTAGACTCAGTCGCAATACGCCTGGTCTCTTCTGCGTTGAATGAGAACCGACTGTGGCTGCGCTGCCACCCTCCCCGGTCCGCCGCTTTCCTTGAACCTTTGTCCTTTCGTTACACGAGAAGGGTATTAACAACCATCCGGCTGTTGTGCCGTCGATTTGATCCTAGAATGTGGCGGCACCCTGGTTGTCCGGTTGGAGCGATCGAGAGCCAAGATGCGGGCAGAAACACCGGATATGTTTTTGATAGGTCATGCGTGGATGCATTATCGATGTTCTCTTTCTTCTTTCGGTCCAGCGCTTGGGGAAAACATCGAGGGCCGCAGAAATACTGCGAATCAGAGTGGTGAAGGGCTGACCACCACAAAAAGCAATAGCGCAACCCATGTGGAGCTGGACAGGGTTCGTGCCGTCAGCCTGCATATCATTAGGCGCCACGCTGACCAAAAGGCGAAAAATTCCTATTTTGACCAACCCCTGTCGCGATTGGTAGTTGCGTGCGAACCTTCCCTCCCCTTGGAATTCGTCAGGCCTGCGGAATCCCGTTGTTTGGCCTTTATTTTTATCTTTCTGTTGTCATGTTTGGCCTTTGGCCCCAACTCGGAGACGCACTCCCAGGGCCGCGAAGCTCCTTCCTAAAAAGACAGGTCAGATCGCCAACGAAATACACTGACTGACTCGTCTAATGGCGGTCGGAGGTCAGCTGAGTGATATTATGATCCCCGGCCATCCATGATCAATTGGGGCTTTGATGGCCAGGGACCTATCCTTGACCACAAGCTGAACACCCAACTCGACCATCGCCACGCTGATGCCAATCATGTCGCAACCAACGACCAGCAAGACTGAGAGAAAGACCATTGTTCATCCTGAGAACAATCGAGTTCGGGTTCCCATTGGTGACATGTCGAGGCCGACAGTTCCCGCGCTGCATGATAAATGCGGGGACATGCATATGAAGAGACTCCTGGTGGGTTGGCTCTACATATGCTGAATAAATGTCGAATGAACGGACCCTTGCGGATTGGCGTGCCTGCAAGGGCAATTTTTTGTGCCAAACTATGCAATCTAAATTCCACATTCTTGCTTGGAATCGCATTGTTACCCTGGCATGCCCACCAGTCAGCGTTACCTGCTGAAGGTTTCACCAACACGACACCCCGTCGTAGACAAAGATTGGTTTGAGTTTGTACAACACAAAATGAAAGCAAGTAATTGAATAAATCAGCAAGGTCAAACACGAGCGAAAACATTGGGTGGGCCGGAGCGACGATACTGTTCAGCACGGCCGAAGTCAGTAATGTTTGTTTTCGTTGATCTGGACGCGTCCCAGGGAATCTTGATGTCTCAGTCGGCAAAATGTCCACCGCAAACCCCAAATAGAACACATCAACAGAGGCACGACCCTCTCGAGGAGCGAAGAGCCGAGATCCCTGATCACGAGCTCGTGAGAGCGTGCGATCGGCGATCGATCGAACACCTGGGAGTAGATTTCCGCGTCGATCAGAGGAACCAGCTGCTCGGTACTTGGGGCGTAATCCCATATCCGACCGCTGTGGCGACGGGGACTGAAAGACTGAAGGACACACTATCAGGGTTGACCCCTGCTTGCTGCAATGCACGTAGCCCCCCAAGGCAATGGTACCGGGAAGTTTCCTCGTGCATGGTCGAAGTACAAATGACAAATTGTACGGCGCGCACCCGACGTTGAGAGTCCTGCGTAGTGATTTGGCCAATCGAACAAGTCCTATGTTCTTCGGGGGTGTGTCGATCTTCCCAGGCTTTGGTACGTGATTCGACCATGAGGCGATCGGAATCGCCGATTCATGTTTCTTTTTTATCTTAGGGCTAGGTCCGTGCGATGGAACTTTTGAGCTGAAGAGCTTTAGTTTACTCGGGGTTGCATTGTAGACCTTTCTTTTCGGCTCTGCGACATGCGATAGGATGGGGCGTAATCAAAAATCCACCATGCTTGAATCACCAGACGCAGCCATGATGGCAAATTAACGTCATACCGCCGGTGATACACGCTGGAGCAGGTGGATATTTGGCAACATGTATCGGCATGAACATAGGTCTATGCGTCGGCCAGGATGTAGGTATTACCATATCCGGAACAGTGGAGATGCTGACCGCACGCAGTGCTGCGACCAGTTGGAAAACAAAGACACTCGGTGCTGGGATAAGGCCTCAAGGATTGTGTTTAAATACGGAGGTCATCCCCATGAGGGTATTGTGCTCTGTTATTGTCAAGTAGTCACTCTCCCGCTTTCATCATGGGTATACCGGTGTTCGACGACACTCTGGAAGATGTTTCCAAGCTCTCAGGGCCGGAACAGCTCATCGCACAGTTTGGGCGCCTTCACATCCTCGATGACTTGATCCGCCTGCGGGCATCAGATGCCATCCAGAAACCTATCTTGGCGTATCCGAAGCCCTCACAGGATGGTTCCCCTGCTTCGTATGAGTACTTCACGGGACAGGACCTCGACTGCATGGTCGATCTGGCCGTCTGCCAATTGATGGAGTATGGTTTTAAACCGGTAGGTCTCATTCTCTTCCTTGCTAGATGAGACATTGCTGACAGTGGCAGCCTCGCCGTGACGGCAGCATCGTCGCCCTATTCACCCTCTCAGATCTCAACATGGTCGTCACATTCTTCGCCCTCAGCCGTCTAGGATACACCGTCATGATGTTGTCTCCCCGTCTCTCCCCCGCGGCCTGCGTGTCCCTCCTAGACACCGTCGGCTGCGACACCATCATGTATGGCCAGAATGCTAGCATCCGATCAACCATGGGAGAGATCCTCCGACTCAAACTGGTAGCATGCCGGCCCATGGTCCAGCGGGCGTCCCTCGGGGAAGTAGCCGAAGACTCCACATTCATGGTGCTTCAACGGCATCGCAACCCAGGGCTTCAAAAGGAGAAAATCGCTCTCATCCTCCACTCGTCCGGGTCCACCGGAAACCCCAAACCCCTCTACCTGAGCCACAAAGCCTTGATGACGCACCCCATGAGGGGTCCGGGCCTCACGTCCTTCAACTCCCTCCCGTGGTACCACCTCCATGGTTTATCCACCGCCCTGCAAGCCATGTACATGAAGAAGACTGCGTTCATGTGGGACGCAGCACTGCCTTTGACTGCCAACACAGTTGTGCCTGCCCTGGAGGCAGCGCGGCCCGAGTCAGTCCAGGGCGTTCCATACCTCCTTCAACTCCTTGTAGACAGTGACAGAGGTTTGGACGCGCTCCGAGAATGCAGATTAGTGACATACGGCGGTGCTCCGTGTCCAGACGAACTGGGCAATCGGCTCGTCGAAGAACAAGTGCGATTTGGGGGGTCATTTGGCCTGTAAGTGTCAATCCAAAGGCTCCTCTCGATCTATCCGATCTAACAACCCTAGGACCGAGGCCGGCCTCGTCGCTGAATCCATCTCTCGCCCTGAGGGCGATCCATTTTGGAACTACCTGAAGTTCTTCGAAAACATCCAACCGTTCATATGGATGAAGCCTATCGGCGACTCGCTATACGAATGTGTATACCTCCAGGGCCACCCGGCTCTGACGTCTTCGAATTCTAATGAGCCCCCAGGCTCATACCACTCACGGGACGTATTCACACCACACCCTACGATCCCAAACCGGTGGAAGTACATGTCACGACTGGACGACCGAGTCGTCCTGCTCAACGGCGAGAAAGTTCTCCCGTTGCCGATTGAAGGGTGCATCAAGCAAAGCCCCCTCATCCAGGAAGCTGTCGTCTTTGGCGTCGGCAAGACCGTCCCCGGACTGCTGGTCTTCCGGTCGGACGACACCCACCAATTCCCCGACAAGGAGTACATGAGCTTGATCTGGCCCACGATCGAGGACGCCAACTCGCGAGCGGAGCAGTTCTCGCAAATATCGCGGGACATGGTTGTAGTCTTACCTAGTGACTCTGTGTGCCCTCGCACAGACAAAGGCTCAATGATCCGCGCCCAGGTGTACGCCAAATACGACAGCGTCATCAACGAGATGTACACGAGAGTGGAGCATAGCGCGGAAGGGTCGCTGATACTGAGCCTGGACGCGACTAAATCCCACCTTCTGCGCCTCTGTCAAGACGAGCTCGGGTTCCCGCTATCCGGCGCCAATGGGGAGTTCTTCGCAGAGGGTATGGACAGTCTGAAAGCCATCCATCTGCGTCGTCTGATCCTGCGGGATTTCAGGATCGAAGACAGCAAGAGAATCGGTCAGAATATTGTTTTCGAGACCGGGTCCGTCTCGCGGTTGGCAGAGCAGATCGTTGCTGTACAGAGCGGGCAAGAGACGATTGTCGAAGACGAGGTATCGCTGATGCCAGGCCTCATTGAAAGATACTCCACCTTCTGTAAACATACGCCCGACCCGAGACGCGTCTCCAACTCCAGGAGCGTGGTCCTGACCGGTGCGACCGGCTCCATGGGCGCTCACATCCTCCACAAGCTCCTCAACGACGACTCCGTATCGACAGTCTACTGCCTAACACGACGGAGCCGACCAACGGAAGCAGTCCTAGACGCTCTCGCACAAAAGGGTCTATCCGTCCTGCCACACCGACGAGAGAAGATCATCGCATTGAACAGCGCCTTGGACCAACCTGACCTCGGCCTGGACGAGGGCATGCTCAACCAGATGAAGCAGTCCGTCTCACTGATCATCCACACGGCATGGCCAGTCAACTTCAACCTCCCCCTCCTCAGCTTCGAACCCCACATCAAGGGAGTCCACAACCTCATCAACCTGTCCCTATCAGTGACGTTGTCCTCCCCAGCCGTGATGCTCTTCTGCTCGTCCATCTCCACCGCCCTCGGCGCGTCCTCACGCGCCGTAGACGAAACACCCATCGACGATCTCACCAGCGCGCTCGAAATGGGCTACGGCCGGTCGAAGCTGATCGGCGAGCACATTGTCAGCAACGCGCGACAAGCCGGTGCGCGGGCGTTCTCGCTCCGCATCGGACAGATATCCGGCCACTCCAAACGGGGCCTCTGGAATGACTCCGAAGCGATGCCGCTGATGATCCGGTCGGCGCTGACGCTGAACGCGCTGCCGGAGCTGGACACGACGTGCTCGTGGCTCCCCGTCGACAAGCTGGCTTGCTCAATGCTAGAGATTGCCAAAGCGTGCGCTGCGAACTCGCTTGAGCCGCGTGGGCGCGACCCCGCGACGGGGAAGCTCGTCGACGACACAGTCTACAATCTGACAAATTCTCGCACGTTTTCGTGGGCCGAGATGCTCGGGGCGCTACGACGGAGCGGGTTCCGCTTTGAGACGGTGTCGTTCGACCGGTGGCTTGACCTGATGAAGGCGAGCGAAGCCAGGGGAGAAGAAGCCGTCAACCCAGCTGTCAAGCTGGTCGCGCATTACCAGTCGATGTATGGTGAAGACTCACCTGCTGCCCCTTCCTTTCTCACGGAGAAGGCCGAGCGGGACAGTGTAACGTTGAGGAACGGTCGGTTGAGGATCGTACAGGATGGAATATTGGGTCGATATGCACAGGATTGGCTACGGAGGTGGACGACGATCTGATCACGATTCGATCATGACTTTGTATATATTAGCGTTTTTCGGTTTGCGCACAACTGTCTATAGTTTGGTTTGGGGTACCGGTATATATGATTCAATGGATAGCGTGATTCTACATGTGTGAATGTATGATGGTAGCAGTGACTGAAGCGAATATCACCTTGTGATGGAGAAGAAGGCACCACACGACATTTCCCCGTGGCTTGTTCTGTTACATTACGATCTTGGTCGACCAGGGCTCTTAATATCTGATATGAATCATTGTTTACTTTATCTCAACAGTCAATAGCGACAATTAGGATATCAAGAAAACCTCTAAGGCACAGCTAAAAGAACAGTATAGGAAATAAAGATACGTAGTCTAAAGCGGAAAGAGGACAGAATTAAATATGTTTCAAGCAATCTCTCCTGGATATAGTGCCGTGAAATCAAATGGTAAGGAATGATGTCTAAAAACAGATGTCGGACTAGACCAGGAGCCCCAGGACACATGCAAAAAGGAGAGTTGGGGTGCGCATCGACAGCTTGTCGGCAGCGCTGGTGAACATGGCTGTGCCAGGGGTAGTCGCAGAGGGGTTGGTAGACCCGCTCGCCGTGGAAGAAGCACCTTGGACAGCGCTGGTGGGGGTCGCGAATAGGAACCGAGAAGACGACGAAACCTCGATACTGGGGAGGGGGGCGGCGTTTGTAGCATGGCTCGAGCCACCGACCGCATCAGCGCCGGAGGGCACAGCAGGCGCGGAAGGGTCATCAGCCGGAGGGGCAGGCTGAGCAGGGACGCCAGAAGCGTCAGGATCTTGGGCCTTGGACGGGGGAGTGGGAGGAGTGATTCCCGAGCCCGACTGGGCGGGATCTTGGCCAGCAGCGTCGGAATCGCCAGCTGGAACGGCGGGAGCGGCGGGAGTGGCGGGAGCAGGTTCCGGCTCGTCCTTAGGAGGGTGAACCGGAACAACAGTGACACCGTTGTCGTTGCTGTCATGGGGGACCGCGGGAGTAGGATCAGACCCGGCATTAGTGGGGTGGACTGGAATGACACTGACCCCCCCGTCGCTGCTGTCATCACTCGGCGGCGCATCGGCACCATGGCTGGGGGCCGGGATCGGCACGGCACCCGTTTCGCCGCCAGCGGCCGCCGAGGAGGCTTCTTCGGGGCAATAGGTCGTCGTCTCCGTCACGAAACGAGTGCTCTTGGAAGCCGAGGCGTGAGCACCCTGGTCGGCCGGCGGGGCAACCGGGGCAGCGGTGGGGGTCTCCTTGGGAGTCTCCTTGGGGGCCGGAGGAGGCGTGTTCTCGGGTACGGCCGTTGTTGTCTCGGTGGCGGAAGTCGGGGTTGCGTGGGCGGACTCGGTGTGGGTCTTCTCCGGCCCTTCGGGGACGTGGGTGGCAGTGGACTCAGAATCGTGCTCGGACACCGAGACCGAGGTGGTAGCGGAAAGGAAGCCAGAGCTGGTGGGGGTCGAATCGGACACGGAGATGCTGGTGGTTGACACTGCGGAGGTAGCGGCCGATAATTTGGTGGCCGAGGGCTTAGGCACGCCATATTGGTACAGCTTGATGGAGTTGATCTCCCAGTAGGCCTCCTTGAAGGCCTCCGGGTTCTCCGCCACGTAGTCGACACAGCTCTGCATGGGGTTGCTCGAGTCGCTGATGGGGCAGCTGGAGTCACCATAGACGTTGCCGGACCAGTCACCGCAGAAAGTGGTGTCGAGGATGAACTTCTGCGGCTTGAAACGGGCAGCGATGTCACACGAGCCTTGAAGGTGGGCCATGGGCGTAGGGAAGGTCGAGCTATCGGGGTGACCATCGGTGATGGATGGTGGGATCGAGTCGCGGGGGAAGTACCAAATCTTGATGAACTTCTCCGTCCACTCCATGGCATAGACACCGCCGCCCTGCTTGTTGAACGGGTCTCCCGAGGAGCCCTTGTTGCCCTTGACCACGCAGCCAATGGTGCCAGAGGCTTCGCCACACTCCCCGGAGCTCATGTCGCCGAGCATCTCATTGCCGCCCTCAACGTCACAGCTCCCACTGGTGTGCAGAACGATCTTATTGGAATCATGCTTGTTGACCCCCTCGATGATGTCGATCTCGCCGTCCTCAGGCCAGCTGGGACCGACGGACCAGAATGCGGGCCAGGTGCCGCAGATACTCCCCGGCATATGCGCTAGATCCAGGACGTACAGGCCTTCCTTGTAGAAGCCCTTGGTCTCAAGGCGAACCGACTCCCGGCCCGGGCCACTGGGGTCGAGCTTGGACTTGTGATCCACACCCATGTAGAGGCTGCCGCGCGAGGTGATGTCAATCAGGCCTGTGTCTTCGGCATGGCTCTGATTGGTGTAGGTGACGAAACCATTGGTGGGATCGGGGGAATCGTAAAAGTCCCACCCATCCCAGAAGGTATCACCATGCCAGTTTTCCAGCAGTTGATAGCTCTCCTTGGCGGCGGCAGCCGCCGGAGAGACCAGGGACGAGAGGGCGAGCGCCCCTACGCTCCAGATAAGCGACGAAGACATCGTCAGTAGGACGTTGCGTAGTGAGCAGGTAAATGATCGACGTCTTTGTTGATATTACAAAGGTGGAATTGGAGAGATCGAGATCTCAAACTGATTGACTAGCAAATCCAAAAAGACAGACGGGGAGAGAATGACTCGAAAAGAATGGCACCCAACCGTCGAGGCTGAGTAGCTATAGAAAGAAAGGAAGGTAAACAAAAGGCGGGAATCAATCCACGGCGACGAGATAGCGAAGCAAAGAATGTAAGTGACGAAATGGAAAGGAAGACGAACCCTTGCAGGGACACGACCTAGATATACTGAACCAGACCGTCCACGTCTGGGGGGTATGATTGTACCCCATTGGGTAATATTATGGACCTCTTGTTTTTTAACTTTTTCGTTTTTCATTTTGGGAGTTGTCAATGGAGCAGGCGGCCTATTGTGGTCCAAGGCCCCTCTCACCAGGTACCAAGAGGAGACAACACCGTTCGTCCCTCGCAAGCCAGGCGAATCAGCAGTGACTCTGGAGAGTCCAGACTGGCTGGGCGCCTTCATTCTTGGCCAGGCATGCCGGGTGGGCCAGCGACAAGCTGCAGGCGCCGAGTGGACGGACAGCCGATCTGAAACACCATGGCCGCCAAACCACCCGACATGAAACAGGAGGCCGCTCCGTGTAGCCTCTGCTTCGGGAAGGGAGCTGCTGGACAACTTTCAGCTTGATTCTTTCTCCGTCATCTCCAGTGGTGATTTTTTCGGATGAGTCTGATCAGTAGAAAATGGACCGACATCCAGCATCTGTCTGCAGTTGGTTGTTCTTCACCCCTCAGCCAGCATTCTTAATCCCTGATGGGTGGCTGATCCAGTCCACCAATCCGACCGTGGAAAAAATATTATATTTTCCCGTACAATGCCCGACACGACAAGGGAGAAGACACTGGGCCGGAGTCTAGACATCGTGATCCAACACACAATGTGGGGGTCCGGACACGCCGTTGTTTCTTAGTCTGCGTAGCGAGCAGCGTGTACTCCGTACTATCCGATGAGCGGCCGGAGAATGGTCGGTCTCCACCCTGGTATGGAGGAGGGGGCAACTGGAGCATTCCCAGTGTCATCATTCGCTGGGTAATTGGGACGGGACGATCAGTCGAGGCGAATCCTGCCCCGTTGCAGACCGCGAGACACATCCATTTCATCTAATTTAATTTGGGAGAGTCGAGAGATGAAGGATGATTGGAGGTGAATTTGGGACGCGAGAAATGACGGTGCGAAAAGATCGACCACGATGATGGATCGGATTGGCCAGGGCAGCGCATAGTAACCGCTGAGTCAGGATGGGCCCTATGCATCCTTGTGAACATTAACGATCCTCCCTCCATCTAGACCGCGTTGTTGGTTATATTTAGATCCCTTTCTCCATTCCATTTTCTGGTCTCGATGGAGATACTCGCTGCTCAGCCGTCGACGCCCCAGGTACTCAAAATACCCGAGGGAATTCCATGCGCGACAAGATTTGCCTCCAGGCTCTGACCCGAAGAATGTCTAGAGCCCGTCCTGGGTCCCCAGCAGTGGGGTGTGACCCAGCCGCGAGACAGGGCATGCCTGGGTGAATCGCCATCTGGACAACGTTGCCGTGCCTCTGGGGCTGTACAGGTAGCTGAAAGAATTTTCTTCGCGTCGTCGATCCAGTCCACGACCTACTCATTTCGAATGTCTGACCGGCACCCGCCCTTTTCTTTCAACATCGACGGCCAGTGGCAGCATGGACGCCTCGTGCCGTCCACTTTGAAACACTCCCAACTCGTGGAAAAAGGCCCTTCGTGCCGCTCGCATGCATGGTGGCGCTCGGAGGAATAAGCCACAGACCGGCCTTGTCTGTACCCCACAGCTATCTTCGAGATGGACCCAGACATGCATGGAGAGGGCTGATGGCTACGCCGAAGTACCTGTTGCGGAGGTGCGAGAGAGGGCCTGGTCAACGCTGACGCTATCATCCGTGTCCCGTGCGACGGTCGAAAATGTTGGTGTCTTGGCTGGTATGTCTGGTAAGACAGTAATATCCCGCGTCGATCATGGACAGAACGGTCGAGTGTCAGTTCTGTATACGGGTTGGATCATCTAGCGCCAACCAGGGTCATGATAAGAGGTAGCCGACATGTACAGGGGGTATTCGCGGTGCAGTATTTGCCTCTGCCGCTCCGATGGAGGACTGTTGAGATTCTCTGCGGATAACCGTCGCGTCTATCTCCACGAGATAGAGGTGTCTGCACAGCCACGATATCCGAGGGAAGTAATCATTAAACGTACTTATGTAAAATCTTCTTGCTGGGTGCGCCGATTGACTGACGGTATTCACTGCTTTCACGATATTACCCTCAGACAGGAGCGCCTGGAAAAAGTAGTTTCTGAACAGACATGACTATCAAACGAAAGTTAAATAAAGACAAATCATCGGGCATAAATATAGTAACACAATGGGCACGGGGGGTAAGTCGTATCCAAAGATTGACGATATCCAAAATATCCCAATGTCCAACAGGTCGAGACGGGCTTTCTACATGACGGTCAATCACACAGTAAACATCTCCGGGCTTTTTTGTGTTGGCCTGTCACGATTGGCATCAGTGGAATGAAAGAGACGCGAAACCCACAGAGTAGATGGATCGTCAGATTTATCGATCTTGTGTCTATAATGGCAAGGCTATCCTTTTTCAGGGATACTTGGGTTTCAAGTCTAATCTAGTGAATTGGCCAGTGGTTCAGTAGAAAGATGATCGGATACAATCCTACCATGATGTGTTTCCACGTTTTTATATCATCACCGCAGCATTTATACCAAGCACTTCATGCTGTACAATGCTGTGATTTCCGAATAAAGCTCAAGCGGTAATTGGCAGTTCAGTGGCGCATTAACATGGAGTTAACAGATTATATCTCCGGCATATTTAATATATATTGTAGCTGCCCAGGCATACGCCAACGCAGCATTTTTTATTATGATGAGAGTGAGGGACTCTATACTACCTACTAACACCAGCCACTAACATTTCGATAATCGTCAATGGAGCAGATACCAAAGACCAAACATTACATATCTCAGCCTTACAGCTTAGCCTTTCCAGCATGCGAACGTCGTCCCGTATCAACCTCAGTCCACCATGGAAAGTTCGGCGGTGCATCCTGCTCCAGCGTAGCCTTGAAGTTAGGTTTTCTCTTCTCGAAAAAGGCCTTGACGCCTTCGACCTGGTCCCTGCACATCATCAGCATACTGTCAAAAAACCAGTCGATATCTGCGTAGCGTACCTCCCCGAAAACATATGATACAACACCGCCGAATCCACCAAATGCGACTCCTCCGCACTGGTCGGACCCCTCCACATAAGCATGCGACTCAAATACCCCGCCATCGGACTGACATTCTCCGCAATGTCAGTAGCAAGCTCCAAGGCCCGCTCGACGACCTTAGCCGGCTCGGCATACGTCTCATGGAAGAGGGAGCCGAAGTGCGGAGACGTCGGGGGAAATATGCCGGCGGTGGTGAGGAGGTAGGTCGCATTAGAATAGCCGATCAAACGGGGGAGGAAAAACGACGAGCTCGACTCCATGGTCAGGCCACGACGAGGAAAGACGAAGCCGTATTTGGCGCGGGAGCAGCCGATGCGGATTGCGGCGGGGAGAGTCATGGTCATGCCTAGGCCGACGGCGGAGCCTTGCATGGCTGCGATGGTGGGTTTGCGGCAGCGGTAGATGGTGAGGGCGAGACGGCCGCCCCTGAAAGTCTTGTTAGGATGATGGATGGATGGATGGAATCTGTGGAGAGGGGAGACGTACGTGTCGCGGTGGTCGACGGTTCGCTCTTTTACCATGCCTTTGAAACCCCGTTCGAGGTCAGCACCCGCGCAAAAGATCTTGCCTGCGCCTGTGAGGACCACGACCTTGACGCGCTCGTCGACGTCGAACATCGGGTAGATGGTCTCAAAGTCGGCCATCATCTCCAGGGTGAAGGCATTGTGTTTGTCGGGGCGGTTGAGCGTGACGACCACGACGGGGGTCGCTTCGGGGGCGCCTGGGGGGTGGTGGGTTACTTTGGTGTGGGTGAGGGAGAGGGCCTCGTAGGACTTGGGGGGTTGGATTGGGGGCGGCTCTGGGATCATGGTGTTTACACTGTTGGTTCTTGCACTTGCATTGAATTTGTCTGTTCACGATGTTGAGTGTAGGTCTTTTATACTCGGCATGTTCACTAATCACTCCAGTCAGGGTGATCGACATGCGGGGAAGTGGGATTCTTGATAAAGTCATCAAGACTGTTGGGCTAAGATGATAGTGTAATCCGGGGTAAATGGTGTTGTAATCTGGAGATATCCCCCAAGATCATGTAATCTACATGTGTAGTTCGGTGAACGAATTTAGTTTTGGGGATATCGGTCAGGTTCAGCCCTTGACCACCCGTTGGTCAACGTTTTGGCGTAGCCGCTACGATATAGCGACATCCGTCCAATGCAGCACTGATATATACAGCCCGAGGGTCAGCTTGAAAATCTATCGCAAAGAATACTACTCGGCTACAAAAGATATCTAGACTCTTCTGAACCCTGTGGGTACCCTTTTATGCACTTGCACTATCTTATATTGCGACATGAAGTGATTGCTGTGAGACCAGCGATACGGTCCAAATTGATGGTATTGGCAATTCTTCGAGCTAGAGGGGAATCGAGGAGCAGATTTGGATGTGATGGGGCAGCAGCTTGAGTTGGCTAGAGTTGTCTGATACAGTAGTCTAGTTGAAGACTCTTAAGGCGGCCAACACGATACTTGTTAGATGGTTGATATTTGTAGAATGGTGGAGCATGATATGCTTGGCTGATCAGTAATTATAGTCGGTAGAAAGTTGGTTTAGGACTACTATCAGGCTGTTATTGATAACCCTTGATTAAGATGTTCAGTAATAAAGAAACAGTAGTTAAGGTAGAACTATGAGTAACTAGATTTACTATGGAGATCTCTGATCGGGATTAGTGATCCAGCCTCGGTGGATATACATCAAGACTAAACAAACCTTCCATACTCAAGACCCCCCCCCCCCCCCCCCCCCACAATTACGTAGAATAGATAAATTCGGGCCACCTCCCCATAATCAAGATACAGGGAGCACCTCAAACAATCAAACCACTCTCTTCACCAACATGTCCGAACTCCGCTCAGCAGTCTACATCGCACCGCCCGCGCCCTTTCAAACCCCCGGAAAAGGCAAAGGCGGCCTCTGGTCGCCCATCTCCTGCACGCTAATCTACTCCGCGACGGAAGCAGTGCTAGTCGACACGCCCATCACCATCAAGCAGACCCAAGAACTGCTGTCCTGGATTGAACGCATCGCCCCCAAGCGCACCCTGAGTTACATATACATCACGCACGGACACGGTGACCATTTCTTCGGCCTGCCGACACTGTTACAGCGCTTTCCCGATGCGAAGCCTGTAGCGACCGCTGCGACACTGCGGCACATGGAGGAGCAGATTGAGGAAACAAGTTACCAAGCGCAGTGGGAGGCTCGGTTTCCAGGGCAGATTCAGCGCCCGTTCGTGCTGGCGCATCCGTTGCCGGCGAATGGAGAGTTTCTCCTGCAGGGGCGATGGCTGTTTCGAGCGGTGGAGGTGGGACACACGGACACCTATGATTCATCTATCTTGTGGGTTCCGGATTTGCGACTGGCGGTATGCGGCGACGTGGTGTACGGGCAGGTCCACCAGATGCTGCTGGAGGCGAACACGGCAGAGAAGCGGGCGGAGTGGATTCGCGCGGTGGAGAAGGTGGAAGCGTTGGATCCGCTGTATGTCGTGCCGGGGCACTGCCAGGAGGGGGAAATCCATGGCCGCTGGCACTTGGAGAACACCAAGCAGTATATACGGGATTTCGAGAATGTCTTGCAAGGGAGCCCCAAGTCTCAGAGAGAGGTGGTGACTGCCATGAGCAAGCTGTATCCGGATCGGTTCAATATTGGGGCTGTGATTTTGAGTGCCATGGGTGCGGCGCAGGCGGCCAAACAGTCTCGGATGTGAGGCTCGATTGCACGATCGCTGGTCTATGTGAATGACGTTGCGCTGTACTTTCCAGGTTAAAAGAACGGATTGCGACGCCCGTGTATCTGAGGCCGGTCAAAGTGCCACATATTAGAGCCGTAATGCCATAGCACCAGTACAATATGATAGAAGGTCGGAACCTGCCCGCCCAGGGCATACCACCCTTTTTCATATCACTATGTATGCTCATTACTGCCTCGGTATATGTCAATACGGTGGATACCAGACAAATGAAGTATCGATGCAGGAATCAGGTCACGTCCATGCCGCCGCCCGAAGAGCCTTTTCGACATCCCTTCTTCGGAAACCGGGAGCGCGACCCAGACACACGCCTTTGCTGATCAACACTGGGCAAGTTAGTATACTCCAAAGTATAATGAGTTTATGAGATAAGATCAGGCCTACCTTGTATTAATCGTCCCACGTTGACAGCGACTTGGGCGGAGGCCGGCTCCTTGGATTGCGATGGATGACACGCGAAAAGACGCACCCTCTGTTCCCGCAGAAACCCTTCCAAATCATGCATGTCGAACCACTCCCCCTCCAGCTCCTCTTGGATCTCGGTCGGATACTGGGCCAGAGGATCATGCACTGTGCTCCAGCGCTGGAGCGGGTGCAACGGGGTGCCAGAACCGTGCATGCGTGCTGGCGACCGGGGGTAATGGGTCCCCGCCCCGCCGAGACTGAAGAAAGGCACCTGGTTCCACGCCTCCAGTCGCTTTTGGCTGATCCTGGCCTGCATTGCGGCCTCGAAGTACGACGCGAGTTGCTCGCGAGTCATCATGGTCAGGAGCAGCCGAAATGGTCGCTGGAGGCGTTCGATACTGATGGACGGATCACACAGGCCTAGATAGCCCTGGTACAGGCATGCGACGTGCAGTCGGTCAATGAACGCGGGCAACTCCACAGCAGAAAACTCCGCCGACTGGATCGCATATGGCGATGAACTGGTGGAAGATTTCTGCGCACCAGCATGATTCAACGGCGATCCCTGAACAATATTCTCCGACGGCCGCGGCATCAGCCCGACAAACAAAGATGGATTCGGGTTCTTCTGCTCCGGTTCCGATAACGACTCTTCGCTATGTGGGGAGTAATCGGGCATATCCGCCTCGCCGTCCGGACTCGCGTCCTTGGCCAAGTTCAAGCACGTCTCCACCGTGTCGCGTAGGTGTGCCGTGAGATCCGAGTACGACGCCAGCACGCCGGACTGAACCAGCTGGTCGCTGAACCCGAGCACAGCCGTGCTCATTTTCTCGACCGTCGTTTCCAGCTGCTCAATGCGACTCTTGTAGGCGGATATACTGGCTTCCTTGCGGGAGCGATACGCCCGTTGGGCGAGACGAATCTGCATGCGGCGTCGCTATTCAGTCAGCACGCGCTCCTTCACGCTTTCGCAGGTCCAGTACACACCTCGTCGGGGTCCTCCCCCGTCGGGCTCACGGCGCCCTTGCGGGGTCGTCCGCGCTTTTTCGACGACGCCGATGCTGCAGGGGTACTCGCCTCGCTGCGTGTTCGTTTTGTCGGTTTGGTTGTGGGCGGTTCGGGGGTGGCTACATCGGCCGATGGACGGTCCAGCGGCGATGGCTCCACGAAAATTCCGCCATACAGAGGCGCCTTCTCACCACTCGTCGGCACTCCCTGGGGGCTGAGTCGCTCTGGAAGGGGATAAGAATTGGCGGACAGCAACGAATTGAGGCCCTGCGATTCCAAACCATCCAGCAGAGACGATCGATTCCGCGGGTAGTCGCGGAAGATCTTTTGCTGGATTTCCTCCCATGATAAAAGGGGCAAGTCCGAATCTGGCTGGGACTCTATCGACAATTGACGCGGACGCTGTGGAGATGGCTGAACTCCCTCCATACTGATGATGCTGGATTCAGGGTGAGAGATGGACACGAGGTGACAGTTCCTGAGGGGAGGGAGAGAAGATAGAAGATCAGCTGCATCAGATCATTTGCATGTGTTTCATGCTAGTCTCGCCACTGTCATGGATGATTGGCTAGTCCCAACGGAGCCATTGTCCCGGTTTGGCCGGCCACTTATCCGCATCGGGTCTAGCGCATCAACCTTAACTGGCATTCCTGTGCATTAGCACTTCGAGGCCTGAGGGAGAAGCCTTATACGGGAAGCCCCTTCATAAATGCCCGCATAAAGGCCTCGGCTCGGGATCACTAATCACAATTTTGATTATTTGAACATTCTCCGCCCACGTGAGGTCAGGTGTCGGTCATGTGACAGTCCCGACTCAGTTAGAGCGCCTCAGGCATTCAGGGGAGACCCCGACTCTTCTCGGCCTCTCCGTCTGGTCGGTCATCTCCGTTGGTGGGACGCTGTCCACAGGGCTGGCTATCCTCGACCGTTACTCTCCTGTCAATACTCAATAAGCACAAGACTAGAAAAGTTAGAATACGTTGAGTTTATTTTGATCTATCCCTAATCTACACATTAAATGTCGGATATTTCATCACGATGCAGGAGAGGTTGAGCTAGCTCCTGATACCTATACGTTTGTCTCCCTCTCCAAACGCCGCTGAGCTCCGCAGCTGCGTCTGTGTTTTGTATTAAAGACGGTTAAGGCATCAACCTACGCCTCAGCAAATTCCTTCAGGTAGGACACCAGCTGCTCCGCGTCGGAGACCGAGATGGCGTTGTAGTTGGAAGCCCGGATTCCTGAGATCAATCTAATTAGTGCGATCATCATGTTATTTTGTAGAGAAATACTCACCACCGACACTGCGGTGGCCTTTGAGGCCTGTCAGTCCACGCTCCGTGGCGCCCTTAAGGAAAGCCTTCTCGGCGTCGTCGACGTTACCACCCTGTGGATGTTAGCGACAGCAATCATACGGAGGTGACAACAGCGGACACTTACCTTGGTGACCCGGAAGCAGGCGTTCATCCTAGAACGCACGCTCTTCTCGGGCACGACTTTGTAGACAGATGGGTATGCGTCGAGCGCCTTATAGATCATCTCGGCCTTCTTCCCGGCCTCCGCCTCCTGGCCGTCAACATTATCCGAGAAGGTGGCAAGCAGCTTCTTGAGAACTCGGCCGGCAATGTAGACGCTACGCAGGTGATCAGTAGAGTAGTGCGCAGACAGTACGAGAATACCCACTCGAAAATACTCAAAGTGTTGTAAAGACTGTTGTTTTTGGCCGTCACGCCGTAATCCAAGATTGTGGGGGCGATCGGCAACCCAAGCTTGCGGAGAATGGCCGGCGAGGCAGGAGGTGAGACAGGCGGCAGAAGATCTTTCTTGATGATGGCAAGCGTGATGCCGGCACTTCCCAGGTTCTAATAAAACGTCAGCGATCTACATCTTCAATCCGTCAAGCGGAATCCTAAACCTTTTGTCTACACAACGTTAGCAATTGCACCAGTCTAACCAATCCATGCAAGTACTCACGCTCCAAAGAAAATGATGGAGAAGTTCTCGACGGGTATCCGTCGCGACAAGATGGTAGAAGAGAAGTCACCAACGACGATGGGATCGTTGTCCGAACCCTTGGGCTCAAGGACGGCTGGGAAGTTGGGGAACTCGACACCGTCAACGGTCTATCGCACCAACCTAAATCAGTAATGGAAATGTCAAGCACATCGAATCAAACGAACCTCATTCTCACAGAAGTAAACCATGGCAGCCTTGGGGCTCAGTTTCCAGGTGGACTCCTCAGGGATAGTGCCGAATTTGCCGCCATTGCTTGCGCGCGCGTCCGTAGCAACATTTACGTATTCGGGGCCGAAGAGTCTAATCGCTTCCTGGCTCGCCTTCAACGACCACCTATCCGCAAAAGCCAATTAGCCCGGCCACCTACCCAATCACACAATCCACAATCTCAAGGAAAAACTCACGATCCAGTAACCAGATAATCCAAACGGAACTCGGCATCCACGCGCTTGCGCAACTCCGTAACGACCTCCTCCTCGCTGATGGCCTCACCGCGCTCCTTCAGAATCTTCTGCCGCTGCTTCTCAACCCACACAGCCGTCAGGTTGTACGCCGTGGCGTCGAACTGGCCGGATCCACCGCCCTGCATGACCAGGATCTCGTACGAGTCGGGAATGTCGAGGAACTTGGCCAGGTCGGCCTTCATGGTGTTGAGGATCTTGGCGGCGTGTTCGCTGCGGTGGCTGTGTTCTGCGACACCTCTGTCGTGTTTCCAATGCGACGCTGGTCAGCGATGTCTGATAGAAGTACAACCAAAAAGCAATAGAAGCTGAACCCCTGTAGTAGATGAAGGGGAGTAGGTGACGTACAAGCCCGTCTCATTGTAGTTCTGCAGTGCGTCAGCAGCATCGGCCAGAACCTCCGTGGGGAGGGCGGCGGGGCCGGCACCAAAGTACGTGATGTCTTCTCGCTGCATGATGCGATTGAGGTGTTCTATTGTGCACCGTGAGACCTGTTGATCGGGAGTTAAGAATACTATTTCGTTTGCGGAGATGGTTCTGAGCTGCGGGCGATTGACTCACCGGGCGGGACCACGTGATCGGTGATGTCGCCCCGCGTGGGGCAATCGTTATCGATCTCTTATCGATAGCTTATCGCCCATCAGTTTGTTGCGATGGCGATCATGAGGTTGATCAAGAGCTTTTGTTTCAATCGTTTGTCAAAGGTTATGAATGCTGTTGCTACACACTTAGCATGCGTCACGATGAGTTTAAATTAGCAATAACAGGCCCAATCATATTATCAATAACAAAAAACATAACGGCATGAGTACTAGCCGAGCAGCAAGTTCGTGGTCGCATCACTGTTCCAATATATACATCATGGTTACTCATAATATCGCTCACGAGACGCTCTCTGCGCAACACCCGCCCCAGTAAACGACAGATACCCAGCCGACGGATCATCAGCTTTTGAATCGCCCAGCCTGACCGGAAAGTTCTTGAGCAGTCGTGACCGTTCCAGCCCATCAAGCGTAGTCCCACCTGCTGGGAAGGACGGATCACCGGTATCCCGCGTCATGGTCGACACGTAACCCAGCACATCGGGGATGAGAGTGCGATGGGCGATGATGGCCGTCCAGAGGGCAGCGAAAAGCATAGTAGTAGATGATACGATGAATATGGTTAGCCAGGCCGGGTTGACTTGATACGTGTAGGGTTTCCACGCCGTTTGTGTGGCTGTTGTCGGGACGGCGGCGTAATCTGGGTCGTGTAATGATTTTCGGTTGGCGAGAGTTGCGGAGAAATTGCCGGTCATTCCTTCGGGGAGAAGACTGCTGGTGTAGTATGTGTTGACAACCTGGGTGAGGCGCTCGGAGAGGGTCTCCTTTGGGAGGAGGAAGAGCGGGATATCGCCTGTACTGGCGAGCAAAGGGTTGGCGCTGTTGTTGAGATAACGCTCTGTGAGGCTGTTGTCGGCAGGATGGATGGCCCCGGTTGATTTGGAGAGATAGGTGGCGAAGCCCTGCAGGGTGAGCGGGAATATGAAGTTCGTGAGGTCTCGCGCGGGATGCGGAATAAGGCTATCGCGCATGGCGTGGACTACACACTGGGGGATGCTGGTCTGCGTGTCGACGCAGCGGACCTTCGATTCGACGTAGATCTGGTTGATGTGACAGTAGGCGACGGAGGTCTGACGGGTCGAGGGCCGCCACCAGCGAGACTGGAAGAGAAGGACGGGCGGCTCATCGAAGTAAGTTTGTTTGTTGTCGGTAACGTTGGGGAAGATGTCCAGCGTCTGGTGCATTATATCCGTTACGTAGTGGTCGAGGCCGAGGGTGAAGGGGATGGTGCATTCCTCCCCCGAGCATGAGAGGCTCCCATTATTTCCAAGGAATACATGGTCCGGTGTCTTCTGGATTACGGGCGGATTCCAGCTTTTGGAGTCAATTTTGATGTCTAACCGAGTGGTGTTGGTCATCGAGACTGGCTCCGGCTGAAGGCTCACATCAAAGCAGTCGATGTCATAGTAGGACGACTCCAGGTGGAAGGAAGAATTCGACCCACGCTGAATATTCTCGAACGGTATACCCAGAAGTGAGGAGTATACTACGTGGGAGTCTTTCTTGACGTCCTTCCACCCGTTGCTCGTGGTACCGCCATCCATCCGGGACATAATCGGAAGTTTCACATTGCCCCAAAGGTCCATGGGCGATCCTTTTATCGATTGCGGTGCGAGGAGGGAGGACATATATAGCGCGTTGATCTGTGGCATGGAAGCAATATCGCCGCTCTCAAATGATGCGTCCAACGATGTATTGAAGAACTGAATATGGGAGACAGAAGTTGTGGTGTCTCGTGCACTATGGAGGATATAAAGCGACGACTGCCCCCCCAGAGGAGACAAGACCCAAAGGATTATGAGGCCAAGACCTAACAGGTTGAACGATCTCATGAAGAACTGGGTCATTATTGCGCTGACAAAGGTCGAACTCCAGAATAACTGTTCGAGTACCCCCAAGGAGCAGCCACGTTCCAACCGCCATGTTGCAATGACCCGAGTAAACCGACCGATCACGGCGGCGAAAAGGATAGGAAATGCGGTAACAGCCTGATGCTAGTTAAACGAAACACTTGTCACGAACATCTACATGAACGTACCACATTCATTGACGTCTGGATCCTTTTCCAGTCGCTTTCCTCAATATCCTTGCCATTGCGATCGAGGGCAATGCCAGCTAGAACGATGAATGGGACTGACACTAAGATCCCCAGCAAATCGAGAAGACCGCGATAGATGCGTTCTATGGTCGATCTTCCGAGTGTCTGAGGCTGCGATGGCCAACCTTCGACAAGATTCCGACCTTCAGTTTCGTCTGGGATAGCATGGACGAACTTCACTTGTTTTTTAAGTGTTGGCGAGTCTGCGAAATGTGGCCCAAGCGGAGATATCGTTTGTGAATAGGTTCTCGAACGAACAGAGCCCCGAGTACTGTGCTCCATGATCCCGGAAGATTAAAACAATGACAGCTCGCGAATGTATTGGGGTATTAGACGGAGTTGATGACGAGGTGTAATGATCGATTCCACCTGAGCTGTCAAGGGTGATGATGAAAAGGTCCAAGTCCCTTGCATTATTACGAACTTGAGGAAAGGGGTTGCTCTTTATCATACCTCACCAGGCATGGAGTCTCATAGTCATGACAAAATTGTCGCTTTCTCTGGCTGGCGTATACTACACATGTTCATATTGGCGGTCTCTGGCGCGTTATTGCCTGCAATAGAGGTATATCAAGAAAGGCTTCTGTGGTAATTGTCCACATCGGCCTTGTTACGTGGGATCAAGGTCCGGGATGCGGTCTTGGCCATAGTATAATAATAGACTCCTACAGGTGAGGAGTCCACAAACTTATTGGATGGACATACGTCTAGTGCTTACCTAGCATGCATGATTTACTAGGGCAGTGCTCAGCTGAAATACGATCACTGGAGTCTGCATTTTCCTCGGATGGATCACCGCATACTCAACGGCAATTGGCAAATAGACGTGGCGTAGCCCGGAGACTTGCATAAATCTCGTGTTAGATCGCGATGATCATCCCCGAAATGAGCCACTGGCTACATTCCGACAGCGCCATACCAACATAGCCCCAGCAGAGCTCCAAGAATAATCGCGATGGCAGGGGGTACATTGAACCAGGCGCTCTCCGCATACGTGACAGCTGCAACCACCACCCACCACGGCTCATTGGCGAGGCTCTGCCCATCATTCTTTCCAGGGGTCAAGTATCCGATCTCCCACAGGCGGTAGACGGCCGTAAAAACCAACCCCACGGCAGTAGCATTGACACCTCGGAGGAAGTCGATCACATATTTTCTCTTTCGGAGGACGCGCCAGAAACTTTGGACAGCGACGGCCAGCGTGAGACCGGGGACGAATATTCCCAGCGCTGCCAGAAATGCGCCAAAGATGGTTGGCCAGCGCGAGTTTTGCAAGGTGAGTGCGCCGAGAAACACAGCGAAGTTGAAGTTGGGGCCGGGAAAGGCCTGGATGATGGCCAGACCGATGAGGAAATCTCTTCCTGAGACCCAGCCAGGGTCGACGACGTAGGTGCGCAACAGGGGGATAACGACTGGACCACCGCCAAAGATGACTGTGCCGGCCAGGTACATGTTGGCGAAAAGGTCAAGAATCAAGGGGGGTGTGGTCAACTGGGCTCTTGCGACGAGGACGCCGATGAAGGATGCTGTTGATGTCAGCCTTGAACATAGATATCGAGTCCCCCGGGGACATACCAAAGAAGACGATGATAAGGACAAGGCCAACTCGGACACGAATGACATGGTTTGGCGACTTATCGCTCCTTCCTCCATTGACCGGAAGCAAGTCTGCCTCGGGCGGGGTCTCTGGTGGTGTTCTACGCGGTCGCATGGTTTGACCTCGGCGACTCGTGTTTTCCTCCAGTGGTATAGACGCGGCAGTCACCGTGGCTTCGTCCAGCTCCCCCGCTTCAGCATTCCAACTCCGTCGATTGCGCCAAGATCTCTTCATCTTTCTTATCAGTCGATGTGCCCACCCGTCCCAAACAGCCGTGACAACGCCCCCCGAAAGAATCAAAATCGGGAAATACCACAGCGCACTATAGCACAGGCCCGCACACGCTCCAAATATCACCAGGATGCGCGAGAGCCGGTCTCTGATCGCCTTTTCAGACAGCTGCACCGCGGCAAGGGCGACGATCCCCACCGTAGACGCGTTGAGACCAGAGAGCAACGCGTAGACGGGCAGCGGGAGAGTATCACTTATATTCTGCACCCCCAGCGAGAGGGCGTACATGCCAATTGCACCAGGGAGACTAATACGGTTAGTGACTGCAATTTCTGAGTCAAAATGTAGAGTACTACACACCTCCAGAGAAAAAATGCCATCAACGCAGGAACAAACCCCGCACGTAACAACGCGAGACAGAATACCATTTTCGTGCTCGCAGGGCCGGGAAGACCTTGACATATTGCGAAAAGCTCTTGATACTATGATCTTGTTAGAGCGGCCCCAAATGCTGGTGTCTTATGCAGAGAAATTCACCGTTTGCTCATCCACCCATGCTTCCTTGCCGCCCTTGCCCTCCACGAAGCGGGCATACAGGATCTGGAAATGCACCGGTGGGCCCCCAAAGGCCGTGAAACCTAGGTCCCAAGTGCGAAGGAAGACCTCGCATAGACGACTAGATAAAGGAATGTTGTCGATTCCGTCAGTTGTTGTTGAGCTCTGTTGATTGCGCCATTTCCGCCTTAGTGAGTTGAGGGGCGCGACATAGCGTGATAGCGGGGTTAGGAGTTGCATCGTATTCTGATCTTTGTCCCTCGCCCTTGTTCTTCATCTGTGGCTGAATAGTTTACCGGGTTAACTCAACTGCTTTGAAAAGGGCTTCCTTGGATGCAAAGAAATGTTGATGCGGGGACTCGGGGTCTAGAGAGCCACTGGGAGCGCAGGATAGAGACACGGGTCGGTCTGGTGTCTTGGCCGGGGACTTAGTCACATCATTAAGTCTCTCGTGTGTTGGTATGGTCGGGTTTATTTTGCGAAGAGGTCATATTTTGAATAGCTTCATGGTTTATCTACGGTGGTCTTCGCGGAAAATATTGTAGGGTTCGCCTTATATCGCTAAAAGCGTTCATTATATAGATTGCGTCAAGATAAGCACTGGTAAGCCACCTACTGGGCAGCACAGACACAACTTATAGTGCCATTTAATATTATGACTCTAGTTTATGGGAAGACTATCCATCTTGATAACTTTCTGTCAATCAAGTGCTAGGGCTCAATGATAATCTATATTATTTCGACAGGTTTCCTCTTTTAACAGCGCCGATTCCTGAGGGCATTACCATTCACAATCTGATAGACTATATTTGATGAACCCCACATGGCTTATTTTGCAAATACTACAAGCCACAATATATAGCAAGAGCTACTGACCGAAATAGTCCACTAGAATAACGACAAGGGCTAATTGGCATAGTTATAAGGGATCTATCGAGCGAGTACATTGTATCCCCCGAGCAGTAGTACCTTCTATAAATGCTTGTGCATTTATCAGACAGACAATCGGTCAGCATGTCAGCTCACTTGCAGAGTTTTTTCCAACAGATTGTCATCTTGGCTCTCCATGTTTACTTACAATCGTGTAACAAAGCGCTGCTTTTTCACGACTTTAAAAAACTCAGTACCATCAATAGTTTGACCGATTTCATCGGCCCTCCCCATGGTTAGCCGGGATTACGAAACTAAACTAGACCTACCCTTATCACTTTGCTCACAATGACGACAAAAGGTAGTAAGCCTGAGCAGTCTATGATGAAACAATGAATTCTCTATGAATTCTCTGCAGCTACAGATATTCAGAGCCAATTTCCAAGCATCAAATCGAGACGAATACATGTGTTCGAGATGTACTCTTTATGATTAAGAAGACGTTGGTTTTATGTAGGATTATAGTGAACGCGTGCTTGATAAAGTTTAATGAGCAAAGAACGATCTCATCGCGCTCCGCGTTGGAGCCCATAAAACGCTTGGAGGTCTTGTGTCTGTGGGTGATATGTTAGAGCAGAGGACCCAATATCAGTGATTATAAAGCAGTATGGAGATAACAACTGGTTTGGAGCTTGATATTCTGAAGCAAACAGATGTAGATCACATCCAATGAGCATGGTGACCGCCGTAGATCTAGATTTTCTAAAATTAGCATCGATCGATCACTTTGGGGTCGGACTCGGACTTTCTTCCATCCGCCACGGCTAATATTTAGCTTGCGGTGTAGAAGTACAGCTGAGTCTGGACCCCGATCCTCCCAGATGAAGCATGTATGGTGTGGCCCATCATCATGGATGATATCCCGAGACGAGTCATGGTATACGTCCATGTCACCGACATAGCGGGAGACCCTCAACGGCGCCACAACTCTCTTGGCGAGACCTTTTGCAAGCAGATCCTAGGCAGAGACTTCCATGCGGAGCTTCAACCGTCTTGCTACGATCACGTTCACATCCCTGCCGATTTCGATTCGGATCAACCGCTAAAGCGATGGTTTATCATCGACCTGAGCGTCAAGCAGCAGCTCACAGCCGAGGCGGTTGCTCAGATCCCCCACGCGGTTTACATGGCAAGTCGCCAGAACGGTGAATTGTACGGAGACAAGACTTTTGCTTCAGGAAATTAACGCTCATGCCATCCTCTAGGATATTCATTCGTCGTGATACCTGGGTAGATAGCGCCATATCTCGAGCCAGGTCGTACACCTGGGGCGGCCGATTGGAACAAAAGATAGTAGCTGAAATGAGAGGAAGATCGCCCCAAGACCTCTCAATCTGAAAACACCACACGCTACACCCCACTCGTCGGTTCCTCAATCACGGAGTCTCGGGTGGTGTCATCCCTCTACAGACCGGACACTCCTCGTCGTCTTTATCCTCCTGCCAATCCCACACATCGACCCGTTGATGCGGAGGACAAGTCACCTGGTTCCGAATGGCCGGTTCGCACCGGGCGATGTACACGGTTGCCTCGTCGCCACACGCTCCGAATCGGCCTCGCACGTTGTCGCACATATATATATCTTCGCTGCCAGTATTTCTAGAGAATCGAGAGTGAACATGCCTTCACGGGCTTAGGTTTGGTTGTAGACTATTTACGAGGTTCGCTCTGTCTGTTGTCTAGTCAGACCGACTTCTACTAATGCTGAAGATGGAATAAGCCATACAATATACCTCTGCGGTGGTTGGACTACAGCCTCGCATGAAGAAAGAACGTTGGAGCGGTACTTCCGGGGTGATGATAGGTAGTGTCTTTTATGCAATGGAAAATAGATTGAAGGAAATGGCAAGGATATTGAGTACTAATTGCTTACATCCCTTCAGGCCATGTTTTTGTGAGGGGTAGATGGAGATCCAGCTGCCACGTAGCTTGCAAATGGGATTTCTTGATTCGCCGCTTTTTTCTCAGCCGCATGATTTCTACACCACTCATAGAAAGGACTGGTGGAGTTTACCTTAGGTAAAATGTCTCACAGCCTTGTCAGTGAGATGGCGACATGCGAAGAGTTTGATTGGTAGAGGATTGACACGATCAGGGAGAGCGCAGGGGCCACTACTTCAACATGAAATTGAATATCTTTTGAAGAGAATCACGAAATTTCTGTCCGTACCTACTTTCTACTGCTGAAATTTGTGCCCGGAGAGACCTCACGGATGAAAACAACAATATTACTTGAACACATGCCAGCCAAGCTAGCTTCTCTCAGCCCGTATGGCTGTTGCCTCATAGATCCAGTTTATCAAGGTAGAGTTCGGCATAGCTACACTAGTATATTGATATCTAAGGTAATAGCTTGAGAACAAGAAGAAAACATAAACCAACCCTCGACAAAAGAGGCAAGAACAACGGATCTGAGGTCCCAATCAACGAACGTAAATATCTAGCAACACTCCCCCAATTAAACCCTCAAGGCACCTCACTTGCCTCCAGCTGCTCCATCACATCAAAGTCATCGCCCTCATCACCTATAACGTATCAGCAGCATGCCTCCGGAAACCCCCGCACCGTGTGACTTACAGGGCATTTTATTGACACAGTTGTTCACGAAATCGCGATAGTGACCATCCTCTGGGTCCGAGCATGCATGCTCTCCGAACTCTTCCAGGATGTGGTTCGGCCTGAATCCCAAAGGCACATATCTGCCGTCTTTGGTGGTGAAGGCACGGTCATTTCCCATGGGGGTGTGAGGACGGGAGGGCATTGTGGTCTGTCACACTTTGCGAGTTAGTCTGACCTGGCAGACAAGAAGAAACAAAAGAAAAAAAGGATTATAGAGGGGGAAGGGCGTGGGGGATAAAGGTGTGATGTCATCTCTGAAGCTTAAAGTCTGTTTATATCACATGACTCGTGCATCAGTCCAGCATCCATGTAGAAGCATTGTATTAATTACAACTAGGTGATTTCCCAACGACAACTACAGTGATGAAAAATGTGGTCACAGATGTGACGGCAACTACATTACTAGTATGAACGTGCACACTCACTGCATCAGAGTTGGAGGCAACGAGTGAGATAGAGCCAGAAATAAAGTTGTGCATACGCGACGGTCCGCTCGACGATGAGTGGGTCAATAGTTCGTGGTTGCCGAGAGGTCAAAGCGCTGCAATGTAGAACTTTATCACGCAGCGAACTCTATGGTAGTATCTTGAGCGAAACACCTCGGAGTTATCATACACAATTCATTCTTGAGAAAAAGCGAAAAGGAGAAGTCGAAAGGAATGGACGCGTAATCAGCGTAGCGAGTCACGACACGAGGCAAAACAATAGTACCAAGTGCAAGAAGAGAAAAAAAGAAACCACGACTATCTGCTCCTCAATGGACGGATAGAAAGGATAGGTTTCATGTGAGAGGTGGAGGGTAATCAGGCATATACGCAGACGAACCTGTAGTTCACGCAGAACTCCAGATCGACAGAGCTAAGAAATACCATCACGAACATGTCCCAGCTGGCCAGACCAAGGCTTCAGCTCGGGTAGGGTCGATGTACTCTTGCGGGAAGATCCCACGCTAGCTGGGCAGATCATTCTACATGGCAAAGATCTTAATTCAGTTATAGTCGAGGCGATCTCGTGAAAATGCAAATCAATAGGTTGAGGGGCGCTGTTGTAGCCACGATCCGCAGTGTTCGCATACCTAAGAATCGCGGAATTGGCGCAGGGTATTCACCCCAGGGCCGCCCCAGCCCGGCCAAATCTGAGTCTGGGGCAGATCCTGCAGCCAGTCACCCATATCGTAACCAGATTGGGGACAGATCACTGGGAATTCTCTCCAATCCGAGCGTTGCTGTACGGCCCTCGGCTCGAGTAGGGTCTTTGATCAGGGTGATTAGGCATTCTGCACCTGAATTTAGATCCAGTATGCCCTCGAGGAAAGTATATGCTATGGATGATGGTCAAAGAGATATAAAAGGGAGGACAATTCTTGCGAAAGTGTTCTCAAATCCAATCTATCCACTTCCAATTGACTCCCAGCACCGCTTCAACTTCTATCAAGACCATACACGGTTATCTACCTCCCTAACAAATGATCAAGATGAAGTTCCTCTTTGCTCTGTTCGGCGTCGCCGCCATCACCTCCTATGCCATGGCTGCCCCCGCCGAAGATATGAAAGACGTGAAAGAGGCGAAGGAGGGAACCGAGGCAGTTGATAAGGCCCAGGTCGATAACTGGGACTGGTGTGCCCCGGACTTTACTGTACGTCCCTTCTTCATTCCTGAGTTCACACCAATCATCGGACTAACTTATCCAGTGCGATAGCAATGCCGTCTATCACGATGGCGGCTGCTACAGCCAACCTGACTGCCGTGCTAAGGCCAGAGATGTAAGAATCCAAGAGAGTTACTGCTAGCGAAGAGTCGACACTGACGCTGACTTGATGATAGGGTGACACTATCCGCAGCTTCGGATGTGGTGCTGGCTTCCATCCTCTCACCTGTTGGGTCGTAAGGATCATCTTGCTCGTTTCTTGGAGCCTGCAGAAATGCTCACTCATCTATAGTATACCGATTAAGCCCGGATCTGGATGGCCATATTAACCGGATGACACATAATGTAGTTCTTACTGGGCTACAGAGTTGGTGTTGGAGATATCACTCGTTGATGATCATGAACTTTGAGGACGTGCTCGAGAATAGAGGCAGACTAGTTATATTATATATGTACAGCTGGATTCACGACACAACCATAGCGGTAAAGTATTAAATGGTATATAACATAGTTTGCAATCTACCCAGTCTTCTGAAACCTCTTCAGCAAATGCTTCCTTGTCCAACCCTTCCCACTTAGCCGCGTAGTCGGCCCAATATGCTCCGAGCGCTCAGCATACATCCGGCTAACCTCCGTATTGGCCGGACTTATAAACAACGGATCGTCGGGTTCTCCCTCCAGCTTACATTCTTCTTCGGAGGCTCGCGACTCGAGCTCGGGAGACGTGATAGCCGGATCGTAGGACGACCGATGCATCCCGGCTTCGCTGTCCGTGCCGGACTCTGTATACTCTGCCCGCTCGGGATGTAAACTTGACCGGTCGAGGAAGGTGGCTTGGAGGTTTCTTTTGTCTTGCACGATCTGTCGGGAGGTGGTTATGTGCAAAGGCTTGCGACTGATGAAGCTTGAGTACCCAAGAGGTCGGGCTCGTCTACATACGGCGCGAAGCGACGATATCTGAGCGATGTTGCCACGAGACATTGCGTATAATTTAAGTGGGATAGTCATGTGGGTGGGATACTTGCGGGTTGGGAGAACACTGTAATATGGGGCGCCGTGATTTATACTTCATAGATTCCTTATGGTGGCAATGACGTCAGCATTCTAGATCTGGGGTGCTAAGGCGATTCCCACAGATCTAGGTATTTTGTTTGGATATGGATCATACAAGCTCGAATTACTAACACTGGAACCCCAAAGAGCGTTCAAATACTGTATGTAAAGGGAGGCTTTGGGTCGTGATGGATTCGATAGAATATGTACCTTTACCGAGATGCATCACAGATAGCGCCAACTTCACATTTCTATGGATGACCAAACTTGAAAACTAAGAAAACGTGCTTTAGTGAGCTCTGTCTTTCATGATGTCGAACTATGCTCGATCTCCAAGTGATCGCATTGGTTCCTTGTATATCCTCGTCATGACCCGCTGCCATGACTTATAGAGGAAACGGTACCATGCCTGTTTTTTCACTGGCCATAGCCATCATCTGTCATTCAATTCTCGCTATGACTGAGAGACTGAGAAGCTTCCACCAGTGCAAGTTTGAGGTACTGCAAATTTTGATATAAGGCCGGTGTATTTCAAAAGGTATTGTACTGATGTCATACTCGAAAAGCCATGCCCATGTTTCTTTCGATGATTAGATGTTTGTTGGCCAATTTGCGAGTGTCTTGTTTCGATTCGGAAAATCGATGAATAATTGAGCCTTATCCGTTCTTGTGGATACTCTGCTTCGTACTGCTAACTCCAGACACAACCTCAACCCCACGGAACGCTGGAACCGCTTCCGATTTGTCTGATCTAAGGGAGGAACGATGATTCGGCACTTTGGATTCGCTTTATTCGACTAATAACTAATTCAACTGATTCGATGAAGAACGATTGGGATGATGATGATGATTCAGGAAAGGCTTCAAAGCAAAAACAAGAAGGGACTGAAAGGGAGGTGGGGGGGGGGTCAAATGGGTTCCTTCCTGGGAAGGCGGCGGCGACGGCTCCTTCCCTTGCTGGCAGTACATTGCTCCTGACTTGTATGGGGTGGTTTCTGTTAATCCGTGTACCTTGTCTTTCGAGTAGTTGGCTTCCTTAAGAACCTGTTTCGGACAATCGTGCAAGCCGATATTCGGACCAGCATTTTCAGCGCCGGGCTGAGAGACAAAGTATTTCTGCGCGAAATATGAAACCCTTTGAGTCGTCGTCCGTCAGTTCTATCCAGCTGCTACTTGGTTGACATATAGATGGCAGGGTGCGGTGTAGGAACTGCCATTTTTCCTTGTATGACGCAATAGTAAACCGAGGCCATGCCGGTAGATCATTTCCCATTCATCGTATTCCACAAAGAAATAAATCTGCTGAATATCACAAGCATCCCCATTTTTTCACGCAGTCATATACAGACTTCGCAAGCGGCATCTATGTCGGATGTTCTCTGTTGATTACATCGCCGGCATATCTTAGGCAGCGATGCAGCGTAGTACTGCAGTGGCTAAGCTGCCGATGGTTCATCCAACGCTTTCACTGAGGACCGTGATGAGGATATATTGTCTGAACCTGCTGCTGTCTTGTACTGAGAAACGGTGTTGATTTTTCCTGGGCAAGGACGCCTCTGGACACAACCCGTAGAGTGCCAGTGTTTAATATCCCTGGGAGCCTTCGGCTGCCAGGTACCGCCCAACGGTCCTTCGATGTATTCATGGTACTTCATGACAAGGGTTGGAATTGACCAGATATTGTGATCAAGGAAGGAATTTCCACTTGGTCGTAGATGCCATCATGATCCTTTTAGCCTTTCTAAGTAACCCAATATTCAGTGCGACGCATAGAAACCAGAGAAAATATCCGGACAGATTGTAGAGGCTATCTTAAAACAGTATTGTTTCTTGACAGAAATTGATAAGAACGAAAACACGAGAGGACTTCCCAAAAGGCAGTAGGATATTTGTCTCAAGTGATGATGAATAACTACACCATTTGATTGCCACGTTTGTTTCAGTAACAGTGTCCAGTCTTCGGGTTTTTACATCGACCAGTCACCTCAGTAGGTGGGATTTACCCAAATAGATAGTCAGAGGTCATTCACTACTATCCCCTAGAAGGTTATTCCCTGTAGTGAATATGATGATATTTCATTCCTCCCTCTGCCCTTTCTCCTTTCCTCATCCTGTATCATTCTTTTCTTGCTGCATATATTGCTACAATACAGCCTATACTCATCGTTCATATTTTGGTGCAGAACAGCAAAACGACGATATTCAAGGCCACTGAGGTGCTAGCACGCTGTATCGTTTCGACTAGCCAGCGTGTTAGCGACCTCGCACCCGCCGCATAGGCTGGTTCATTATAGTACTTAGGGTAGCCGTCCTTCGGGGCAGAATAAAGAACAGGCGTCTTCCTCCTCCTTTCCCCTGCCGGCAAAGTAGATGAGCCTTGAGGCCCGCAGAGGGACCTCATACAGTGCCGACGCTGACCTCAAGCTCTAATTACTGGGCGAGATTCCTGATATAGTCGAGAATGGGCTTTGGTTTAGATATGCCGAAGAGGGTGATCCAATTATCTTATGCAAAGTTCGCAACAATTCCACATACCCTGCTTCGAGCTTGGCTACCTCGAACGCGTGAGGCGCAAATGATTCGGGTTTTCAGCTGGTACGCCGCGGAAAATTTACAGGCCTCGGACTTGAAGACGTTGGAAAATTTGGACAGCTAGCATGAATAGCCCACTGTGGTCACTGCGCCCACGAAGCCATTAAAAAGAAGATTTGCAGACCACCCTCTCTTTAGCTACAGTCTTGCACCCTGATAAAATAATAAGAATTGTGTTGAAGTTAAAGCAGTACTGAAGAGCATTTGTCACATTGAATAGGAATACTTACGAAGACCAACAGTCATGAGATCTTTCATCGCCGAGTGGTAATAATTGTAACAGCATCTTTGATCTGGATGGACCTTAGCACAACACTAAATTTAAATCACGTCAGTAGGCGGGCCAGCCCTATAGATCACCCCACTATATCGCCAATCTGACAGATGCGATTCCACTCAACTGAAGGTGATCAATCAAGTATTACTCCGTACACCGTATAGAAGGTATTACACCTGTATAGAAGATGCAGGTAAGTCCCCACATCACTCCGCCGCATTGGCTGGGGTGTCATGGCTGGGGTGTCATGGCTGGGGTGTCATGGCTGGGGTGTCATGGCGCGGCTCCTGCAAGTCCAGCTGTCAGCCTGGTCGGGGCCAACGCGGTTCTGGGCAGCGATGCAGCGAGCCATTATGCCTGTTGAAGTTCCCTGTCCCTTGGAGGTCATTAATATTCCGACGATGCTTGTATTTGTGTCCCGATCGTGGAATTCGGGACTCAACCATGGAGATGTGGATGACTTAGGGCAAACGTCAGTCAGCAGATTGCGGGCCGTTCTCCAAAAACACCAGACTGGCGGCATCCATCATCCTTCCATCATCATCCTGGTAATGCGTTGGCATCCCGGTCTGGGTGCGGATCGTCTTTTTTCATTCCAGAGCCATTGCGCAGGTATTACATATGGTTGAGCCTTGACCCCTCCTCTACGTCTGTTTTTTCAACCCCCGTCTTCCCCTCCTACATACCAATCCTCCTCCATGTGAATGAAGCCCCTTCATCGTCGCCCTTGAGCAGATGTAGCTTGAATCCTCTTGGGCACATTGACCCTCTACGCCATAAATATCATCGATTTGTTGGCAGTCGGTGTCGCCAGGTACTCATCCAGATCATCCCCACCTTCGTCGACTCCACCGGTCATCAAACTCTCTCGTGAGGGTAGGTGTCGCATCATCCCGACCGGCCAAACATCCCCTCCGCACCATTGGCTAACGGGGCTCTCAGACTGCAGTCACGATCGATGATCCATCGACATCATGTCCCGCGAAACCGTTGATCCCACGTCGTGTGCCTTCCTCTATCGAGGCCAGCCCCAGCCCAAGTCCGGCGTTTTACGACGCTTGGCGCAATGGATCTGGTCGGCCTGGCCCGTCGATCCCGACTCTTCTTCTCCCGCCGGCATCCACCCAGATCCTACACCCGACCCAGACGATCGCAATTATACCGTATCCACCGGACGCTGCGGAAACCCCCGGGCGGCGGCTTTGGCAACCCCGCGATATCTGCCTTCCCCGAACGACCCGCCGGTGCCGGAGGTGTCAAGCTATCCCTGTAAGGCGTGTCGGACGTGGGGTGTCGCGTGCGACCGCCAGCAACCGCACTGTTCACACTGTCTGGACCAGCAGATCCTGTGCTTCTATATCCCCCCGCCACGGAAGATGGTCAACCGGAAGAAAGCGCGGGTTGGCGTCGTGGTGTCGGATGGACAAAGTATCGGAGAAGTACCGATTGAAGGACTCAAGTAAAATGTTACATAGTATCTCGTTGAGAATATATATCCGCGGCCCGGATCTGATCCGGCCGTACTTATTCCTGGTTGTTCTCGCGATCGGAGAGGAATCCCGAACGATGCGTGATGGATCGGATCAGCGACAGCAGCGGAGCACTGTGTGCCGCACCCCACCACGCCTCACCGGTTTTTTGAGACTATATCATCTGTTTATGGGTAGCTGAGTTGGTTGCGGGGTGATTTATTCTAGTATCCGGTTTCCCCGCCCCATACACCCCAGACGGCAGTCAAATCTTCTCTCATCACTCACTCAGACATGGAGGCAGAATACCTCCGCCTCGCGGATACCATCCGCACCAAAGCAGGTGTTCACAATAAACCACGACTCCTGGTCGCCGTGGCCGGTATTCCCGGGTCAGGCAAGACGACGACGGCGTCTGCCGTGGCCCAGCGTCTCAACTCGGGCCCGTTCCCCATTCGCACCGTGCTCGTCCCCATGGACGGCTTCCACCTACCACGGTCCACCCTCGACCGACTCCCAAACCGGGAAGAGGCATACATCCGGCGCGGTGCGCCCTGGACCTTTGACGCCACGCGCTTTCTTGCTTTCGTCCATGAACTACGACACTGGGCGGACCAGGACCACACCTCTACTGACAACTCCCCCACACTCTACGCGCCGTCATTCGACCACGAGTCCAAAGACCCCGTCGAGAACGGCATCGCCATCACAGACGACACCACGATCCTCATCCTCGAAGGGAATTACGTTCTCCTAGACGAGCCGCAGTGGCGCGAGGTTGCACCCCGCATGGACCTGCGCGTCCTCGTGGACGCAGACCCCAGCGAGGCCAGAGACCGCATCGCCCGGCGGCACGTCCAGGTGGGTATTGAAGAGACCCTGGCCGACGCGTACCATCGCGCCGACAGCAACGACTGTCTAAATGCGCGGACGATCCGAGAGAAGCTGATCCCCCCGGATATTGTGGTGCAGAGTGTGGCGGAGCCGATATAGGCATATTAGCTTCAATCAATTGTTTTACATGCCACTATCTATCTCACACACCACACCTCCCGTCCGCGAATCACTCCTTAATCTGCTGCTTGTGGAAGACGCCTACGTCTGTTAGAGCAGGCTCTGCAAACCATCGACTGTCCACTCACCCGGAATCTCAGGCATCCAGCTCGCCCTCGAGCGACAAAAGAATTCCCCTTTGGGCGGCAACGCCTCGGGATCATCCAACGACCCGACACAGATATATCGGAACCGGTCCTTGACGGCGTCCTGCATACTCAGCAAAACCACAACATCAACCTCAATGGCTATGATCAACCCACCCCATACTCCCAGATGAAACTCCCACACGTGTCACAGAACGCGCGGTGCACGGCGCCCTCGTCACTTGAGACGTGCTCCTTGGGCGTGCCCTTTGTGATGCTCACGGCGTCTTTGGAGACTTTTGCTGTTAGGCCGTAGTTTGTCCCGAATGCTTTCTACGCAGGTCAGCTTCGTTGTTAGGTTGGATAAATGGAAGAGGAAAGACCTTGCAGTTCCGACAGTGGCAGAGGGAGGTGCGGGCGTCGTCGGGGGAGGCCAGCGTGAGCCGGTACTCGATGTTGCGACAGAAGCAGGATCCGGGATAAGAAGGCATCTTGTCGATACTTTTTACTATAACTGTTTACAGGGTGCACACTGGCTTGTGGTATACTCATTTATGTCGGGTTCAGCTATTAGAGTATATATGGTGACGTCATGTCAGACTGTGGGGCATTATGTCAGTGTGATCTGATCGAGATCGATCACTCTACTCTACTCCCCTTCGTACACCGTCATAATTAATATCTAGAATAGACCCCCAATGTCCATCATATCCAGAATGGCTACTAAGAAGCAAGCCGTCGTCTCCTCCCTCATCTTCCGCTTCCCAAACGGCCCCACCAACCCCGAAGTCGCGCTCTTCCAACGCAGCGCCAAAGTCCGCACTTACCAGTCCGTATACCCCTCCCCCAGGTCACCACCATGAGCACGCACCCTCGCACGATTCTCACATACCCTCCTCCCGGTCTAGACACCACCTCGCCCCAATAGCAGGCAGCATCGAGCCCACCGATCCCGACGCCCTCTCCGCGGCATGGCGCGAATTAGCCGAGGAAACAACGCTGAGCCCGATTACCCTCTCGCACTGGCGCACAGGGAAGCCCTTCACCTTCCGCGACGACTCTGTAGGACGCGAATGGACCGTTCACCCATTCGCATTCACCCTCCGCACTGACGCCACCGCCAGAGCCATCCACACAGACTGGGAGGCCGAAACCTGGCGGTGGTATAACGCACAGGAGGTCCTAACCGACACGACGCTGCAGACTGTGCCGCGACTGCGCGATACCCTCCGCCGCACGTGGTTCGAGGGCCAACTGGGCGCTCGCGCAGGAGGCGTACTCGCGTGTGGTCTGGACCGGCTAAAGACAGACCACGAGAGCGGGGCGCACGAGCTGGCCGCCGTGGCGCTGACTGTGTTCCGCGATGTGTTGATCGAGATGGCGCGCGAGCGGCGCGATCCACTGGCGGAGTGGGCGAGTATACGCATGACTGCGTGGCATGTTGTGAAGAACGGTCGGGAGAGTATGGGCGCTGCGACGTTGAATGCGCTGTTGGCTGTCGTGGCGGATATGGATGATGTGCGGCGGGAGGGGCCGGTCGGCTCATCGCTGCAGACGTGGGAGCGGATCGGTGCGGTGGTGGACTTCCATCTGCAGCGGAGGGTGGGGCACGCGGGGGGCGTGAAGGCCGCGCTGGGGGAGTATTTCCAGGCGCTGGCGGAGGAGGACGGTGAGAAGGGGAAGAAGGAGACGTTGACGGTGCTGACTATGTCGGCGAGTTCGACGATCCGGGATAGTTTGCTGGAGGCGTGGGCTGGGCTGGATGTGCCGACGTTGGAGCTGCGCGTGCTGGAGTCGCGGCCGCTGTTTGAGGGCGCAAGTCTGGCGTCGTCGCTGATGTCGCGGTTTAAGGTCGAGCAGCCAGCGGGGAAGACGCTGCGCGTGCGGCTGTACCCTGATGCTGCGGCGGCGGTGGCGGCGCGCGGGGTGGACGTCGTCTTGCTTGGGGCGGATCAGATCTCTGCGCGGAAGGGGATCTGTAATAAGACGGGGTCGCTGCCGGTTGTGTTGAGTGCGAGGGAGGTCAATCTGGCCACGCATGTGGTTGTGCTGACCCAGGCGGAGAAGATCAATGGCTGTCCGGACGTGGTCAGCGACGATGCCCCTGAGGATAATGGTCCGCCGGAGGTGGTGGACGCGTGGTGTCGGGCTGATGTCAAGGGTTTGCGTGTGCTGGAGGAGGCCATGGTGGAGAGGGACGATAGGCTGCAGCTGGATGTGCATAATGTGTACTTTGAGTGGATCCCACTGCATCTGGTGGATGCGTTTGTGTGTGAGGAGGGCGTGCTGACGGAGGAGACGCTGCGGCGGAGGACGGCCGATCTGGCTGCGTTGTATGATAGACTGTTTGGAGATCTATAGCTTAATCTGTTGACATCTGTGGGGTGGTCCTTTGTAAACCACCCATCAGTACACCAGAGATCAGTACGCAGATGCATCATGTCCGCCATGTCCGCCATGTCCGCCATCACCCCAGGACGTCACCTCTTCACCTCTGCGCGCACACACCTCACCTTTGAATACATTGTGCAAAGCCAGTCACCCTCTACAGAGCGCCTCATCATCGTGCAGTGTCCAGCCTGGGGCCTCGGCTCACGATACCTCCAACATGGACTCTCCCCCCTCGCAAACACCCACAACAACACGCTCCTCTTCTTCCACCCACGAGGAACAGACAACTCATCTCGCCCAGCAAACGTCTCCCAGATGACCAGCATGCCCGACCTCTCCACCGACCTCGACGACCTGCGCCAACATCTCCACCTCGACACTCTCCCCACCATCCTCGGCCACTCCAACGGCGGCGCCATTGCCCTCGGCTACGCAGAGACACATCCACATCGCGTGAACAAGCTGATCCTCCTCAACCACCAACTAATCGGCACTTCCGAGCGCCGCCTCCTCACCGAGCGCGCGACCCTCGCCCACGACCCGCGCTACCACGCCGCCATCGCATATTCCCCACTCCCCAGCCCCCACCCCCAAACAGACACCTCCTTCACACGCGATATCACCGCCCTCTGGCCCCTCTACTTCTATGACCCCAAGCGCTACCTCCCCACCCTCCTCTCCGCCATCGGAAACCGCGTCTTCCCGCTGTGGTGCTACACAGCCGTGTATGGATGTGATGCGGCGCTGCAGCGTCCACGGCAGATGATAGACGGGTTGGGCGCTGTGAGGGCAGATACGCTGATTATTTCTGGGAGGGACGATCTTGCTTGTGGGCCGGGTATTGCGCGGCAGACGGCGGATGGGATTCCTGGCGCTAGGGTGCTGGTCTATGAGGAGTGTGGCCATTTTCCGTGGATTGAGCAGGGGGGGAGGTTTATGGAGGATGTTCTGAGTTTTTTACGGGGTGGTTTAGTATAAAGATATCTGTATGTTGTGTTGGGTTGTTACTCTATGGTTTGAGTGGGATTTGGTTGGTTTGATATATAGTTGGATATACATATTTGGTCTGGATCTGTTCCTGGGCGAGGAGTGAAGATATTGATTGGGTGATGGGTGAGTGTAGACTTTGATTTTTCAATGATACGCTCTACAGTGAATTTGGCTTGGATAAATGTATCAACTCTCAGGACTTCCAGTATATTGGTTTCTATATAATGGCCAATATGGCAGTTCAGTAAGTTGAACCACTATCTAAGCCATATGGACAGGTTAAGACTACTAACATCATCTGACATCATCTACTTATCTACAATGATCTTGATTTTGATAACATATATTAAGGTTTCTTTTCTATATCGATTGGTCTTCAAGTTATAGTACAGCTCATGATTTTATCCTCATACTAAGCCTCGCATCAAACGACCGGATCCTGCCCGTCGCGACAAGATACTGCATCCACCCAAGCCCCATCTGCATCATTGGAGAATAAGACAACAACCCATCCACCACGTGCTTTGCCAGCGCACGAGCAGCTTCACCCTCCTCATAGCTGGTAGGCGGCTCCTCCGGTGCCCAAGCCCGCCGCGCACCAGTGGTAACCCCCCTCAACAAGCGCTCACACTCCGCACAGCGCTCCCCCCTTCCACCCCGTCTGTATCCCGACCCCGTCAGACTCAGACTCAAAACAGCCATGCCGGCAATCGAGCACGCCCCGGCCAGCGGGTATCGCAGTGCTGCGCGCAACATAGCCTCCAAGGTAACATGGAACGGGTCCTCAAACCCCATCCCACAGACAGCCGACACGGCATTCTCAGCACTCCCAACAGCAACATCACGGCGCCAGTCGAGCAAATCGCGCACAGCCATCGACACAACCGGCGCAGTGAGACCCTCGTCCCACGACGCGCGACCATAAACACTCGCATCCAGCATCGACGCCGCGCCACTAACAGCCCGCCACCGCAGCGCAGCCTCCACCGACATCTCGTCGCCGGTGCCAGGCTCATCGAAGAACGCCCCATCGAGAAGCACGCACACAGCCTCTCCATCAAGGTTAAACGCAGCGCCCAGCGCCAGCGCAATCAGCCTTATCCGCGCCTCCTCCTCCCCGCCCGCGCACCCCGCGTACTCATCAATCGTACTGGGTAGGCCTAAGTACGTCGCCTGCACGGCCTGTCTAGCCGGCATGCGGCGCGACAGCACAAGACTATACGCGCCCGCAAGGCCGTCCAGCCCAGGGTCATGTCCGCCGGGGATATCATCCAGCGGGCGACCGCGCAAACCAGCCGCTATCTTCTCCGTCCCCAGCACAGCAACGTCAGGTATGTCGGGCGCAAAGCCCGCTGTCAGTGCACGGAAAGTACTCGAGCACGACGCAGCCGAGCAAGCATATCGTGCCGCCTCGCGCGGAGACTCAATCAACGCGCGACAGTACTCGACTGCATCTGTCCAGGCAAGATCACCCAGTCCGGGGAGTCGGCCCAGCAGGGCGAGTAGGCCTGTTTCGACGGTGTGGGACTGGCTGTCTGTGGATGATACACGGTCGAGCTCGTCGCGCAGCTTGGCGACGAGCCAGGGGCTCATGGAGCCGCAGGAGGAGCGGCGGCGGGGATGGCTGCTTTGGAGTCTGTGAAGGCCGTTGAGGGTGGTGTTGGAAGTTATGGTGTTTGGGTGGGCCACGACGATGGACATCTTGTGAGCCATGTATTGCGTGTTTTTATTGTATCTGGGATGTATATGATTGTGTGGATGTATCCACTGTGGGAAAATATAGGAGGACCATATGAATCGACTGTAGTATAGTACTCTCTAACATGACCAACTCGACGAGAATTGGAGAAACGACAATATTAATATACCCTTCTGCCCAGCGATAGACTTCCTCTCCCCCATGTCGAGAAAAAGTCAGTCCAACCCACCACACTATCACCGGCAGTGAGACACACCGTCATAACCCCCGATCCCAGATCTCAGGGACCGTGTTCCTCGAACGATCTACTTCTCTCCCGACAACTCAGATCATGACGTGCTGTCAGTCCGTGGTACCAGGTCCTGACACCCCCTTCTCGGGCCCCACCAAGCTTAATCTTCGTCAGTGACGTCGACGCCACGGGGTACATCCGTTTCTTGGCCCGTTTTTTAACCAGTCTTTTGGCGGTTAATGGGGAAGGGGATACATGGTACAGCAGACGGCAGGGCCATCGCGTCGGGTTTTCTCATGTGATGGCAGGTTTATTTCCTAGCGATGTCGAGTTGACTTTTGGAAACCACGAAAACGGAAAGTATTTTTAATACTTTGTGATCATTGCTCGGCCGAGGTCGATCCATGGTTCGATGTTACTTTTTATGATTCCTGGGCTTGGACGATCCGGTCCTCTGGGACAGGGAATAGGAAGTATATATACATCCTTCTCTTAGGGTTGGTTATCAGAGAGGATGTAGCTATCGCCACGGAGAAAAACCCGCACCGTCGACTTGGGGTCCTGTCGTGACGATCACTATTCTGCTGGGGAGATGGATGCTTTACCCTGGATATCATCACTGGGTTGGGTTATTATACATGGGTTGGTAGATCCATAGGTTAGGGTTGGGTATCATCTTGGATTGATCTCCACTCCTAGCTCTGGTGGGAGATATTGCTCGATCTGGATTTGAATCGATAATGTCATTGTCAGATTCTTCCGTATACTGATCTTTAGGTGATTTATAAAGCTATAAATCTAGAGATGAACATTCCACTTATTGAGCAGGCCCAGCGAAGGAATGACGGATTGTCGATCTATAACTATACAGACAGGGAAATGCATCTTTGCTGCATGGTTTAATAATTGTGGAGCAACACTTAAAGTGAACCTATTTGATACTTTTGAAGAATATTATTGAAAACATAAAGGTCGCATGTGGCATGTAAAGCGAAACAAACTGTGGATAACTACAAGATCAGCCCACAATGATATGACCAACCGATCTACTCCTACACCTCAGTTTATACTCCAATCATCCAAACAAATGTACATTATTAACAGCTAATTCCCAAACCAAACATCTCAACTATCGGTATCTCAAAGCAAAAAAAGAGCAAAAAACGCCCCCAGCCAATCCTCATCAATCATACTAGTATGTAAGTTCAACACTCCCGCACACGGGCCTGACGCTTCGCGGTTCCAATATGCGTGTTGTGCACCTTAGTCGCGAACTTCAGACTCGTCAATGTCTCGCCCATGTGAGCCTGCAGCGGGCTGACCATGACGAACATGAGGGTCTTGGAGTTGCCGCCTAGGGAGAATTGGAGGAGATATGTCAACTGCGACAGTTAGTGGTGTTTCTTCAAATCGCCAAGGATGGAGAGAGAGGGACATACCTTGCTGTTCCGGTACGGAATGTGTCCGCCGTCTTTGCCCTGTCCTAGGGCTGCGATCACATCGCCCAAACTGCTGAGGCTGCGGTTGATGTTCTGCGTTTCCCTCAGTCGCTCGCCCGTCGCCTGGCTCTGGCTCAGTCGCTCGCTACCCGCCAGATCGACCAGGTTGAGGGTTCCCTCGCTGCGCTCGCCGGTGATGTGGTTCTCGCCGATCAGCTTGAGAATGAAGACCGAGTGCGACCGCGACGACCGCTCGTTCGCCTTCGTCGCTGCCACCGACCGGTTCGCGGCCGCGCGCTTGAGGATGGTCTCCACCATCTCGGGGGAGTCCAGCCGCACGGTGTTCACGTCGGTGATGATCGTCTTGCCCCGCTGCATGTCGTGGCGGATCTCGTGCCTCTTTTTGTCGAGCTCGTCCGGATTGCCCAGCAGGTCGTTCAGGTTCTCGTTGTACACCTCGACGAAGTTGCCTTCCATGGTGTATCGCCAGCCCTTGTCTTGCAGGCCCGTCGCCGTTTCGTAGATCTGGTGCACCGCCCGCGGGATCATGCCGTCCAGCGAGGACATCGTGTACGTTTTGCCACTGCCCGTCTGGCCGTAGCAGAAGATGCACACGTTGTACCCGTCCAATGCGCTCTGGACCAGCTGACTGATCTCGTCAAACACCTCGGCGTTCTGCGTGCTGGGGGCGAACACCCGGTCGAACGAGAAGACATTAGTCTTGCGGGACACTGTCCCGAGACTGCTCTTCTCCTCCGGCCCCATGAGGCTGATTTCCTTGCAGTCTTCTGAGTCGTCGGGAAACTGGATCTGCGCTATGTCTGTCACGGGCTCGCTGCGGAGCGAGGGACGCACGCGGCAGAACACGCGGATATTGCCCTTAAGCTCCTGCACCTGGTTGTGGAGCTTCCTGCGCAGGGTTTCCTCCTTGCGCAACTGGTCCTTGGTCGCGTTGGTTTCCGCCACGGCGTCCATCATTCGCTGGTTGATCTGCTCGAAAGCCTGAGATTGCTCCTCGCGTCCCGACTCCAGGAACTCGATCCGGGCTTTGAGTGCCCGGATGGACGATTCCAGCGTCACACTGTTGCTGCTGGCCGTGTCCAGGTTGTGTCGGAGATCCTGGGTGCCCTTTCGTTCGCGGTCCAGCGCGTCCCGTAGGCCTTGCACGTCGGTCTGGAGGGCGGCAAATTCCCGCTCTTTCGCCTGCAATTCGATCTGAGACCGTTGTGCGTCCATCGCGGTCTGGGAGTTGAGCTGGTTGATCTCCCGGAGTCGAGCCGCCCTTTCGTTGTCCAATTCTTCCTCAAGCTGTCGCTTGAGTTGCCTCATATGTTCGTCGTGTTGTCGGGCCTGAGCATCCTGTTCATTTCTGGCCTCTTGTCTCGCAGTTTCCACGTCCACTCGATAGCGCTTATTCATGTCGTCGAGGGAGATTTCATGATTCCTCTCTGCGCTTCTCAAGGCCTCTTCGGCGGCAGCTAGGCGGACCTTCATGGACTCCAACTCCACCCGGAGACGAAGGTTCTGTTCGGAGGCCTCCGATTTGGCCTCTTCCAATTCATTGACTGCGGTTCTGTCAGCGGATTGGTCTTCCGCAGGTCGCGTCTATTCCCTACCTCGTGATTTATAGAGCTCCACCGTTTCCTTCAGACCGAAGCTTTCCTGTCCCGCTTGGCTCACCCCGGAGATGATTTTCTTATAGAATTCTTCCATGGTTTTTTCGCGGGATTCCTGGTCCCAATCTGCACCTGGGAATAAGTTAAATCCGGTGGTCGTGGACTCTTTGGTCAAAAAATGGGGAACAGGAGGAGGCTTTCGCGAAGATCGCCTTGATGGGGACATGAGTCTGCAGGGAGGGGGTATGGTTGGGGTGGTTGTAGTGGGGTCTGGGCTCAGGGGTCTGGGGCTATCGCAAACAGCAGAGCATTTGGGGTCCGGGGAGTTGCAGTGCGATGGGTTCAGTGCTGAATGGTCCATCGCGCAAGACTTCACCTGAGAATGCTCGGGTCTACATGGGATTGTCTCACGCGACTTGCCGCTCGTGCCACCATTTGACCGTGACCATGGGACCAAGGAGGGTGGAAAAAACATAGCAAATGAGAATGGTTGCCTACCCTTTCGTTTGCCCAGCACGCTTGTACTATCTTCCTCCTGATGGGTATCCAATGAAGTGGCCGGTCGAGGTATCGAGGGTCCGTTGGGCTTTCGAGCACCGGCGAGGGAGGAGTGTGGACGGGGCATGCCGGTGTTGGATCGCGAACCGGGACCGACGGTGGAAGCGAATCCTTTCGTGCGCGAAGCGGTCGAGGCAGATCTACCCAGCGTAGAGGAAGCGTACGAGTTGGCCCGGTTGTGTACCTTACCGGAGGCTGCGCGCGAGATCGTCGTTCCGGTTGTCTTGGTCGGTTCCGGGGCGTGTGTGGTACTTCTGGTGCGGTTGGGAGCTGTCCTCGTCAGCCATGAACGCTAACAGTATAGACAGTATACATACGCGCCATCCCTGATACCTTGCCGGCAATAGAACCGGGAGGAGCAATTCCCGAACGAGAGTTGGCCAGAGCCGATGTCATCTCCTTTAACCCGCCCCCGACCTTGGGGATGCGAGACCTTGTCGGACTCGGAGGCTGCGCCTAGAACAGACGTCAGTATCAACCATTGAAGCATAACATGTGCAGAGATATACCGAGCTCGCGTTCTCCATGATGGCAGTGTGGATGCGATAGGAGTAGCAAAGGTAGAGATCCGTCGGTACCTGGGTCTTGGAAAGGAGGAAGAGCAAGAAAACAACAGAGGCCACGGTGGGGAAAAGAGGGGGGGAAGTGGACTAGATCAAGCAAGATAAGGCTAACAGGGAAGAAAACTGCAACATATCAGTGAGGGGGCGACCGCTGTCGTCAACATGTGTGCAGTCAAGTCCAGATCGATGGATGAAGCCGGTGATGCTGATTATTATTGCCGATCCGCCGTTTCCGCAGCAACAAAGGCGGTAAACAATTACAGCTGACTCATCTGGATAGTCTGCATTACGCTAGTCCCAAAGGGGCAATGGTGGGGATTCACGACACCTGAAACGTCAGGCCAGCCATCGTTGCCGCATTCAGGCCGCCAAGCTTCACTTTCTCCACTCTCATCTTCATTGAAGCTACAACTCCCTAAGCTCTCTCTCCATTCTGTCCTCTCAATTACTCCATTCCCGTGTCATTCTTACACCGTTTCACTCTCCCTTTCTCCATTGTCTTGTCTGTTTGTTGTTACACCTTCCTCCGGGATGTCTGGTCGCTTTGTCCGTTCCTCCAAGTACCGTGAGCCTCTCTCTTCCTCCCCTCCGTTGCCCGCCAATCTGACAGGTATCAATCACTAGGACACGTCTTCGGGCGGTCGACGAGAAAGGTAGGATCTCCCCTCCCTTTTCCCGGTACCGCCATGCGGATTGCTGATGATCAACCAGGATCAATGCTATGATAACCTCCGGGTGTCCAGAAATGCCTGGGATAGCAACCTCGTCAAGGTTCGTCCCCCTGCCCCGTCCCACCCCGTCCCGCCCCTGAGTCGCCCTCCCAAACAACCGAAATCTAACCTTCGACAAGGCGAACCCCCACTACCTTTCCGTGAACTGGGAAGCCGGTGGTGGTGGTGCTTTCGCTGTCATTCCTCTTACCGAGCGTGGCAAGCTGCCCGAGCGCATTCCCCTCTTCCGCGGTCACACCGCTGCTGTCCTGGATACCGACTGGTGGGTTGAACATAATCCGTGGAAGGATCACACGTGCCAACACTGTTAGGAATCCGTTCAACGATGATTTGGTTGCGTCTGCCTCGGACGATGGCAAGGTATGTCAATCTAAAGTCGTGGGTATGGGCGATCTGTTAACTAATGACACCGCTAGGTCCTTCTATGGCGAGTACCGGACAACTTTACTGTGCGCCCCGACGTCGACGCCGATGACATCCGCGATGTTGCCCCGGTGGGCAAGCTGAGCGGTCACCCGAAGTAAGCTCAAAGTCCTACCGTTCCTGCATGGCCATGACCCTGTCCGAGACAACTAACCAGCGCAGGAAAATTGGTCACCTCCTCTTCAACCCCGCGGCGGAGAACATCCTAGCAACAGCATCCGGCGACTTCACCATCAAGGTCTGGGATGTCGAAGCTCAAGCCCCCAAGCTCACCTTAAACGTGGGTGATGCCATTCAGTCGCAATCCTGGAGCGCCAATGGCTCCCTCATGGTGACGACGTCGCGCGACAAGAAGCTGCGGATTTGGGATGTGCGTCAGGAGCGTCCCGCACACGAGGCCCAGGGACACACGGGGGCCAAGAACAGCCGTACCGTGTGGCTGGGTGAGCGCGACCGGATCGCGACCACTGGGTTCTCCAAGATGAGTGACCGCCAGCTGGCCTTGTGGGATATCCGCGCTCCCCACGAGCCGATCAATGGGTTCAAGACCCTCGACTCCATCTCTGGTGTTTGCATGCCGTTCTGGGATGAAGGCACGCAGTGCCTGTACCTCGCAGGCAGAGGGTAAGCAACAGTGACCCCGCTGGTTGTTGGGTCTGCTAATATGGTGCAGTGACGGCAACATCCGCTACTTTGAGCTCGAGAACGACAAGTTCGAATACCTCTCCGAATACAAGTCGGGCGATCCCCAGCGCGGTGTCGCCTTCATCCCCAAACGTGGGGTCAACACGCATGACAACGAGGTGGCCCGCGCGTTCAAGACCGTCAACGACTCGTACATCGAGCCGGTCTCGTTCATTGTGCCCCGCCGGTCCGAGAACTTCCAGGATGACATCTACCCGCCGACCATTGGCCTCAAGCCCGCCATGGGCCCGTCGGAGTGGTTTGGAGGCAAGGAAGCCATCCCTCCCAAGGTGTCCATGGCCAGTCTCTTTGAGGACGAGGGTCTGAAGGAAGTCACTGGTGTGCAAGACAAACCGACCGCCACGATGGGTGCCCCCGAGCCCAAACCCGCGGCGGAGCCTAAGCCCGCCGAACCGACGCCCGTCAAGAAGGCCCCTGAGCCTGTTCCCGAGCCGACTCCCGTCGCGATGGTCAGGCCGGAGCCGTCTATGAAGGAGCAGGGCGCCTCGATGGCGGCCATGGTTAACAAGTTCGCTGATAAGGAGGAAGAGGCCGAGCCCGTCCAGGTGGATACCAGCTTCGACGAGGTTCCCAAGCCCGCTTCGCGGTCTAACACCACCTCCCCTGCCATCAAGATTACCCCGTGGCACCAGACGGAGAAGGCTACTCCCAGTCATGTAGGTGACCCCCTACTCCTTCGTCAATGACATCTGCTGACTTATCCAGACCCCCACGGCCGACCGCTCCCCAGCCCCCAGCACCCCAACCGTTGGTACTCCCAGCAGCGCCACGGGGCCGACACTGCCCGCCAGCAGCGCCATCCCGACCGACACGGTGCAGCGCGAGATCGGAGCGATCAAGGACTTGATCGCGGAGCAGACCAAGACGATTGCCACGCAGGCGCAGCAGGTGCAGAACCTGACCACGGAGATCGAGTCGCTCAAGGCCAAGCTGGGCTAGCCGTCGATGTGACTCCGCAGCAGCGCCCCCCTGTACGTAGACCTGTGTATTGTAATTATTTTCGATCGTTTGCGCGGTAGAACATCGTCTTTCCTTCTTGTTTCTTCTTGATGTCCATAGCTTTCCTTGACCTGTTTTGGCCACGGTTTGATTGTCTGTTCGTGTCAATAGTATATGTACATCCATACTCGATGTACATTCTAAACCCCGACTTATCATGTAGTGTAACCTGATCAAGCATTTCAGCATGGCCCCCGTTCCGTCCCACAGTCTTCCACCAGGCCACAAAATTGGAATGTTCCACAGCACATCACAGCCTCGTTGGCGATTCGCACTCTGGCATCAGTAGGCGTCAACCCCACACCCGTCCACCGTTTGACGCTGCCACGGCTCGCGACAGTTGATCCAAAATCAATCCAGTCCAATGAAGCATGAGCTAGTACCAACAACTGCGGCGCTAATGTACGTAAAGTCTCCATAACAACAGGAGCGCCTGCATCTCAAACATACCAATTGTGACGTGGCTCGAGTGAGACTTGTTCTCACTATGACCGGCGTAGTGCATATAATAGTGGTGGTGTATAAATTCAGGCTCCGTCACCTTCGTCGCTACAGTGGATGTAGAAACAGTGATTGCAATCAGTTAAATGCTCGAGCTGACTTTGCAAATACTGGTTCTTTTCTGATCCTTTATAGAAGTTGTCCAATCCCACAACTTCTTCAATATCGTCAAATTAGATTATTTTCAACGGCCCTTCCCACCGAATACACAAAAATCCATCAAATACAAAACAACTTCAACTCCCTATCACAGAATAACCCACAGGGTACCATATCAACCACTATACCATGGAGGGAGTCTTTGGCCGGTATGCCCCACTCCCTCAAGCCTGTCTTTTCAGTTTCAGAATTCTCAAAGCTCCTTCTAGCTACATCACTTCCCCTCTATTTACCTTCCAAATCGGACCAGAGAAGAAAGAATTTACCGTGCATTCACAGCCTCTGGCGCAACTTTCAGATGTCCTTGATAAGCTCATGAATGGTAAATTGGTGGAGGCAAAGACCAAAAGTGTGGATTGGTCGGATGTCGACGAGGATAGTTTCGTGAGGCTCTGCGAGTATGCTTACTTGCAAGACTATACACCCCCATCTCCTCTCGGGGTAGGTGTGTGTTTCGAAGACACGCAGACAGGACTTTTTGAGCAGCCGGATGTGGTTGATGAGGTGCTATCTGCTGCCAAGCCTGAGCCTGAGCCTGAGCCTGAGTCTGAGTCTGAGTCTGTGGGGGGATCTTTTTCAAGCCGACCAAAAACCGAGTTTGCTCAATTATCCGCTAAAGAAAGGAAGCGCAGAAGTCGCGAACAGAGATTATCTTTACAGAAGCCGCGAAAGCCCGCATCTCCAGTAGTCGAAGACTTGCTACCATACAAAGAAAAGAGCATTTGGACAAGCCATCTGAAAGACTGCTTCTCACCACTAGCCGTGGACGTTACCAACAACAGCTCACACCAGGCCCGAGAAGCTCGTTTCTCCCCACAAGCAAACACAAAAGACCAGGACTTCACACCTGTCTTCCTAGGCCACGCACGGCTATACCTCCTAGCCCATAAATACATGATCTACCCCCTCTGCGACTTGGCACTCTCCAAAATGGCACAGACCCTTGATATTTTCACCCTGTACCGGCAGAGCGTGCCGGCGGTTCTTGAGCTTGTGCGGTTCGTGTACGCCGAGACAGGGCGCTTTGCTTTTGCGACTGGCCGCCTGCGCACCCTTATCACATCCTACATGGTGTCTGCCCTTGGGCAGCTCGGCGACGATACAACATTCGAGGCGCTGTTGGAGGATGGAGGCGATTTTGTTTCTGACTTTTGGCGTGCGGTTTGGAAGGCTGGTTGAAAATGATTGCTTCTAAAACGCTTGTATTGGCTTCGAAAACACATTTGTTATATAAAAAGCAACTTATCAGCCAAACGAGCAAAGATGGAATATGTGTGGCACATTCCGTAGGTTATTCCGGAACTCTATCTTATGCTCTAACGACCTGCCCGTTCCCGGTATGGCAGACAAAGCAGAGATATCACACCTCTTAGCAGAACCTTGTCTGTTATTGTGGTATAATGACTGATCAATGGACCCTAGGAATGCATTGATACTGCATGACGTGGTTTATTAGAGGCATAGTTGTCCGGGCGCAGTTGGACTTGGTGAACACATGAATATATAATGCGGAGATAGTGCACGCAATCTTCAATTCAATTTTCTATGAAGTTACAATCTTCTATGGACTCAAGGATAGCCGAAAAAGCACAAAATAGACATTAATAAAAACAAAGCATAGAATCATCATTTGACTGTTTCCACCAGTATTTTCCCATGCATATAACTACATATATAGAGGTGTCTTGATGTATGTTGAGCTACCGCTAAACAGTGGGTCTTGTGAACTGATGGCGTACAGAAACACGAACCTAATTATGACGGTACAGAAGCCAAACAAATTGATTATCTTAACATATAACTGCAGACCCTTGCGGATTTTGACAGATTCCAAACGGTGACCTTAGACCCGTCGAGACCTCGTTCAACGTCCCGAGTGGACGAATTCGGCGCTGGCACTTGTTCCAACCCCAATCCGGAACAAATTTCCGAACGCAATGCTGCGCTTCTAAACCTCAGGTGTAATGTCAGAGGTGTGGATGATAGACAACGGGGCCCTGGAAAAATGGTGTCTGCTTTGAATCTGGGGCCGGCCTCCTAGAGTTAGGGCTTGGCTGGGTCTAAGGCGTAGGGGTATACATCTAAAGAGCTGAAACGATAGTGTTTTGATTGTTTCAACCAAAGCCAGTATATTCCAATATTCAAGGTTGATGCACTAGCTGTCGACAGGCATTGGTGTTGCCCGGCAACACTGACAATGCCGCAGATGATATGACAATCTGAGTCTCCATCTGTGTCTGGCAACTCCGATGCTCAAGACTGTCTACCTTATTCACCTCTGCCCTGACTACTCTGTTCACACGCCATGTCAAACGAAACAGAGAATCTCTATCGCACATATCAGCAGGGGCTTGATGATATAAAAGCTAGTATCACGAGCACCACAACTGACCAAATTGATACACGCCAGGCCGAAAAAGCAGGTATCAAACAACACAGGATATCACTCAACCAAGACGAAAACAGACCCCAATACTTCATCCCATTCGACCAGATCATCCCACTATCAGATTTAAACTATCCAACCTTTCAGGCCGATTCCAACTTCTACGCGAGAAGCCTCCACGGGTACATCAAGAATCTCTTCACCGAAGTATACCAAGACGAATACCCCGTTCAGCCGGGCATTTGCTATGTGCCGTATATCTTCACTCTCTACTCAACAGATAGAATGCCCATACTAACCTCTTCAGATGGGGCGATCTACCCGTCGAAGAGCTACTCGAAATCGACCGTTACTGGAGCGTGTCTCTCACAGCCTCTGCGACGGGACGTCCAAGACGACCTCATATCAAATGTCTCATGTCCGATGACATCTTCGAGGGCGACGATCGACTTAATCGCGGTGAAATCATAACCATGATTCATCTTATCAAAGCGCGGCTTGAACCCCCATATACTACCGAACCGGTAAGTCGCTTGCCTTCTAGGAGACTTGCCTCCATTAATGATTTATACGACCAGGTCCTGATCTTCTCTGTCATGTATCCGCATCATCTGCGTGTCCTGGAGGCGTCGTACAATGGTGAGAACCTCGTAGTGGGAAAGACGCCCTTGTATGATATGGCAACGTATAATTATGCATTGTTGGTGTCCCTGGCAAAATGGTGGTTGGGATATCCAGTTCTTGGAGCCCCGTAAAGGCGTTGCACGTGGAAAGGCATACCATAGTTGCTATACTAGATCTTTCTTGTCTTGAGGATATGACGCACCATCACTCGCCCACTCAAAAACAGACCAGATAGTACAACAATGGTCAACGAAACGAATACAATTTAGTGAAGAATTTTAAGCTGTACAGTAGTATCTCACTTTTATTAATCTATATCTACATAACAAGTGAGAAAGAAAACACCGTCTGTCAGTCCGTCCATCATGTCAACGAAACGAAGCGAAACGAACAACATTCCCACCCCGCTGATGCTAACGTGAAACCCAACCCAACCCAATCTATAGTGTTCGTCGTGGCCGTGTCCAGATGTAGCAGTGAATGAGAAGCAGAAGTAGAAGCGGTGGTATGTCAAGGCGGGGATGAAGATAGTTCATAGTTCAGAGAAGGGAGGGTATGTAATGGTAGTGGGAGGGGAGAAGTGGCAGGTAATGGTGGAAAGTAGATGAGAGAGAAGAGAGGCATATGCAGTTAAGACCACCTCTCCGCCTCCCGCTCATTCTCAACACGCGCCGTCCTAGCCGCGCCATCTTCCTCATCCTCGTACTTGTAGCTCATGCGACGGTTGCCACCGCCTCGCTCGCGTCGTCGCCCACCACCACCACCAGTGTTACCTGACTTATTGTCAGATTGCATGGCTTCGCGGCGCTGCTGCTCCTTGAGCAGGCGTTCTCGGTTGCGCGCTTCGCGCTCGAGTGTGTGGGGGTCTTTGTCAGACTGCTGGGAGGGTTTCGCTGATGAGGAGTCTTTCTCTCGGGTACTGCGCTGTCGGTCGCGGTCACGATCTCGATCTCGATCTTGGTCGCGGTCGCGGTCGCGGTCGCTACCCTCGTCGCGCGCGCGTTTGCTACGACGGGAGGATGTGTGGTGACGGGAGAAGTCGCTGTTGGCAGGAGACGCGGACCGATCGCGACGCGAGCGTTTGCGGTCTCTGTCGCGGTCGCGATCACGGTCGCGGGGTCGGTCGCGGTCGACGTCCCTGTCCCTGTCTCTATCCCTCTCTCTGTCCTTCTCTCGCTCCCGTTCCCGATCACGGTATCGTTCCCGGTAGCGGTCGCGCTCGCGCTCGCGGTCCCGGTCCCGACGGCGCATGTCTCGGTCTCGTTCGCGGTCTTTGTCTTTGCTGTTGCGTGGACCGCGGCTGGAGGTGTCGTTGGTGTCACCAGCGCGAGACGCAGTGTCCTTCTCTTCGATAGTGGGGGAAAGGCGGTTCGAGTCGGCGTTGCGGCTGGGGCTGCGACGACGGCCTGCACGGCGCGATCGACGGCCGCTGCGGCGGTCGCGACGTCGAGAGGACCGGTGGGATTCGAGTGACGGAGAGCGCGTCCGACGGCCGTCTTCCATGGCAGGTGGATCGTCGTACTTGTTGTCGCGGTCTGGCCGTCGGGGTCGCTCGCGTCGGCGGTCGGAGTCCTCTACGGTGCGGTCGACACTTGCTGTGCGCTGTCGGTAGCGACGACGGCTGTCTGCGCGGGAGGCATTGGGGGAGCGAGATCGGCTTCGGGGTTTCAACACGGATCCGTTTTTGGATCTGGATCTAGACCGGGAGCTTGGGCGTGGCTCTTCCTGTGGCGTTGCTGGCGTTGCTCTACTGTTTGTTAGTCTTTGGACGGTAAGACCATTGCACGCGGTACTCACCTCTGCGACGGTTCCTCCGAGGGCTTGGTAGGTGGGACGGACGATCGTCCGTGGCCGTGGAGGTTCCGTTGCCGGTATACGCTGGTATTCGGAAGCCCCTGCCGCATGGCTCTTGGGGCAGCGGGGGCACCCACGACGCCCTGGCCGCGGGGTTCGGTGGACAGACCCGGTCCTTGCATGAACGGAGGCCGTCCGAAACCACCCCCGCGGCCACCCTGGAAAGGCCCACGCATGTATCCTCGGTCAAAGCCCGGTCCCATATACCCCGGCATGCCCATGGGGCCGGTGGACATGGCGTTTGCCTGATCAAGACTATCGATGGTGGGGATCCCGCGCAGCTGGGTATCGTCAGCTTCTGCGGCCGCGGCATCTGCAGAAACGGACTTGGCATCAGCAATCTCTGCGGGCGTGGTCATCTCGTGAGACGACGAAGCATCCGCTGCGGCATTAGGGCCATTTTGGGGGGTCTCGGCGTGGGGATCTGCGGCTTCGGCCGTACCCGGATCTTCAGTAGATACAGGTTGGGGGGATTGGTCCTGACCGCTAAGTGAATTATGGGTCGGACGAGCTGGCCCGTTAGTATTAGGGGGATAATCCGACGGCGTCTGGCCTCGACCGAAGCCGCGGTGCTGGCCCCGGTGGTGGTTACCTCGACCGAACCCGGGGCCGTAGTAGCCATTCTGGAACTCTTGGTTGGAGAACTGTTGCTGCTGCTGCTGCTGCTGCTGCTGCTGCATTTGAGACACATTATAGCCGCCAAACCCAGAAGGGCCCCCATACGGCGGACCCATACCATTTGCGAAAGCATTTGGATTGAATTTATCTTGGCCTCCATTCCACATACTGTTCTGAGAGCCGTCCCATCCGCCATACATTCCCTGACCAGCGTCGTAGCTCATGTCCATATTCATGCCATTGTTCATGCCACTCATGTTCATCCCGTAGCCTCCAAACATACCCTGACTCGCGGCCATCGGGTCCATCGCCATGCCGGGCATTGCTGGGCCAAGTTAGTTCGTGTTCGTGTGGCTTGGAGCGGTTTATAACATACCCATAGGATTAGGGAAGCCAAACATGTTGTTTCCCATGAATTGAAGCATCGGGTTGAACTCTCCGCTGTTCCATGCCATATTCGGAGCCATTCCCATAGGCATGTTGGGTCCCGCGCTTTGAGGGGGTACGGGGGTCTGGTTGATATCGGGAGCGCTTTCCTGTTCGGCGGAACTGGCGCCAGTGCCGTCCGCCTCGCCTTCTTTGGTGGATTGCTCTGCTGTTTCGGTGGGTTCCGCCCCATCCGCGGGAGCCTTCATCTGCTCATCCTACGCGATGTCAGGAACATATTTCGCGACGAAGAAAGAAATCCAGATGTAAGTATTACCTGAGGCCCATTCTCCGGAACAACAGAGTCGACATTCGCTGGGGGGTTGTCGGTACCAGTCTCCTGGGCATCCGCAGTGGCCGGTGCTTCTTCTGTGGACACGCCAGCAGTATGGACGGGTTCAAGCGCCGCAACTGGATGTCCATTTTGAGAAATCGAGGGTGCAGGGGTCGCTTGTTGCGCCGGAGTTGCATCCACCGCAGTCGCTTCAGTCGCCGCCGCCGCCGCAGCCGACTGCCGTTCCTTCTCGCGCTTCTTCTCCTCGGTACGCAGGAATGCCTTAAGTGTAGTCCGGAGCGCCTTATTCGGCTTGCAGAGATCGGGCGAGATGGGAGTATGCGCGCATACGGGGCAAGTGTCGGGCAGTGCGGTCTGGCCTAAAGATGACAGATCAGACGATGCGCTAGTGAGGATGTCTGGGAGGACGTACAGTTCTCGCAAATGGCTTGGTCGCAGCACGGCAGGCGGAACGCGTTCAGGGCGAGTTTGTTGCAGCACGCGCATCGCAGCTTGAACGGGATATCATCCTGCGACAGAGTGCTGATTATGAGTTAGTCGCTGCGCTTTGGTATGCACACCTTAAAGACCCAGTCTGTTCCGGAATAAAAAAATCAAATCAGATCACCCACCTTGCGATATCCATCAAGCTCGACGACTGGTCTGTCGCAGCCATCTTGGCAGTTGATCCGAGATGCCAGGTGAACTGTTAGTCGGGTGGTTTAAGGCAGACAGAGGGCCACAATGGCGATCGCAGACAACATGACTCAGATCGTCATGGAGAGGGAACGATAAGGCACGGCCTAAGAATGCGTAGCTGAAAAGCGATAATAAGGATGGACTCGAATCCTCATGAGTGACCGTTACAATCCGAGTTGACTGACGGGGCCAAATTTGGTCGGAGGCTGGTCGGACCGGAATAATAGAGTCTCCGGGCCATCTTTTTCACTCCCGCATTTGCATTCCCCGCTGTCACTCACTTTCAAAGGTCGATCAATGGAAATGCACCGACTGGGTGACAGACATTGAAAGGAGTGTCATGGCTTGAATGACTTTGAACTCTGGGCTTATGTTTTGTGATCTGACGCTGGATGTCATGGTTGTCTTCAGACGAGGCTCAATGCACTACACGAATCCGGTCTATACCCGCTCCACTTGCCAAGTTGGAATGCTGGATGGCAGCTGGAGCAGTCCGAAACGTGCTGTCTGGCGCAAAGTGTCGATCACACGCGACAGCGGTTTATTGGGCTTTCATCGACAGGTCATGACAGCATTCTACCTAACACACCGCCACAGCCGAATCCGTCTATCCATTCATACCAGACTGTGACGGAGCACTCCATAGTGGGGTCTACATACTATATATATCTCTGACAGACTCAAAACACCAGCCTGACAGGCATCCCCGGGGCACAGTAAGACAGGCAGAAGGATTCAGGGGCCGTGACGAATCCCTGTCGCTGACGTACCAACCACCACGCCGTTTCCGGAGTGATCACGGTTGGGAAGGTGACCAGACGCCATCAGATTAGATCAAGTAATTTTGGCCTTCATCGATGTAACTATTAGAGTTGAGACGACGGCGATACCTGGAGGTTTCTGCGCGTCCTGTCTGGTCAACCCGACATCTCGGGAGCTCTTGTATCATCATTGGCAGTCGAGGGGGTATATAATGAAAGGGAGGAATGTAAGGAAAGAGAGGGCAAGAAGGAAACAGGATACAATCAAAAAAGAGGATTATAAGATATACACCCAACCAATAAGGCCAACATCGAATACGGTGTCAACTAAAGCAACGGGCAACAGATAGCCTCGTGGCTTTGCATCATCGATACCACCCCCCAGCTGGGAGGAATCACATCACGCGTTCCAACCAAGGTTCATGACCGAAGGCAATCCAATCAGCGATGCATCCAGACAGAAGATCTCTACGGGCGGGGTGGACGGTTGAAGAGCCATAAGCAGCCTTGGTCTGATGACTGGTGACTCGAGTGTGGTGGAAGAGTGAGAAGTTATGTTGGTATAGGGATCTCCATATCAGATCAAGACAGAATACTGTCTATCCAAGTGATGTTGGGGATGTCAAAGGACATTGGATGAAGAAGAAGATCCTAACCAGTGAAGCATAGCATAAGTTGATCAAGTGAAGATGAAGATGATTAGTCACGACCAGAGGACAGTTGATTAGTTGGATGGATGGATGAGGTCGAGTCTGTTGAAAACAAACACGGAAAAAGGAAAAATCAAGTTGAAAAATGGAAAAAAAAAAAAAAAATCGGAACAACCAAAAAAGAAAAATCAAAAAATATAACCAAATAAAATCATATTTTTAGCGCCGAAAGAACGGGGGCGCAGGGTTAAAAGGGCGGTTCGCTGCTCTGCTCCCGGAAGAAAAAGCTTCCCGGTCCTTTCCATTTCTTCTGCCTGACCGCCTGCAGTCTTAGGCCCACGCACTTTCCTGCCTTGCCCCCTCAGGCCAACGCTCGGACCACCGTGGCGCGCGATCTACAAAAACATCGCTTTCTCCTTCTCCAATAACGACCTCAACTCATCTGCTGCTTCATTATATCCTGCTTCAGTCAGGCATGGTGACCTTATCTTGGAATTATCCTTTGTGTTAATTTCCATCATCTTCTTCTATCTATTTTTAATGCTGGCCAGAAAAGGTGAGCCTTCCACTCGTCCGTCCGCTTTGGTCTACGCGCATCAAACACGGTTGTCTTGTATGCACGACCACCAGTTCCACTCCGCACACCCAGCGTACGTAAAGATGATCTGACACCAATTCATCTAGCGATGACAGATCAAGACAACTACCGACCTCGATCCCCCGATTTATCCTCCCTCCAATCTCCCGTCTCCCCCTCCGTCAACACCCCCGTCTACCAGTTCGGCAACCCGCTGGTTCATCGCGCCTCCTACGACGCCTCTCCCTTCTTCACCCCGCAGTACCAGAGTCCCCCGGCCCCGCACGGTAGGGCATCCCAGCAGTACGTGCCTCCGTACGCAGACCCGATTCCCTTCGACCCCGACATGGCTCGTCGATCGTCTCGTCTCGCGCGTGCCGCCGAAGTCGCGCCCATGTCCCCCATGGCGCCTATGCCCCATATGACGGAACACAAATATATGGAACCGATCGCGCAGCCAATGCCACAATCGATGCCACAATCGATGCCACAGCCGATGCCACAGCCGATGCCACAGTCGATGCCACCACAGTCGATGCCACAGTCGATGCCACAGCCGATGCCACAGACCATCCCGCAGCCGATTGCACAGCCGATCTCGCCGCCGATGGCACCGCTCATGTCGCATCCCGAGGAACCCCTGCCCCTTAGTGCACCGACTCCCGTGGAGGTGAAGACCAAGTTTCCAGTTGCGCGCATCAAGCGCATCATGCAAGCAGATGAGGATGTGGGCAAGGTGGCTCAAGTGACTCCCATCGCCGTGTGTAAGTATCTTACCCTTCCAATTCGGAGCCCACATGGATCTAATGGACTCGATATAGCCAAGGCATTAGAATTATTTATGATCTCCCTCGTCACCAAAGCCGCCAAGGAGGCGAGAGATCGCAACTCCAAACGCGTCACCGCGTCGCACCTCAAACACGCCGTCGCCAAAGACGAAGTCCTAGACTTCCTGGCAGACATTATTGCCAAGGTCCCTGATCAACCGACCAGCCGCAAACATGACGACGACAACAGTGACGGAAACGAACAGCCCAAGCGGAAGCGCGGTGGGCGGCGGCCCAAGGACGACAGTGATTAGTGCCGGGCTATCCTCTTCCTTTTTCTTCTTCTTCTTCTTTCTTTCTTTCTTTCTTCTTTTCTCCTTTCTTCCCTTCTCGAACCTATTTTCTGAATGACTTGATGGACAATCTTTTAGACTGGGATGGAGAGCGGGCGCATCTCTGGCGTTGTGGCGGCGGGTCTGGTTGGGATTGCATCTTGCGGGGTGGATACTAATCCCTTACGCGGGGATATTCAGGTTCAGCTAAAACGGATGCAAATATAATTAGTGAGCCGATAGCTCTAGGAGCTCCTCCGCTGGACTGTTTTTACTTGGGGGTGGAAAGCGCGTACCGTAGTATTTACCTAGTATTTACCTAGTGGCAAGGGTAGGTCACCCGGTGCGTCGGCATAGTGTGCGTATGGGGGGAAGTCTTAGTAGTACTAGTAATACTTCGTACCGATTGATGGTAGTTCGCGGTGCTCCGGAGCAATCTCCGAGCCAAGCCCTTGTGATTTCCGTCCAGCGTTCAAGATTTACGTACACAACAAGTCATGGTGCAGCTTGTAAGGCCAGGGTTGGTTATATGTCGACGCGTGCTGGCCTATCAGGGATTGAAGGAACGAGGGGAACTCTGTGCTGGGAGTCTAGAGATGGTGTCTAGATACTAGTAGTAATATGGTATTCCCTTAAGGAGACTTTCTTTGGATAACCTTCTACTCAAAGTAGTGTTGTAGTTCTCATTCTTAAAAGGTCGACATATAGGCCACTTTGCAATTGATCTAGTTCTGGTGACAACCGGTCGTGCCGCATACACTCTCTGGCTTGGTCTGATTTGGCACGGTATATGTTTGAGGCATCTCACACGTACCCAGCAATACGAAAGTAAGATTGAAGAAGTAATAAGCCAGTCGAGAAATGCCCGTAGTCCGTACCTGAGTATATTATAAACATGGTATTATTGGCGAACAGGCTGCAGAAACCCACAACACTAATCCTACTCGAGAAGGTACGCTAAACCCCCTTAGGTCGCGTGTTATTCTTCCAGACCTTCAGCGTCATTTCCCCCCCGCGCGGTCTCCAGCGACCCCGATCCAGCCTCATAGTATCATGTTGTTCTCACAGAATCATGGACTTTGTATGCCAATTCCCCTTTCCTTTCTTAGCTCTCTTAGCTATTACTTCTGTCCGCTAACCAATATACTACAGTGGTCTCGTCTCATTGGCGGCTCCCGTTCGCTGTCAAACAAAAGCTTTAAAGCCACCACTCCCACTGAACGACTAACCGCCTTCAAACGGACCTGTAATACCCTACAGGTGAGTGCTGTCGACATCTGAGTCGTGGCGACCTGTCTGACTTCGATCAATTACAGCAAATATGGCGCTCCAATAATGCCCCGTCCGGCGACCAGACCGTGGCCACGCACACGCGCAACTGCATCGATCGATTGAACTCCGTCCTGGGCGATGAGTCCCGCGGCCCGGCTCCGCACCCGTGTCTCGCCTATGCCTCGTCCTCGCAAATCTTCGTAACAGTCACCAAACTCTCACTATCCTCCTATGACGATACCGTCCTTCGCTCCGCCACGGTCCTCTTCAACACCCTGATCGACGCAGAGGTCGACGGCGTCGTGGACAACCGGCTGTTCGCGCGGGCTCTGGTGGACCTGGTGCGTCGCGCTGACAAGAGGTCCGAAGATGTCGAGTGTCGGCTGGTCGAGTTGCTCTTCGGCGTAGCCAACAATATCCGGCTTCAACCCCATATTCTGTCAGCGTGGTTTGCTCCCCGGTCGGATGACGATGATCGCGAGCCTCGGGCCAGCGTCGGGGCTGAGTTCGCCGGTGCCACGAGGAAGGACGACTTTCCGCTATTCTATCTGCTAGTTGAGTATGTGCATCACGCGGGTCGCGCCGGAGACTTTGCTCGCACGGGTCTCCTTTATCTTATTGAGACGGCCTCGCGGTCGAAGGACCTTGAACGATGGTTGATAGAGAGCGATCTCGCGACGCTTATGGCTACCGGGCTGGGTGCGCTGTATAGTCAGTTGGGCGGGTGAGTAGTCCCTTCTAGTGTTGCTTGGACGGCGCTAATCTGATCCATCTAGGTTGTCGTTCGAAATTAGGCCTGAGGAGAGGATTCCCCACATCGTGGCATTGTCAGATCATGCAAGGCAGGAAACCGCGCTTCCGCCTACGCTTGGGTCGACCATGGCCTCCTTCATGGCGTACCTCCTGTTCTGGCAGGATACCATCGACCATTGCAAGTCAGGCGAAGTCAATGCCACCTTACTCGATCACTTCCAGGTTTTATTCCTGGAACAGCTACTGTATGTCTCTTGCCCCCGTCCGTTTGGGTGTCGCTAACTTTCTTGTCTCCAAGGTATCCATCTTTATTAGAGTCGTCCGACGTCGAGGGAGGTTCCACAGCGGCAGTTCTCACCTACTTGTATCGCATTCTAGACTCCATCGAGCAGGACGACCTGGTGCACCGGATTCTTCACTTCTTACTCGCATCGCCGTCTGGGTTTGAGACCAAATCGGCCCAGAAGAGCGTCGACATGTCTATGAGCCGGCGAAAATCCCTGGACGTCCTGGCTGCCTTTTCGGAAGAGGCGGCGCGACCATCTCCGTCTTTGTTCAATCTGAGAGACCTGGCACTGCTTGGTCTGCAATCTAAGAACCGTCAAACCGTCCTAGCTACTCTACGGCTCATGGCTGTTGTCCTTCAGCGGCATCACACGTTTGCCCGTTCGTTGATTCGCACCCTCCCCGGTCAACCGGCAGAGCAGCGCACGGTTGGCGCATTGAACGCGGAGCTCAGCCAGCTTGTAACCTTGGCCACATCGGTCGTTGATGACCCGATGTTGGAAGAATCGTTTGAAGACTACCTCAAAGACGCATCGTTGATCTTAGAGTCCCGGCTGTGCATACCTGCGGACGATGACCTCGGAGAAGACCAACCGTTGGAGATCAGACAAGACGACCCCATCTGTCAGGAACTCTTGAATTGTCTGGAGGAATTTTTCTCTAACAGCGTGATCGTCAACTTGGCACTGACCGAAGTCTTGATGAGCGTTGCGTCGTCCCATCTCCTCTCTCTTGATGGTTGGCTCCTGGTCGACCCGTCCAAGTACGACTACGGTGACTCACCGCCACCAGAGGATGCCAATCCCATGGAGCAGATCCAGTTTGCTTACACGGAACCATCCTGGTCCAGCGATCACACACCTACCCTGACATCCGTATTACAGAAACTAGTCCAACAGATCCAACAGTGGCGGGAAGAGATCCCCGACTTCGACATCCTGATAGCCGCGCGACGGGACCTGCTGCACAACGAGGACGACCCTACATCTCCGCAAACGTCTCAACAAGCCTCTGGAATCCAAAGCCCAGTCGGCGGCGCGTCCGAGCGCCCCCGACCCAACATCGATTCGGTGGGCTCACCCAGAGGCAGAACTCCTCGCCCTCTCGAAGCACACAGCATGTCCCCATCGCCCCACCGCGCCGCGGTCGCCTCCCCCTTACGCGACGCATCCCTACACATGCCCCCAGCCCGCGACTCCGAGTCCCAGGCTTCTGCCGCTGACGAACTTCGCGAGCGGTTGTTCCAGCCGTTCTTACACGGGGAGCAATCGGCCAAGGAAGCCGACAAGGGCGGGAGCACGGAGTCAGGCGAGCAAGATGACGAAGAGAGCGCCGTAGCGGACTCGGAGCCATCGTCGGCCACGCTTGGACATGTTCTCACGAACGTGGTCATCTTGTATGAGTTCATACTTGAGATCTCGGCGATGGTGCAGGCGCGAGGCACGCTGTTTGAAGAGGCGGGGTATCCGGGTGTTATGTCTGAGCAGTAGGCTGTGGCTCTGTACAGCATCTGTAGGCAGGAACCTACTATAAATGGGACTGGTGTATGTTATGTAAATTTGTCAGATTATACCAGAATTGATTTATTGTATTCAACTATGATGGGGTAGCGTAGTTATCTACTAGGCATGACGAGGCTTATGAACAACTATAAGACTAGGAGTAGCCTACTAAGGGATTGCTTGGTCAAGAATATCTGGAATAAGACCAGGCCAGGATATCACGATCGGGCATGATCGACACCTCAGGCCACATAATCACCTGATGAACCCTGTCGAATCGTCCCAAAGCGGCTAGCGTGACGTCCAGAGATACCGAAGATGATGATGATGATGACGATATTTCAACCATTTTAGGCATTCAGCATCGCAAGTGTGGTAGACTATGGCTCACATGTGAAAGCACCGTTATCGCTTACCTTGCACCACTCCCGGTCAGACACTATCCTTTATCCGGACGATCCTCTATCAGGCTGAATTTATTCCATGCGACACATGGCGACAGCCTCATCCGTTCCCCTCACCCAGCTCTAACCATGGAGAAGTTTACCCAATTTCGCGATCGAGGTACGCTCATTCTTCTAGAACAATATGGACATCTACAAGACTGACCAGCGTCTGATAGGCTCTGGCATCGCGCCCTTCCTGCCCATTCCCACCCAACCAGCCGGTTTCCAACTTCCCGTCCGCGCGTTTCTCTTCTGCGTCCGACTCCCGCTCTTCATCTTCGTTTGCGCCTTGTACTTCCTCGTGTTACAATGGTGTCCGATAGGGTCGCTGGGCAAGAAGGCCTCTCTTTGGTGTATTCTAGGTGTTCCTAGCATCTGGTGGATTGACCTCCAAGTGGACGGCGTGAGAAAGGGGTATGCCATTCATTTCCGTTGATAACCACAGACACGAAGGACACCACTAACGGCAGCTTCCCAGCTCTCTCGCCAGACAGGAAAACACGCGTCTCCCCGGCCCCGGATCCATCATCGCCTCGTCGTTCACCTCCCCCATCGACGCCGTCTACCTAGCCGCTATCTTCGACCCCGTCTTCACGGCCGCATACCCGCACTCGCGCGAAGTAGAGCACATTTCCCTCTTCCAAGCCATCCTGCGCTCGTTCTCCCCGCCAAGCGTGCACCCACCACCCGGCACACGCACCGTCGACCTCGCCACGCTACAGCGCAAGTATCCCGGGCGCCCGATCGCGGTATTCCCGGAATGCACGACGACCAACGGCCGGGGCATTCTCCCTCTGAGCCCCGCGCTTGCGAGCGCACCTGCCCAGGCGAAGATCTTCCCCGTCAGTTTACGTTATACCCCCGCGGACGTAGTGACGCCCGTTCCAGAAAGCTACATCGACTTTCTCTGGGCGCTGCTCAGCAAGCCGACGCACTGCATCCGGGTGCGCATCGCGGAGGCGGTGATCAGCGGCGCGAAGACCCCTGCCTCGTCATCGGGAGCGTCCACGGCAACAGCCACCCGCCGCTCAACCTACGACGATAACTACCTGGACACATTGGACCAGGACAGCGCGTACGGGAGCAGCTCCGGCGGCGACGCAGGAGAGATGTCGCCTGGCGAGAAGGCGATGCTGAACCAGGTTGGAGATGCGCTGGCGCGCCTGGGACGCGTGAAGCGCATGGGATTGGGAGTGAAAGAGAAGGAGGATTTCGTGAGGATGTGGAATCGGAGGCGGATTCGTTAGTTGGATATACTATGCTATACAGTCCGTGCATGCGGTTGGACTCGGTGCTTATCATTATAGATAGCTACGTTTGGATCAAACTTCATAGGGTATATAATATGTGATAACCCCGGTGTCAGCCGAGGCACCTGATATATCATGAGTATCTTACATACATCATTGAGCACGTCTATGTTGATGATCACATTTTCCCACTCCGTTTTTAATATACTCCCCCATATAGAAGTCCATACACTATCCCAACAAGCGCACATCCAACAAAGCATCACCATTTAATCAAGACCATAGCTTGTCATGAATAGACTAAACCGCAGAAAACCACTCAACAGCAACATTGTACGTACGGATGGTATCTGCTCTCTTCAACACCATCTCGCCTAGCCGTTTAGTCCAGTCTGAAGTCTCCACTTTTATCCCTGTTTCTTATCCTTTTTCCTACCCAACTGTTTACCGAGTAGTATACCGTCTACTAACAGTACAGTATTACCGATTTTATTCTAGACAATCCAGAACCATAAGTCCGCGTATATCACACCCTCCTTCATACATGCACCCATGCACCAGTCAAATTCCCCCTACCCTCTTCCACTCACGTATATAACAAACATCTGGTGATAAAAAAGAAAAAAAGAATCGCATAATATCCCCCGAACCGGAATCGAGCCGGTGACCTTTCGATTACAACATGATATTACAGTCGAACGTGATGAACCAACTACACCATCAGGGGTTTGCGGGTTGCTGCTTTAAGGTTGGTGTGGGATTCAACTGAGAAGAGGTTGAGGATATAGGAGAGATGTATAGTGGTTGATAGGTATGTGAGTCTTGAAGTAGAGGATTCGCTTGTGTGCAGTCGTATGGAAATGGGACTTGTAGGAGGGTACGGTGGAAAGTCTACTTTCATGAAGGATATCTAGTAACTTTCTCAGATTCTCGAGCTCGGATCTTTTTGAAAATGACAGTGTATGGCTGACAGGCTTACTATGTACCCCCTTACAATGCTTTATCCGTAAAGTCATAGAAGGTTGAGGACACAGCTACCCTCTAGGATCGTCTCTACGTCTGTCCCGTCGTGTACATCAACATAGATCGGTGAATGGTAGGGCTTGGTCCTGGTTGAGCCATTCAACTCTCCCCTATAATCCAGTATTGAACACAATATCCTGGGTCCCAAACTCTGCTGTCTAACCTGGGACGTGGGACCTAATTGGCCTTCTGTGCGGGCAATCTGCGGAGTATGAAAAATGACGGGGAGCTGATCAAAACCAGATCCGTGGAATTCATATAATCTGATACATTTGCTCTGGGAAAGGAAAGACACCAATCAGCAGTTCTTTGACTTGGATATGATCAGACAGACCCCCATAATGCTCACAGTATATAGATAGTACCTTTTCCGTTCCATGCAAGGTACACAAGTGATAGTAGTAACACACATCCACTCCGTCCGCCTATAAATTTCCTCAATATCAACCCTGCCCCACAGGCCCCACACCACCACCCTAACATTGCAATTCCAGTCCACAAAAACAAGATATAAAAAGTCAAAGAGAGAAAAAAGAATAACCCTCCCCCGAACCGGAATCGAGCCGGTGACCTTTCGATTACAATAAGATATTACAGTCGAACGTGATGAACCAACTACACCATCGGGGGTGTGGGGTTATGGCGTTGGATTTTCAAATGGGTACTTGAGTTAGGGTAAGACTTTGTCGATATTACTGTTCTTGATATTGGGGAGATTGTAAGTAGGATAGGAAGAGTGGTTCTGTGACCGCGAGATGGATTGTAGACGCTAAGATGGGTTATAGCTTCTTCTGTTGTATGTCCTCGTAAATATCTACGAGTTACATTCTCTCAATTTCACACCTTTCAGTCTGCTATGTGATATCTACGCCTGTACTTTATCGTAAGTAACAAGCGAGAAAGTTCATTCAGCATTGCTACGCGTGGACAGTAAGCTATGATATCAAAAGCTTAGTGGCTAGTCTACAATTCTTTACTAGAAACACCCAGTCTCACTATTCTTGTAGTTCCACAAAAGCCATTTTATCATTCCAAACGCCACTGCATAACTCGCCATCTCATAGATTGTACATAAATCATCACTCATTTCGCCGCTACCATCATAGAAACAATGATGCAATACATGAATCTTAATGCCAGTATCGGACATCCTTTCTCATATACTTGTGAACCAGCAGGCCTGTCCCGGCAATGAAACCACAATGGTCTGGATGTGGTAGGGGTAGCTCAACATGAACAAAAATGAAAGTCAATGGTTGAAATGCCCGGGTAAGGTAGAATCAGTTTCTAGTATCAATCAGCAACACGCAAGTTGTTATCAGGAGGATGACATCATCATATCATGCCAGCTGGGACATAAATACCTAGTCATATCTCTGTAGTGCACACTCGCGCCGTTTCGGTGTTGGAGACTTATTTAGTTGTCTGTAGGGTCTCCAACAGCCAGGTCATGGTGTTCCTCGAGAGAAACACCACCCTCCTCAATATCGGAGTCTATGTCTGCATCATTGTCAGCTTTATCGTGCATATCCGATGGACAGGGGATCGAGCGGATTGAGAACCAACATATAGGACAACACCATGAAACATATAAAGAGGGGAAGAACATGTAGACCAGATAGTCACGAGAGGCACTGAGGCAACATAGGAGATAAATAATGCGGTAAACAAGTTGTACATGGTATGGAAGTCACTTCCATATTCAGAGTCAAGCGTGGAACCATTCGTAGAAGGAGGCGCCATGAATAATCAGCCATCAACAAATCATTCTCATCATCGCTCTCTGCAGCACCATCGTTGAAGTGGGGAGTAGGATACGTGCAAGGGGAAAGTTAAAGGGAGATCGCACCTGACACTGAGCCAACTGCATACGAAGTAGCAACCGCCTCTTCGCCCACTGCTAACTAGTCAGCCACAGATCCGGCCTCGCCCTCACTAGAATTATCGTTCTCACCTTTACCATAAGCCCCCTTTGCTCGAGTCGGCTCACTGGCTGCTACTACCGAGCTTGTCTCCACCGACCACGATGGCCCAAGAGCACCCGTCAACTCAAAGCCGACAGACCCCCCGCGCCGATGACGAGGCGCCGCGAGGGGAAACGCGCTCCACGGCGCCTTGCCCGGTATCCAGGAGTCGTCCACGGCCCATACGCCGCGGGGACGCGGCCAAAGAAATCTCAACAGCAGCTTGATGAGGTGAGACGGGTTTCTATCCAACCGGGTGGCGGCCCATTCGACGACCCGGGCGTGCATGCTGTGATTTGGCTTGGGCACCTCCTGTATGGAGAGCGGGTGAACGGGGTAGTCGCCCGGGGAGGTCACGATCATGTGGCGCGCAACGCTCATGATCACGTACCACGCCTCCCACTCGAAGAAGGCCGCGGGCAAAGGCGCACAGGTGAGACGGCGCAGAGGCCGCGGACTGGCCTGGTGCAGGTAGACCAGGTCCCAGATCTGGCTGGCCAGGTGGTGATCCATAGCGGCGTTGCGTACCGTATCACACACGAACGCAAACGCCGACTTGTACTCGTTCTGCGTCCTGTGCCAGTACATGTCGACCATGAGGCTATGAAGAGACGGGAAGCTTCGACCAATCGCGCGGTACAGGTCACATTCCGTGCGGTCGCCGTTACTGCGGGAAAGCGGGATCCGAAGCTCCTTCAGACGGGGACAAATCGCTCCTAGCTTCCGGATTGCCCAGATATCGAACGCGGGGAGTCGGTCGGGGTCGTCGTCTATGCCGATGTTGTGGTAATTGTATTCGGTGGGTTGTAAAAGTAAAGATTCCAGCACTTTCGCATGGTGGACGACAACGGGCCAGAGGACGGAGGGACGGTTCAGGCCGCAGATGCGGAGTGACTGGAGCGGACTGAAGCTTGTCAGAGCCGTAATCAGGATGTTGTCTGCGATGTACGTGGCTCCGTTCGGGTCGTTGATATGGCCGGGCATTGTCAGTGCTAGGCGTTGGAGACTTGGAACTGCTAGGGCAATATGGGGAAAGAGATCATAGCGTCTTGTTAGGTGGAGGTCCAAGGAACGAAGTTGTGAGAGATCCAGAACTTTAGACATCACAAGCATTGGTCTTTCGGAAGTTGCGCTCCCTTGGAACACAAGTGTCTCCAGCTGCGCACGAGGCATATCGAGGAAGTACAAACAGAGCGCCCTCCATTCCTGAAGGGTATTGCCCGTGATGGGCGGGTACCAGTTGGCCCACAACGCATCGAGATGCAGACAGAGATTCTTGAGTGCCGGGACCCTGGCAATAAATGGCATCGCATTCTGCATAATAGCAAGTTCGGAAGTGGCACGTCTGGTATACGGATAGTCAATAGCCAGAGTGCGCAAGCCGCGGAAGAGGAACATGTCTAGGTCGAATTGCCCATAATTCGCGAGCTTTGTCAGATCCGGGCGCCGGAGCATATCCTGGGCCGCCCAGATATTGAGCTGACAGTCGGAATGATAATCGCGGATCGCGGGCAGGAGATCTGGTGGGAATCGGATAGGAACTGCATAATTGAACTTGGTCAGGTGTTTTACATCCCTAACCAGTTTTATCAGGGGGCCCCACACGCTGTTCATCGATCCCGGTGTTTGACCGGCGGAAGTGCTTCTGACCCACGATTCTACTCTCTGTGGCTCGTTGAAGTATTCAATGGTCGTCGGAATGAACGCATGCGGGCCGGGGGCGAGGGCAGCTGGCACAACCCTATCAGCGCGCTGTCTGGCGCCTTTGATGTGCACCAGATTGATGCATCTGCCGAACTTGAGAAAATGTCTTCCCAGGCCGGTGACATTGACTTCAGCAAGTACATTCGATAGCCTAACGCCGTCGAAGAACCTCACCGTTAGCTTGTGGTATAGGGTTGGAATGGCAGTATTGTAGCAAACACTGCTTGCCAGGCTAAAGACTCGGAGATCAGACATGGATATTTCTCCCAACTAGACAGGTTAGCTATGTTACGTATTATTGCAAGGACCATGACTTACCCAGACACAGATGTGTTGCAGTATCTCGGTTGGCAGTGAATCAAGCGGACGCGTGCTGTCTTCGTAGCATTCAGCTTGGTGCTTTTGGATAGAGTTGGAAGCCCTAGGAAGGCGGGGGTGGATAGAAGGATGGGAATACATGCTGTGTAGATAAGTGAGAAAGTCAAAGACTCAGTCAGTCCTTTTCAATGAGCTAGTCTACTATATCAGTATCCTATGGAGCTAGATATCTCTTGATGATACGCAAGTTTCACGACAATGTAGATCGATTTAGGAGACTCACATAGTAGACAGTCATATCCAAAACAATTGTTCGACAACGAGGATAAGAATGAGATGAAGAATCATGGAGTAGAGGAAGAGCGAGTTCGACTATAAGTAGGTACCTGAGAGACATCACGTGTTGAAGACTTATACCTGTTCTTTATCAAGTTTCTTATATTCACTCGACTATATTCCCTTCAAGCCAAGTTATGGAACATTATTTGAGTGATCGGTATAACTATGGTGATGGATGGAAATATTCAGTGATGAAAGTTGTGGTATATCATAGCCCAAGAAAGTTACCCCATTAGGTGGATATGGCACTATCCCCACAATCAACATTAGATCTCCAACACACATCATTAATGGTCAAAACTACCAAGAATAAATCTAACTGGTCACACACAACAACAAATCAACAGCCACATCACTCGATCTACAAAAACATGTGGCAAATCAGCGGGATGGGGACCTGCAGCCGCGATGATCAATGAGGCTGTGCGTTTGCCATCCGCCTATCACCGCCCTTTCTGTATATCTGGGAAGACCAAAACCGGTTCAGCTCGAAGTGGGAGTCCCTGCATGAAATAATGGGGACGCCCTTGTCATTCGTGTTCCTTCTCTTGGTTCTTTCTTTTTACCTTTGTCTTCTTGATTTGTACTTGTCGTTGCTTTCTCTTTCTTACTACGATCGATCTCTTATATCTAAATTCTTATGTTAGACCTCGATATATATCCACCATGACATGGTTTGCATTTAGGCGACGTCGCAGAGCACAGAGTGTAGGAAATGGCCCAGTAAAGAGTCAAAATACACACCAGCGAGGATCATCCCATCCCTCCCACCCAATATATGCCCTCCCGGTCGGGGCTACAACGACTCACTCGCTAGTCAAGCCCCACGCCTCTACAGCGGTACCACTACACTCGACTACCTATCAATCCCAAGCAGTTTCGTCGGTCCATCTAGCAGCCCCAGCACCATCCTCCCCTCCACAGCGACCACTGGCAAAATGGAACTCCCACGCAAACCTATCAGGGATGCTCTTGCACCCCGTCGACACGGCTAGCACCGCCGTGGCGGAGTTAGAGGATCAGATGCGCGAGTGGTGGGCGAGCGGTGTGGACGTCTATGGCTTGTTCATGCGGAAGCTGGATGATACGATAACTGCGATGGACGAGGGACTATTTACGGAGAAGGACCGGGTGGATATGGGTGAGTCCAATGCAAATGACTGCATCCTAACAGAATCTCTGGGCGCTGACAGTACAAAGCATCCACATACCCAGTGCAGGACACGGGCACGGTCTACCGTCCAGCGCCATTGGAGAAGACCTCCCGGTACGCGGCGTACTTTGCCAAAGTCTACGTCTATCAGAATTCGCGGCTTCCGCCCGACCTCCCGTCGCTCCGATTGTAGGTCGCTTGGATAGATGGAGGTCTATGTATTATGCTAATTAGTAGACACCCGCAAACCTTCGCCCTCTTCCGCCTCGCGGCGCAGTACTCCCGCGACGTGTACTATAAGCCGATGCACAGGGACAGTTGGTCGTACGTTGGCTCCGACTGGCGCCACGGCACCAAGGCCATGATGATCAAGTCCGTCGCGGTCGCCGACATGAACACCGTTGTCCTGGCCATCCGCGGCACGCAGAGCTTCCGCGACTGGGCCGTCAACGTCAAGACCGCACCCACCTCCCCAAGCGGGTTCCTCGACGACCCGTCCAACGCCTGCCATGCCGGGTTCCTGTCCGTCGCGCACAACATGATCCATACCGTGGCGAGTCGTCTGCGCAAGCTGATAGCCGCTAACCCCGGGCGTGCACCGTACTCGCTGCTCATCACAGGGCATTCCGCCGGCGGGGCAGTAGCCAGTCTGCTCTACTGCCACATGCTGTCGCTGACCGCGCGGTCAGAACTGGCTCATTTGACCAGCTTCTTCAAATCCGTCCACTGCGTCACGTTCGGTGCCCCGCCCGTGTCCATCCGACCGCTGTTCCCCCCACCATCGCCATCCCAGCAGCGATCCGCTTTTTTCTCGTTCGTCAACGAAGGCGATCCCGTCGCGCGGGCAGACAAGACGTACATCACCTCGTTGCTGAACCTGTATGCCTCGCCCACGCCACACTGGTGCCGAAAGTACAGCTGGCGGGATCGCAAAGACAGGCCTGCTGTCTGGCGCGTCCCTGTAGCACCTCTCTCCCTAGCCGGACAGATTGTCGTCCTGCGAGCGCGATCAAACTACTACAGCCTGCCAGACGAAGGACCCGAAGGCGTCGAAGCATGCCTGACGACTGATCTCGGGCTGCGGCAGATCGTGTTCGGCGATCCGCTAATGCACGCAATGGCGCTATACGCGCGGCGGATCGACGAACTCACCATGGACGCTTATCGATGAACAAAAAAAAAAAACAAGCCTTCGCCGATCGACACACACAAACGCAGGGCACAAGATCCGCTCAATCAAGATCCTCGAATCCAGCGGGTAACTCCAACCCCGCAACCCAAGCGCGCACAGTCCGCGCAAACAGCTCCGGCTCGTCAATCTGCCACGAATGCCGTACCCCACGGTGCAGAACGGCCCTACTAGCGGGCGCAGGACCATTCCCAGTGCGCCGAACCGACTCCAACAATCGTCTGGCATCATTTTGCCTATCCCACGCAGGCAGGATCAGTCCTTCCTTGGCTGCAGCAACAACGATCAACGTGGAGACATGATCCCCATCAATCACCTCCAGCTCTCGCGCCGACACAACCATCTCCACAGCATCACGACACAGATCCAGCGACCCTTCCCCGCGCTGCAGCCGCGCCATTCCCTCCGTCGGATGAGAGAGTAACTCGGCAGTATGCAAGAAGAAATAAACCAGCGGCGGCAGCAACGGCGTCAGCACAATCGGCGCGAAGATATTAAACCCAGTAACGAGGAGCGACGACACGCGTGCAGGGTAATGTGCCGCAAGCTGGGCGGCGATGTGTGCGCCCAGACTGGCGCCCACGACGTGGGCGGTGCCGCCGTGCGCGTGGTCACGGATGAGCTGGCTGAGGAGATAGGCCGTGCTGTAGACGCTGAGGGGCTTTAGGTGGAGGGAGGTGCCGTGGGAGGGGAGGTCGGGAACGAGAACATGGTAGGGGTGTGGTTCGCAGGTGAGGTGGTGAAGGACTTGGTCCCATTCTGTGCTGGTGGAAAAGCCGCTGTGGATGAAGAGGATGGTTTGGGGACTGGAGGGGTTGTGGGAGGTGAAGGAGAGCATTTTCTTTTCTTCTTTTTCCTTTCCTTCTTGTTTTTTTCTTCTTTCTTCTTTCTTCTTTCTTTCTTTTTCTCTTTTTCTTTTGTTTGTCGTGTTCTCGTCCGCTTTCACAATGTATATATAGGTCGATGCCGTACGTCGTATTGTATGTAATATGTACAGTATATGTATATACAGCACAACCAACCTCACCTCAAGTATCCATAAAAGAAAGAAAGTTGAAACAACCCGACCCCAGACACCAGAGAGGGGCTCAAGCTCAGACCGACGCGACAACGAGGCTCTGCGCAGTTGTGTTCAGGCTGGTCAGCACTAGCTTAGTGAGTTGGCGCTTGCTGCATGGTGATGTCAGCGTAATCACGACAACAATGATAGTGGCGCAGCGGCGGAAACTGGGTTTATATAGATTTCATTTGACAGTCAAGCAAGTCGGTCTTGTAATCAGGCAAGACACGGTGTGGATATGTAATTAGAAAGGAGAAGAGAGGGGATGTTCCAAAAACACACACCATGTGATAACCAAGTGTGACCTCGTTGACACCTCCATATATCGTTATTGAGGGGCTGACTAGCTAGGATACTGGGATGAAATGTATGCATGACTCGACTCCTTAAGGCAATAACTGACACAGTCAACAGGACTCTCCAAACAGAGGTGAAAACAAGACACGAACTATGAGTCTAGTGGGCGCTATCAAACTCAGATAGATTATATTCTTGTATACCTTGTTACAGCCATGATTGGTCTCATGCGATTTCTCCGCGGAATGGCCAGGCTGGCTTTCCCTGTTCAGGCATCTTTTATGTACTGAGTGCTTTGCATTATTTGTGGTTGTGCAGTTTGGATAGACTTGATCTATGCAGACTGTTGATGATGGAAGGTTCTCGGGCAGTATGAATACTTTACAATCAATTGTATTATAGAAAGTTATTCAAAGAAATAGATGACTCTTTTTTTAATTGATTTTCTACCCACGCTTGTCTAGAGTGTAGTCAAGTACGGAGTATACACGGATATATATATAGCGCTGTCTGGCAGTTGAGCTACCCACCCAACACTTCATGTTTCGAGTAGCAGCATTTTCATATACTCATGCAGCACAGCAGCCGTTTTAAAAAGTTCGAAACCCTATTAAAACAACGGACAGAATATTCTTGAGACCTGTCTCTCGGACGGATACCTGCAGCAACATTTGACATGCGCATGCATATTGTATACCTAGTACAGTACTGAACTCGGAGTTCGGATGGGACTCCCCGGTTTGATCAACTGATCAATTGATTATTTGGAGAGTATGGGTATTGGATGTCTTCGATCTATTACAACTATTTAGGTGGTAGAAAGAGGAAGATTCTTTACAAGAGCGATCTTTATCTAGATGCTGGACTTCTTGTACATACAAATGCGACATGCTGATGCAATACACGAGCGGATAGTGACACCAAAAGAGACAAATAAAAAAAGAAAGAAAATGGGAAAGAAAAAAAAGCTGACAAACAGCAGACGTAGTCGGAGAATGATAAGTTCCAGGGTATAACATCACTCTGGTCTAGCCAAAGAAGAAAAGAATAAAGAAAAGTCAGTAGAACAAACATCAATCGTAAGCATAATGCAAAACACCCCAACAGTCATCCCCAGTCAAAAAATTAATGAGTAGTAGAAAGTAGTAGAAGAAGAGAGTCCAGCTCTAAGGTACTTCTTTATCACCCCTCTTGAGCCCCGCGGGTACGTCGATCGCGCCCTTGACATATTCGGTCGCTGCAATCTCGTCCAGACCTTTTCGTCTCGTGTTCCGCTTCAATAGCATCTCGACACATTCTCGCGCGCCCTCGAGTTCGGCGCCTTTCTCCGGGTCCCACTCGCCATCGCTGTCGGCGTACCGGTACCAGGACCATTCGATGCGCGCGATGCGGTGAGGCACCCGCGCACGGAGTTTTGCTGGATCGCCACGTGACCCAGGCAGAGCATCGAAGGGCAATCGGTTCTCCATCATGGCGTACAGCAGAACACCAAGTGCCCAGGCATCGGTCAGGCGGCCATCGTAGGGTTGGCCCATGAGAATCTCCGGCGCCGCATAGTCCTCGCTGCCGCAACGGGTGTGAAGAAGTTGATTTTCGGGTGCCTCTGGAATGCGCCGGGAGAGACCGAGGTCGCTCAGTGTGACAATGGCCCGATCGTAAGTCCGCCAATCAGCGATATTCTCCACGTCGGCGTATGGAAGATTCATGAGAACGTCTAGAGACGGTCAGCACTGATTCCACCCAAAGTCAGGTGAAAGAAAGCACTCACTCTCAAGTTTGATGTCCCGGTGGACGATAAGGTGGGAATGCAGATGTCGCACGGCATCCACCATCTCCGCGAAGATACGCCGGATGAGACCCGGTGCCATGGGCCGCGGCCCCGAAGATGCCACATCGAAGAGATCGCCCCCAGGGCAGTAGTCCAGAACGAGGAGCGCCCGCTTTGCATCACTCCCAAATGCTTTCAGTTGTACGAGCGACGGATGATTGATCGACTTCAAGATGTCCACCTCCCGCTTGAGAGATACCTCCAGCCGTTCTTCGTCAGCCCCTCCGGCGGGACCGTGTTCGATGATTTTGACGGCCACCAGCTTCTGGTTTGCAGCGTTGACCCCCTCCAGGCTCGAGGGCATGCCGCTTGTATTCGATGAGCCCTCTCGCTTCTCCATGCGCACGGCCAGGCAGACTTGACTGAAGGTCCCTTGACCCAGCTGGCGAAGCTTTCGATATTGTCGCGGCTGTTGCGTTCGAATCGATGATACGGAATAGACCTCATCCGGGCCATCCATCATGGGCGGATGCGTGATGACTGGCTCGGTGCTGTTCTTCTCGAATCCGCTGCTTCGCGGCGGAGTTGGAGGGCGAACGGCGGGAAGTGCGATGCCCCGATGGACGGCGAGATACTGTTCGCGGTGTAGGTTGTATGTACTGGATGGAATGCGAGCGCAGGCAGGCATGCCCTGCGATCCTCCATTTATCGACACCGCCACCTGACGAGGCTTCACGTGTACGCATTTTCCCGGAGGGACGTAGTCGCTCAGACTACGGTTACGGGCATGCTTCGCAGCGTTGTCTGGTCGAGATTTGCTCGGAGACTCGGCAACCTTGTCCCCGCCCGTCTTATCCCACACGTATTGTTTGCTTCGCGATCGCGACTCCGACGGTCCGAGCATTTGAGATGAGTCGCTGAGGCGGAGGCCGAGACTTGACCCGTTGCGCGACGCGGTCGACGGGGTTCGCGAGAGCGATTGGGAGTTGCGACGGGGCAGTTTCCACGAGGAGAAACCGCCAATCGGCGACGGCAAGGGTGTGATGTCACCCATGGCCATCAGTTGGGGCGATGAGAAGACCGACGCAGGCGACAGCGAGCCGACGCTGGGGTTGGGACCGCTAAGCAGACCGCGGAAGCTGGGGGTCCGGCGGGGTAGGCTATCGGATGACAGGCTGCGGTGCACGATATCGTCGGATTCCTTGGCGGGGCTTATCGGGGGGCCATTTGGCATATCGGTACGGATCTGTAGCGAGGGGAGGGACTGCTGGGAGGCAAGCGCCTCCGAGTGGGTCGCATCATGCATTATATAGGCGGAGTTGGATCCAATAGACAGTGGCGGGGAATAAAGACTCCCATCGCCCGGACTCAATGACGGGAATGAACAACTTCCATTATCACTGGGAGTCGTCACGGGGGCGTTGTGTAACTCTGACGGTTGGGTGGAGGAGGATCCAGACCTGTCGGTCGGTTGGGAAGAAGCAAGGTGAAGCATCGAAAGAGCAAGACACTCTTACTCCTTGATCTCGGGGCTTTTTTTTTCTTGCTGCAGGGAGGAAGGGGAAAGGACGAAAGGCGAGCGGCGAGCGGTGGCTATCGGCGATATATAGAGTCAACGGGTAAGATCGGGAAGACAACCAGGCCCCCTCGGTTCGAACCTGTGTAGATCATGTAACGATACTACGGGCCGAGACGTCAAAGAAACCCTTGTGAATGGTGGATAATGGCGGTGCGACTTTGAAAGCCTCGAGGCTTGTGAAAGGGGATTATTATAGTGGAGTAGAATATTGGAGTAGAATATACGGAGGAGAAAGACTGGAAGGAAAAGGGGGAAATCCGACAAGAGAAGTGAGAGGAATCAGGAAGGATGTTAAGATGAGATGAGATCAAAGGGAGCGAAAGAGAGGGAGAAATAGAAAAGAGCGGAGGGAGGACCGACTTGGCCTTCATTTCCCGACCAGAGAGAAAGAATCATGCTAATCGTGCTAATAATGCAAGCGCTGATGACGCTGCAGGAAAAAAAATCCACACGCGGGGTCAGCTGATGACGGGGCTTATCTTAGTCAGGTTTAGCGTCCACGAGGATATGGCGCTAGGTACCCCGCATGCAGTAATGCCGTTGTGGATCGTTACCAGTTGGGGATGAATTCTCTGCCCAGTCCCATCCCAGTTGCCATCCATCTGTCGCAACCACGGTTGTATACTGGGAACTGTTGAAACAGGTTCTCTAGAGTTATTCTACCGGTATCTGCATACGACCGATAAGAGATTTAAACTATCGGACTGAGATCGCCTCGGCCGTGCCTTGCATACACCAAAGTCTAGACATTGCTCCCTCGTACCCCACGATGCAGCAACTCAAATGTCCTTACTGCTCAACAAATCAGTCTTGACGATCTCACCCTGGAGGACGGACGACCTCTGTCAATCCACCGTCCACACACTACCCAGTTCAGTAACCCTGAGGCTCTACCAATCCCACTGTTACACCTCGGGTGGGTTTCCACTTCGGCAAGAACGCCAAACCTTACTTCATTCCTGACAGGCTAGACCTTCGAGGGGAATTTTCATCACTTGTTCGGGTCTACTAGACCTATTAGAGTCCAGTGTGAAATGACTGCTGACTCCACTTGCGGATCACCGTGGAATGTCCGGTATCAATATCCGACCGGACGCGAGACCGATCAGAAGAAGGTACTGAGATAGATCTGTGTGACCACTGATCAGTCCGACTCTCATGGTTGCGGTTAGTCTTCATTAGTCGGTATAATACATGTAGACAGTGCTGTCCGCAGAGACTATTTGACCTTAACCGCCCGCCTGGTTACCCACGTATCGATAGCCCTAAGCGTGGCCCTGCATAGTCCTATATTTGTACTACGGAGTACATGCTACATGAATACTATCAAGTCGGCGACCTTTACCTCCCTTGTCAATGGAATCATTTATTAACATTCTTACATGCATAGCAGCGTACGTGATGGCGCTCTGCCACACATGAAATTCTTTTGTTTTCCAATCTCTCCCATCGCAATTGACCAATGTCGGTTGGCCAAACTGTGGTTTCCCATATCCATCCGAGGTGATTTGGCCAACGCACATCATCTGCCGCGCTAGATTAGCGTGCCCCGTTCAATTAAATTCCTGTTATTCCGACTTTTATTTATCCTTTTATTTATTTTCGGAGTCTGTATTGGATTTATCTTGTTTATTTTAATCTACTTTATTGATTTTAAGATTAAGGTCATTTTATTTATTATTATCCTTATTTTAATTTTTCTTCCTCCCCCCCAAATTTATCACTCTATCTGATTTGATTATTTGGTGTTTGTCCCGAAATTGCACTACAACAGATAAAGAAACATAAATAAAGAAATCAAGAGAAAGAAAGACAGAAGAAAGAAGAAAGAGGAAAGAAACACCCTGTCCAACTACTCGGCCAAATTTACTAAATTCAGATCGATCGACGACTCTGCCTCATGGCCTACGTAAGCCCTCGCATTTTTCAACTGTTCATTTCGCCCCCATTAATAGAATCATGAACCTATCTCTCCAGTCATTATCTGTCGGGACATTTGTGTTGGGTATACGCCATCTGATTGGCAGCGGAATTCCAGTCGCCAAGAAAAATAGAATGAACGATCCCAAGCCACCGAACTAGTCCCTTATTCTGCCCCCGATTTTCCCGAGCAATTGGGCTCCATAGTCCCATACCGGTTTCTTTCATTCAAGGCTTGACTGCCGACTATGCGAACATGTGACGAGTGGCTTGCAGCTTGTAGATCGGTCTGCTTCTGATTTCCTCCTGATCTAGTGATTGAAACCACTGCACGTTGATTTATTGATTGTCTCTAACCACAGCATCGTGAACGTGTCCCCTTCGGCAACCACAAGGAGTTGTTGAGGAAAGCACGGACACAGACATGGATATAGTTGAGGTGACTGATCCATTCCGCTGCGGGTGGGTACCTCCCCAAGTTGCTTTTTTTTCAAATGCCTTGTTTGCCCCCTTCAAACATCTCTCACGTTGGATCTTAATGAAATGCCCCGAGTGATCTATCCAAATGCCAGTCGATTTCTTGACCCTACCCCTTTCCTTTTCCCTTTTTTTTTTTTTTTTTTCTTTTTTTTTGCTCTTGCGTATTCATTCCACTGGAAGGATCCTCATTTCCTCCCTTCCCGTGACGCGCCACAGCCCAATCAACAGCGTCAGGGGTGTTGACTAGCTTATCTGCGAAAAAGAGGATAACAACCACAGAATACTATTTCGGGAGAAGTATGCCATGCATTTGAAATGGTCTAATATCTAACCACCCAGTGATCGAATATAACAAGTCCTCGATGGTCTAGTGGTTATGATTTCCGCTTGTCATGGTTCTACCGTACAAGCGCGGGAGAGCAGGGTTCGATTCCCTGTCGGGGAGATTTTTTGCTCATTTTTTCCACCAGCCAGGGCTGGCAAACAACTACTGGTGTAACAGCCGGCATCATATCTATTGAGTTGTCCCTTTGGACTTACACTTTAGAATTTTACAGCGAGAGCTCGCCCTTATACCCCATAGGAGCATGTCTTGCATCGTTCATATCTGGAGCGAGAGTCTGTGTCCAGAATAATGCAAAGGACACCACCGTGACATCGCCAGACACGTCCCTCAGAACTCCTTGTAAGGTTGCATCTTTTATATTCGCATCAGACCATTCGACAGTGCTCTTTGTATGTCACATGCTATGTACGTGGTACGATGCATGGACAACTCTCGACATGTCTAGTCTCAAACAACGGGCCTTAATATGATAAATGGAAGCTCCAACATGCGAGTCGTGGTCCAATCATGACAGTCACGATATACTACAATAAGTCGCCAGGATGTCCCCTGACTGAGTGAGCTAGGAACCCACACAAAACAAAGAAAAAGAACCCAGTGTTTTCTTGCAACACCTAGATCTAGGAACCTAATTGAATCGTCACTCTTGGCTCCATTGTATTATTACTCCCACCCCAGCCATGAGAACAGCGCATAGAGGTGCACATCAAGATGTTGGACCCAGGTGATGCTTGCTGTCCCGCGAAAAACCCACTTCTTCCTTGATGTGGAGATCACATGGCAGGCATATGCCGCATCGCCTCAAGGGCATCATTGCAGATAACAGAGAGTATCCTTCCAATGATAACTACTAGCCCCATATACCTGCCGTGCTGATGTTCGAGTTAAGGCCGTCGACCTTTTATGTACTCTGGAAATATCAGCGGATCGGCGACCTGGTGGTCTGGTGTATTCATCTCGGTTTTAGAAGGGTTTATTTGTTAGTAAGATAGTAGTCTCACTATGGTTTCAAAGTATGTTGGTCCGCAATGTCCGCTCCATTTGTGTTTATGATGATCAAGTACTAATGTGTATAAGGTAGTTACACCCACCTGCAAGCTTCGTACCTGGATTAATCTATGAATTGTGTTTGTTTCTTCGCTGGGCTGTATGTCTATGTTTTCGATATATTGCAGTCTCAACGGCTCGACTGCCTTCCACCCAAATATGGATTCAATTGACATATACATATACATATCCAGAGAGAAAGGTCAAGGTACCAGACCTGGTACATTGCACTATATCTACTAAACAGACATCTATACCAGTTACAAAACCATACCCAATATATTAAAGTCTCTACATAACATGGCATATAATGCACAAGCCACGAATAAAAAGACGACCCTGCCTGGTGCCCACCTCCACTCACCAGGGGACAAAGCCCCCCCCAACCAATAGCCGAACAGCCAAATCTTACTAGAAATAGTGTCAGTGTCAATCAGCTAGCAAACGACACACGTCATCCTAGATCCTTCAGCTAAGAGCCAGTACTAGGCGAGATTGTGAGCGGGGATTTCGTGACCCAATCCTCCCCGAGTTGATCTAGTTTACACCGCGCTGGAAAGCCCAGCTAAGGGTGTATACTTGGGGATTGATGTATTTGATCCTGGGTTGTGAGGGATTTGTTCAATTGTGAGGGATGGGCTAGTGGGCACCAGCGGTAGGTAACTCAATTTTAATTTTTGGTTGATATTTTATTTGTTTCTTGTTTTATACAAAACTTCCCATGTACGAAGTACCAATAATAGAGACTGGATTTATTTGAATATACCTATTTCATTCACAGAAGTTGATTTAGCTCCTATATAGAATGGACTTGAACTGGTGGTCAAAAGTGAACGAGCACAGCCACAGTCGGAGTGGCTGGTGAGTCCAGTGGCGCGGTGTGGTTCTCTTCCGAATACAGCCGGTCGCCCGGCAATCCCGTTATAGATGGTTTTATCGTTTCATTGTAGCTCCTGACAATATTAAGGTTACTTGAGAAGACGAAACAAATCCTGCGACAGTTTTCGCCTGCAAGAACCACAAACGCAGGAGACCGCTATATGTACAGTACAATACCCATCACCATGCCGGCCCCAACCATGGACAATGCAGAAAACCGATGCTTTGAGCGCCAGAGAAGAGATCTGTAAGGGACGAGACCAGAAATAAAACCGTTTCTAATACAACATGAACCAAAAGGAGAATCGCAGGAGGAAAGTGTCGCTAACTCCCTCCCGGTTTGTGAACAGACACTAGCGGACGTGCTTTTTCGAGTAGGTGCTGGATAAGAGGCCGAGTTGGCTCGCGTGCTAAAATACAAGGGGATTTTTTGTTGTTGTGTTTTTACAGGAGCGCCCTGCTGATGACCTGTGGAGCTGTTAGTAGGTGACTCTGAATGGAGAAGGAAAAATGACACGTACTGTCCAGCCTCCCGCAATGCCAGCGACTATACCGCCGGAGATCGCCATGGGCTTAAGTCCACGGGTGCTCTTGAACAGCATTCCGCTAAGCGCACCGGCAACGATGCTGTTCGCAGCATCATGCTTGCCTCGTGCGTATCCGAGACCAGAGTTGAAACAGTTGTATACCATAGCAACCACGCCGGCGGAGTTGCCAAGGAAGGGTCCTCGCCGCGTTACCGAGTTCAAGACGCCGTTCAACCGAATCTTGGGAGGCGCAGTCACGGGCGTCTTCTTGAGTCCTTCAGCCATTCCCCATACACCTCCGAGAGTCAACGCGGAGAGATAGGTCGTGCCGGCACCGTAACACAGGTCGTCGGACCATCCGCGAGACGGGAGAACAGATCGCGAGCCGGGGAGTTCGTCGAGGCTGGAGTCTTCAAGCGTGATGTAATCGAGGGTGTCCTGGTTCAGGCCAGAGAGGGGATGGAGCTGGGTGGGATCCGGAAGGGAGATCTCTGAAAGGAAGGATTGAGCATCCTGGGTCTGATCCAAGGGCTCAGAGCCCTGGGGTTGTTTGCGACCGCTCAAGGAATCCCAGATCGCCATTTTGAAGAAGGGTATATTATTAAAAATCAATACAAGCAAGAATAGAAGAAGTAAAAAGAAGGGTGACGTGGGTAGTGGTCGCTCAGCCAGGCACTGCTGATCTCTCCGTCGGTTGTGGTCGGGTTGATTAAGTCGTGACTGCTTGGAAATCTGAAGAAGCGGAACAAAAACTTCAGCCCCGTGACATCGACCGGGGAGTGCTGGGTTCGCCGGTCCCGGGGGAACGTTGGGCCGGCGCTAAACCACGTTGGGCGGACCCGCCTCGAAAATCCACCAGAGGCAAAATGAGTGCCAGACGCGGGGGTGGGCATATCTGATTGGAACTCTGAATTGATCTGGCCGGAGAGAGAATTTGTCTGGGACATGCAGCGTCTTGGAGGTAATGCATCTTAATTCAGCGTCCAGTGCCCGCCCCGAGGCGGGGTGTGACCTCATGGAGCAGATCGCTCAGCAGGATATACAAATCTTGGCCGAATCGACCCTAAGGGAAATTAGTCTAGGTCCCATGGTGAAATTCACCTCGGCCTGTGAAGAATTTGGGTAAGAGTGCTCGGTGATATCATTGATTTTGTACAATTATTGTGTTAAATGCCGTCTGACATACATAAAGGAAAGTCAACCGCGTATGGCAATGCCTGTTGGAAACATTCTCAACGTCATCTTTGAGCCATACTCATAATACGGCTGCTTGCAATGCGCTGAGCTCGTTTCTTGACACAGCAGCCATTTCGAAATGCCCAGAGACGAAGCAATTGGCTTTGTCCCTGGAGACATGGGTTGCTGTGTACGAGATATTGTTGACCCGTTATAAAGATGCCAAGCCAAAGCCAATGAAACAGGTCTTGGATAGTTTAATGGGGCTCCTAATCAAAAACCCAGACGACAATGTCAAGTCATCAATTCGATCGTATGCTGTGCATGCGACATTGCCTAGTATCATCACGGGGGAGCCACGGTCGCGCACCAAGGCATGCTTCCTGTCCCTGGAGGTTATGCTTCGCAAAAATGCCCTTTCTCCTATGGAGTTGGTCTCTGCCGCTGAAATTTGGCTCTTGAAGAATCATGAGAGATGGACTCCGCTCTATCAAGTGAACTGCAGTGCCTTGTCGATGGATATACCCAAGTTTCTCGCGGGTTCGGAAGATGACCCAAAGACAGTAGCAACGGAAATACTGGCCCTTGGGTTCCTGACGCAGGCCAAAACGTCCGATCTTGCTACAGGATCTGGCGCAACCATGGCAGTCTTCTTCCAGAAACTTAGAGCATCGACTCCGGACTCAAACTTGGCGTCGGCCTGGGTAAAGCCGGTCAGGCACGTTGTTCTGCATAATATGGATATATTGGAGATGATGTCCACCTACATCCTCGACCCTCTGTTCAATGTCGATGCTATTGGCTTCCGAAATTTCCTCGAGACCCTGCCTATAAAAAATTTGCTCACAGGAGACATGAGCGATGCCCCGAAGGACGACCTGACACTTCTCTTTGCATCGCTACAAATGGCAAAGAAGAATGGCCTTGTCCATGAAGACCGTAAGTAGTGACTCTCATGTACTATATGCCAGTATTGCTCACCCAGTGGCAGATTTTTTCGCCAAAGCGGGCGCCGCTGAAAAGACTGGCTCTAGCCCGTTGGTCTTGAAAAGTCAGATCCTCGGCCAATTTCTCTTTCACAATGATATGAGCATTAGAATAGCCGCCCTTTCACTGCTTATCACTGCACCGTCCACGACGAAGCCCATGTCATTCGCTACCACCCGCGCAATCTTGAGAGGACTCCCTTCAATGCATGCCGAGTCGGACTCGTACTCCCGCGGAGAGATTCTGAGCTTGGTGCGGAGATTCATTGTCCGTCTTAAAGGGGGCATTCTGAAGGAAGAAGGTGGCTTGGTGGACGCGAAAATCCCGACCAACAAGAAACAGTCCATTATATACGCCAGAGATGATGCGGAGACAGAATCGTGCTTGAAGCAATACATCGGGTTCTTGAAGTCCGATCTGCGACCTACGGCTTCCTACCCTCGCCATATCACAGCATTAAAAACATTGATATTTGTTTTAGAGTCCGGCTTGGATAGTCGGTTCGACCGTGTCACGGCTAGCAAAAAGGAAGGATGGCAGGTTGGATGGCGATGCAACATGCAGATATTCGATGCGAGCTTACTCAGACTACTCGTGGATCTTCTGACCGATCCATTCGAAGAAGTGCGCGCTACATCCCTCACCGCATTGAAATGGTTCCCAGTGGATGTTTTACTGGCTCAAGGCCAATTGCCCGAGGAGACCCCGCCGTTTATTGAAGCCTTGATGAAAGCGGAGCAACTAGCAAGCAACACAAGCAGGGCTGATCATGCCGACACAGTAGCGCGGCTTTATGATGTCCTTTTCAACGCAGCAGCAACGGGGGAGGTGAAGACGGATGCTCGATGGTGGGAAACGAAAACCAGCGTGGTAGACAGGCTTCTAGGGAAACTCGAGGGCAAACTGTCTGTTGCAGGCGGCCTCTTCAATTCTTCCATGCGCGACGCTCCCCTCCATGGCTACGTCTCTGCTTTAAGGTATTTTCTTTTGCGAAACCGGGCAGTTGCAACATCTTACTGATCAAAATTAAAGGTACATCGTGTCCGTACCGAACTTCCATTCTCTTGTCTCGACCGCAGACTCTCCCAACTATGATAATTGGAGATTGATCCACCAGAGGATAATCTCCATCTCGGACAAGATTTGGGAAGAAGTGAAACCCGTGTTATGTGTCGACTCCCCTGAAGGCCATACAGATGAGCCTGTTGAAGATCTCGATGTCGGGCCGAAGGACATTCTTTCTTATTCGTGGCGTGCACTACGAGAGTCAAGGTAAGCTACTCGACGCTTTTTCAATGATTTTCTGACAGAGTAGTCTTCTCCTCCATGCGACGCTTGCCAATCGGACGTACGGCCCGTCAGGAGAATTAGGATTGAACTTCGATGACTACGACAAAATTGGGACGTGCAGCTTCACTCAACTCGCCGAGCTTCGCCACAGAGGTGCCTTTTCGACTGTGTCCCAGACCTTTGCCACGTGCTGTCTTCGGTGTAGCCAAACCAACGACCCGACCATCGGTAGCCTTACACACCGGTGGTATCAGGTACGCAGGTCGATATCGGCATCAGGAAACCTATGAGGTCTAACCATATTTCTGTAGGATGCCAAGCGAATCATATTCGAGACAGCTTCGAAGCTCACTCGCCGCTCTGCCGGTCTCCCCGCATTGGCTACGGGGATTCTCACATCGCAGCCCGGGGGCCCGTTGTTCAAACAGGTCATGGAAGACTTGCACGAGATTTCCCACTTGCCCGTGGAACACAACCCCGACGAACAGAATATCCCCCTACCTCAAGTACACGCCATGAACTGTTTGAAGGACATCTTTACCAACACAAAATTGGGTCCTTACACAGAGCCGTTCATCATGCCTGGTTTGACGCTATCGGCAGAGCGACTGGGGTCACCAATGTAAGTACAGAATTTATATTCATAGCCAAATGAGCTGACTGACCATAAACCAGCTGGGCACTCCGAAATTCGGGATTGATGCTGTTCCGAGCTTTATTGATACGTATGTGTCGCCACGGATCTGGTTTGGGCTTTGGCGGCAGCTCAGGCTCCGAGCCTGGCTACAAGGTCTCATTCCAGAAATACCCAGGATTGGTCGAACTACTGGCAAGCCTGCTTGAGACCACATCAGCGAATGACCAGGATGCTAGTGGGGACGATACCATGGTCACAGAAAGAGTGTTCCCGGCAATGGAGCTGATTGCAGAGAAGATTCCTAACGTGATTGGTGTCGATGACGACATGCTGCGAAGATTAGTTCAGAAGCAACTCCACAGCCGAGTATGGGGCATCCGCGAGCACGCCGCTCGGGTGTATGCTTCCTTGCTGGACCGATTGGACATACTTAGCGGCGTTCGTGCATTCGTCAAGGATGGCTCTGATACGGAGGAACAGAATTACCTCCATGGAAGAGCGCTGTGTGTGAAGTATTCTCTGCGCCGGATTGCGCCGACGTCTCTTGCACTATGGAGGGGTATGTATTCGTGAAATTTCCTAGACATGCGGCTTGGGACTGACTTTTGTACAGAAAATATGAATGAGATCGCTTCTACCGTGAGACACATCTTTGGGGCATGGTTCCAGGATGCCGAGTCGCCATTTGTTGCTACCACGTTGCTGGAAATCTTGAGTGACTTTGTTGAGAAGGCTGTTGAGTCAGAGTCGGAAGGTAAGTTCAGAACGAAGCTCGATGACTGAACATTGTTGACCCCTATACAGAGAAGACAGGGTTCACTTTGAACTACCTGTTCGATACTTACCACTTTGGAGATATCCTGGACTTCATACTTGACTCGTCCCACCCATCGTGGAGAGCCCTGAGCGGCACACGCGCTTGCTCTCTGCTCCGCAGGGAACTCTCATGGGTCAACATCCTGCGATTGTTTGTCACGAATGATTTCGCAGAGCTGGGACCATTCTTCGAGAAGGTCTGCCGATTCGACTCCAATGCTGCCCAGTGGCTATTGGAGCGAATGAACGATATCTTTTCGGGCAAGCAAAAATACAGAACTGCTCTGCTCAGCCACTTCTCCTCTGTTATTGTAGGGGATTACGCAGAAGAAGTCAGAGGAGTGGCCATTTCGTGCCTCGCAACTAATCTGGAGAGCTTGCTTAGCTGCGAACCTAGCAGCATCAAGGAAATGGACATGCCATGGGAACTTCTAGATAAGAAGATCAACTCTAATCCGAGCAACTACATACGGAACAGAGACCGTTCTGATGCCGACCTCCGCTTGCAAGGGTGTCTTATCGCAGCGATGGCTATTCTCCATCCTAGCAAGGATCTGCAGCTCGCTACAGGCCAATGGGCAACAAAGCTCCGATTCGCAATGCTGGAAGAGACTGTAAGTAGACTCCTACGTGATGACCCCAGCACACACTAACCGATCGAAGGAATTTACGACGCGGTTCGCAGCAGTGTCATCCCTGGCCTCGTTTGGCCGAGTCTTGCGCCCGGCCAGGATGTCCCCACGTACAGAAGACGTCTTCCTCGACGTTTACCTGATCTTGTACGACATGCTCAATGACGACGACGAGGAGCTCCGCGACCTTGCTGCCTCAACGGCCTCATGGGTCCTCTCGTGTTCCTCCGTTTCGCCCGCGAAATCCATCTCCCTGTCTCCGCTGAACGCTAGCAGACTCTTGTCAGAGTTCATCGCAACCAACTATCGAGACTCGCAGCTCTTGAATACGCGAGTCCTGCGATATGTGCTAGGTCAGGAACCAAGACTCGGGAGCGCCGTTTCAGGAACGAAACTCGTCCCCGTGGCAGACGTTGCCGCCGAGCTGCAAAAGGAGAGCACCGTTCTTTTCGAGGAGGAGAAGCAGAATCTGTTTATCGACGAGGTCCGCGAGATCGACGTTTGGACGGGGGTGCTGTCTTCATTGACGAAGGACGCTTGCGCGGAGGGATCTATCCGGGACCTGTGTGGGTGGGTTTCTGAGGGGCTCGAATGTCTCGCAAAAGCCGCTACTGAGGCCTCTGGACACGATGGACTGATCGGATGGGCGTCGAAGCCGGAGATGTATGCGCTTGGGGTGCGGGTGATCAGCCTCGCGGGTGTCTTTGTGTCTAGCGAATTTGCTGCTGCTGTGTATATTTCCGGGGAGAAGGATGCTTTGAAAGAGAAACTCCAGGCGTTGCTTGCTGGAGGTAGACAAGCAGATGTTCACAAGGATTGGTTGTTGAGGATAGAGGAGGCTTTGCAGTGTTCATGAGATATGATAAAGGGCATAGATAAAAAACTAGATAAATGCAATGATATATGTTTTCCTCTTCTCTTTCCTAGGACTTGTTTTGTTTCATTGCGAGAATATTATAAACAGGATATGAGCTTGTTGTGCCTGAGGACGACAGTGTCGTCGTGGCAGCGCTCACCATCCTTTACCACCTGAAGTCACGTCAACGACAATGGTTCATTCATCCACATCCCGACTTCATAATATCCATAATCACTCAGAATCTATCAATCCATAATGAACTGGAATATATGACCAGATCATCACGTCCTACGACGTCAATCACAATTGCCACCTAGACAACCCACTCTCCACATTCAAATGTCCTATGCCTACCAAGTACCACATGCAAAATGAAAGCCAACCTCATAATCACCCTCGTGGTCGTCATTGCAGTGTGTACAACCAGAGGAGCCTGGCTCATCTACTTACGCTGCCGCCACGAACTCCGTCGAGACCTGACCCTAATCCGCCGGCAGTCTCGCAGAAACGCACTTGAATCCGGGTTACTTCGACACGATAGACAGGGTCGAGAAGTACGGATCGTCGATGGAGGTCATGACCAGCATGTACAGTCATCAAACGACAGGCCGAAGCCTAGCAAAGGCTCGAAAGGAGGGAAGGGTAAGGGCAAGAATAAGGGCAAAGGCAAGAATAAGAACGAGCAACGAACGGACAATGACACTACACCAGCGGAGAACTCGAATGACGGGGGATGGACGGCCCAGGATGCGTTTGCTCCCGATTCTTCTGTCTCTGAGCCTGTCGCGTCGAGTACGAGTCCACCCCGTCCGTCAACATACGACCAGAACCGTCCATCTCCGGACGATCAGAGTTCGAATTGGCAACAGGAGACACAAAATGAATGGTCTACAGGTGATAACGACTCTGGAAACGAGAATATCCCGGCGGAGCAACAGGCACAGATGGACAGCGAATGGAGCAGTCATGGGTCCGACGCATGGAATAATTCTGGCGGGGACCCTAGCGGAAGCAGTCAACCATGGTCCAGCGAAAATTCAGATGCCATGGCTGCAGGGAGTGGAGTCTCGTATGGGGCTTCGCAGGGGGATTCTCAGGTGGAATCTACAGGAGGGTCGTGGGGGGCGCCGACCGGTGATGCGAATGACGCTGTACAAAACAATCCCAGCGAGGAAGATCTGTCTAATGTTCAATGGTAAATGGTCCAGCTGAGGCTGATGTGGTTACTCCACGACCCATAAAACAGACCTTCGTCATTGGCCATGGATATAAAGGTGGCTGTGGTCTTTGCGGAATGCCGGAATCGGGCGCCAGTGACGTTTGTAGTTTGGTTTGACCCCCGCGGATCCCCAGTGGTACCTAATCAACCATAACTAACGATGACGGCCGATTCTTCTCCAACCACCTGCCGACTTCTCACTTCCCTCCCCTTTCACCCCCCCATTCTTCTTCTGATTGCTTATTTCAATCTTGACTTGTCATAGTGTGAGATACTGCCAGTACTTATCACTCCCTCTCCCCTGTTTATGCGCCACACCACTACCTCGGTCCTTTGAAGTGCAAGGCAGCTGCACTGCCTCCCCCCATTCAGCCATGTGGAACGACGAGGACAACAATCCTTACGGCGCATTCGACAACGAGGCGCAACTCTCGGAGTCTTTGCACTCTGCCGCTCTTTCTCCCTGTATTATATCCTGTTTACAGTTTGGTGGGGTCGTCAGCTAACGGTTCCAATTTCAAGCGCTCTACGATCGCGAGTACACCCCTCCTTCCCCCTCCAACCAGTCCTCTTCTCAAGACCCTCCCGACTACCTGACTCGCCAACAAAATCTCAGCGATGATGAGGAAGATGGATACCCCGGGCAGGAAGCTGGGGGCTATTCCCGCAAGAGCGTTTACGACAGTCGCATAGAGCAGATCCTGTACGAGAATCCGGAAATGCCGATTCTCATCACCGATGCCGGAAAGAATCACGAAAGTGGCGGGGGCTACATCGTGTATACCATCCGAACTGGGGTGAGTTATATGATGTCGGGCGGTGTTCGAAGGAGACGCTGACGATTGTCTGTAGGATCTAGAGGTCAGACGGAGATATTCAGAATTCGCGTCGCTGCGCCAGACTCTCGTCAACCTCCACCCGACCCTCATCGTGCCGCCCATTCCGGAGAAACATACAATGGCGGATTATGCGGCGAAACCAACCAAGGCCAAGGAGGACACCGCGATCATCGACCTGCGAAAACGGATGCTGGCTGTCTTTTTGAATCGGTGTCGACGGATGAAGGAGGTTCGGGAGGATGGGGTCTGGTGGAGATTCTTGGACCCCAATGTTAGCTGGGTATGCGCATACAATCAGTCTCGATTGACCGTGGGTATTGACTTGATGTTGCAGAGCGAGGTCCTTCATTCGCACCCCGCGTCCTCGGTGCCGAAAAATAACTTGAAAGCCCCCCCTCTCGACCCGGCAAACCCTACACCTGCGCACGCGTGGCTTCCTATCCCAGCGACCTCGGCGAAGCTCAAGGGCGCATCTGGTACTGCGTCCACCGGTACTTCTCCGACGTCCGAAACACCTGGTCCGGATATTCTCGGGCGTTTCCCGCCCGAGTCGCGGAAACTCAGTGAGAAGGAATTGGACCCTTACTTCATCAACTTCGAAGCCTCTACGCGCGAGCTGGAATTGCTGCTTCAGGGCAACATGGAAAAGGTCAATCGTCGGACACTAACCCATCTGTCCGCGTTGTCCGCGGATTTGATGGAGCTTGGAGCGCGGTACAACGGCTTTTCGTTATCCGAGCAGTCACCGACCGTTGCGGCAGCCATCGAACGGATTGGACAGGCGGCCGACACGTCGTACATCGAAACCGAAGAACTGTCGGCTTCTCTGGGGGCGAACTTTGCAGAGCCAATGAGAGAAAGCGCGCAGTTCGCCAGTGTGGTCCGCAGCGTTCTGCGTTACCGCGTCCTGAAGCGGGTGCAGGAGGAAATGACGCGCGATGAGCTTGCCAAGAAGAAGGCATTGCTCGATTCGTTGGAGAAGAGCGAATTGGAAGCACGGCGTTTGGAGGAGTACCTCAGCCGAGCGCCGTCCCAGCCGACGCAGACGAAACCCCAGCGCTCGCTATCGACATCATCGGCGGCTAGTGCTCCGAGTGGCCAGGAGGTCGAGACACGCCCCAGTGGCCCGGAGGACACTGCTTCCATCGACTCGGATTTCCCTTCGACTCACGGGGAGTCCGCCGGCCCGTATCCTCCAGCTTCGCCAAAGCGGTCCGACCTGTCGTCCTCTCCACCGGCACACCGCAAGACGCCCAGTGGAACATTCATGGGCAATAAAATCTTCGGCCGTATCAGCCACGCTGTTCATGGGTTCGTAGATGTAGATCCGGAAAAGACCCGGCGGGACCAGATCGGCAAGACGCAAGAAAGTTTACTCCAGGTATGTCTTTCTCCGTGCTCAATGCTCGATGCGATGTTGACCCATCAAACAGCTCGAACAGGCCCTCAAAGTATCCGAAAACGACGTCAAGGACGCCAGCGCCGGTGTCCTCCAAGACCTCAAACGATTCCAGAAAGATAAAGAAGCCGATCTCCGACGGTACATGGTACGTATATCCGCTGATCCACACCACAAACCGACACTAACCGACTGATCTTAGGTCGCATATGCCCGTTGCCATCTGGATTGGGCGCGCAAAAACATGGAAAACTGGACGGAGGCCAAAGACGAGGTGGACAAGATCGTCGTTTAGTAGACGATACCGTCTGAAGCAAGCACCGTGCTATGAACTTGCGAAATAAGCCGGCGTTGGTGGGATTTTATCTTTATTTTGACTTCTTATCTATCCTATGAGTCAATCTCAATCAAGCTGGGCTACCAACCCATTACTACCGCAGATTGGCGAATCGCCAGGTGTCTTGCACCCTGTCATCCATCACTTCGATCAATATATGAAACATGATTCTAATCTCGGGGTGTAGTGTACATTCTCCCAAGTACTACTGTATGATCACGCTGGCGATATTATATCTACATGGTATATGGGTAGTTCTATTTGAATGTCAGAATGACTGATCAAATACATCAGTATCAAATTTATAGCACTTCCCGTGGAATTCGACTGCAACCATTCAACTGGCCAACAGATCACACAAGGGTTTGCAATCTAAATAGTTAGAACTTGCAACATTTCCCACAGGTCGATTTCCTCAATATCATCAATATTTTGACCGTTTTCACCGTTTTCACCGTTTTCCCGTTTTCCCACTTGCATATGTACCAATTATGCCAGCTCAGTATAGGCTGGTCAATTTAATAAACGAGGTATATAATTCCCGACCCATGACTCACGTCCAGAAGTGCTTGGTTCTTTCCAATAAAATGAACCATCTTGTATATCGGTTTGTAGTACTAGGTGATCCTCGCTCAGCTGACAGTCCTCGATAAGCTAATGCTTGTTTTGTAAGGACGGCCAATCTGGCACTGCTGCAGCTTATTAAACCGCCGCCTCATTTGCATGTCCCATGAAACCAAAATAAGATGGCTTTTGCCAGGACCAAGTATTCGAGTCTTCGTTAAATAGTTTCTTGGAATAGGATACACACTGACAGTGGAACGCGTAGGAATACCCCGGGATTGTGAATCTAGAGTTGAGACGCCACATCCAGTGATTTTGTGGTGAAATGGATCTGGACGCACAGTTCATTGTCTCGATATTGTTATCTCGTTGTGTCATTTTGTTGTATGACCGGACTGCAGAGCCCAGAAATGGCGTTTGGGGCAAAGGAATTGGGGGGAGGAGATTTTTTTGACTTCCTCGCGTGGTAGCGGTGAGTGTTGACAGAAGTTATTTTCATGGGAATAGATTTCTTGATTTATACATGTGTGTCGATTGTCTGTACCTGTACTGAAGTTATACCTTACTTAATTAGCCTAGTACCACCAAAGACAAGTCGAATACCCCATACCGGAGTTATGGTAATAGTATCGAAGTGGTCGTTCGATATACCCGGTATAGACATTCGTCTTTGTGCGATAGTTGGAGGATAGCAGTCAGTTCAAGTCCTCCTAAAGTGCTCGTCAACATGTCGGTGTAATGGCAACGACCATTTAGCATTGCCCAATCACCCGTTTGCATTCTGAAAGTTGTAGTCTCATCTATGGGGTTGGGACATGCAGCGCAGGGACTTGTGGTCATTTGGATGGTGGGAGTTGCCGCGCTGCCACCGAGTCGTATATCCATTCCTTCTTTGACACGTCAGGGATTTGAGCGGCGAGTTCTGCAAATTCATAGACAAAATTGGCTGCGCTTGCCCTGGTGATGTCGTGTGCCCAGATATTATAATTGAATGATTAAATATATATTGCAGTAGGAAGTTTCCAGGAGTCGGGCGTTGGGGTTGTATATACGTGTAGAAAGAAATGTAGAATAATTGTAGAACACAAATTCTGTGTAAATGGGGGGAAGCTTGATCTATATATCCTGGTCTGACAAGGAAGGGTTTTATGATGCATGAATCACTTTGCCTCTGTATCATCTGGACCTTTGTTATTGGGTTTTATGGTTTCACTGCTTTGATAAGGGATCTTAGTGATTGGATGTATTGTTCACTTTCTGTTTATATGAATACTAAGAGACGTCAGTCATACGGCTTGCTTCACTGCAAACAAGTATTACTTTCTTGATGGTAAGACCGCCTGGATACACCACCCTTACTGTGATATGGCAACATTATTAGCACTGAACTATCTCTACACATAATGCGCTGCGAAATCAAAGAGTGCAAAGTCGTAAAGCTACATTAATATACCCAAGTCACAACCAAAAGGACTAGACACCCGCCCAATGTCCTGTCTGAGAAATCTTCTCTACTGCTTTCTTCATGTCCTCCACATACATATCATGCTGCCGTTGCCTCAAATACTGAGGGATAAACGGATACACCAGACGAGTCCACGACACAAAACCCTGGTACGCGACCTGAGTCGCCAGCGTCGGCCGCAAATCATACTCAACAGCCAATCGCTCGGGCAGCCAATTCATGGTCACAACACGAGCCAGCGGCATAGAAACGCTCATCGCGAGCGGTAAGTTCAGCGGATACAGCAAATCCCGACACAGCTTGCGCGCCATATCCGTGACCTGGAGCGTCTGAATGTTATGGTCCCAGTAAGCCCAGAAATCATTCAGATTCTGCGGCCACATGTCAGGCGGCATGCGCAGGGAAGTCCCAAACACAGCCGACTCCCTTAGCATAGTCTCCTTCTGGTCAAGCGACAGCTCCCCGAAGAACGCCTCATGCACGATCAAGATCGAGAAGAACAGCGTCGCTGCCGTCCACTTGTGCAGCTCGGGGTCGTTGGCGTCGTAGTCATCGCCCTTGACGCGCGCATGATACTTGTGGATGACGGAGAAGATGGCGGCCTTTTCGGCGGGATTTCCTGATACCGCGGCGTTGAGGAAGCGGGCTGTGTTGCGGAGGCGTTGTGGGATGCGTGTCGCGAATGAGGAGTGCTTGAAGCTACCTTTTGCGAGGGCTGGGTGCGCGAACTGGCAGAGGATGGCGACTTGTCCGCCTAGTAGGTAGATGTCGTCCTTGATGAGGGAGCGGATTAGGTGGGGTTCAGCGATGGTGTTGTGGATCGGGACATCTCTGGAGCGGTCTGCTGTGATTGTTTCTGGGGTCATATTTCGTGTACTAAAGATGAGTATATTGTCTTCCTGGTCCTGTTTGTTTGCAAAGTGCTTTTGGGATATCCAGCCGGTTTATACGGTTTATACTCCTAGTTTGAGATTCGGACCGAGGACCGCTGGTGCGGCACGAGTAGTCTGTGCCATCCCCGCGAAATCACAGCTTATGAGCGCTGCTTAGAAACGGTTAAGGTTTCTAGAGCTAGGATTTAGCGTTAATAGATCTTGGCAGATGGGAGTATATGGGAGCCTTTCCCATCCTTCAGTTGGAACATGTGAGTGCCCTCTTTTACAATCACATCAGGCCCCTTATCGGGTCTAAGCGCAGGGCTGGTATCAGTCGGTTTCGATCGACATCTATGTATACATAGATATAAAATCCTGATCTTATTAAATCGGAAACACTGTAGGTATTCGCTTAGCTAGGATTTCTTAGAAGGTGTTAAGACCATCTAGCTATCAGTTTCCTGTTGGTGAACCGTGCGAAACACCACCCTCGAAGGATTAGAGCACTCAAGTTCGTCATCCTGCTCATCCAATTTCCAGTCGTACCCGTTAACGACGGCCAGCACCTTCACTCGGACCTCTACCTTCTCAACCAAATAGACCAATGTCTTCATCAGCGATTTTCGATGATATGTTTCCCGTTCCGACCTGCACTGATCCACGCGATCGAGAATAATCCATATTGTATGATGCGGGTCGAATAGATTCAGAACATGAAGGGCCACGTCTTGCAGCAGTTTATTGGCCTTTCTACCACTTTTCTGCCTGCCGTTCTCAACTTGGAGGGTGACTGCCTGGTTGTATTTTCTGACTGCCGCATACAGCTCATTGTACTTGTTTTGGTCCCGAAGCACCTGACTGTTTTGCCTCAATAGCTGGATCAGAATGGAGGCTAGAACCTGAGTCGAAAGGCGCGATTCATGACGTCCAACGAGATAGAAGGCGCAAGGATTAGATTCTTCAGCTTTGCTAAGACTTGTAATCATATCGAGTGCAACAGGCGACAGCCAACAGTCTGGGGACAGACAGACTTGCTCATTGTTATATCCCACCAAAATGAGCATCGACGACTGATTAGAGTGCCGCCACGTATAAAACTCTTTTTCGTTTTGGAAATTTGCAAGTTGATGTCCCTGTATTCGCTGCAATGTAGTGGGCCAGTCGTAATCAAAACTCCAGTTGATGTCCGTCTGGTACGTTCGCAACCGATCGAGCTCAGACTCTTTGGAATAGGTTGAGAGCTCCAGCAGCTTTTGAATCTCATCGAGCTTGTTGTTGTCATGGCTTTCCTGCAACTCTGAATATGACGCATCAGCTACAGCGGCAGTCTGGCATACGTCAGTCCACTTACGTTTAAGCTGGGTTTTCAGAGCTATATCCTTATCAGTCTGTGTCCATCGATGCTGTAATTGGGTGAGGACCAACTTTCAATCTCTCGTGCCTGATCTACGAGCATATGTAAGTACTCGCCGCAGGGTGGAATGAGGGGCACTGACCAATATTTAATTTTTTGATAGTATCTACATTTTTCATGAGGAGCTCCTCGCTCGTGTACCGAACCTCAAGGATGGCATCTTGAACTTTCGATGCATAGTCATCTAAAGCTGTTGCACCGTATGCCGCTTTGGCCCACCGTCCTACAACAATCGGTTAACCACAATATACTCGGCGAGGTCGGGAGATTCACTTAATCCTTTCTTCGTATAGTATTTCCCAGCTTCCATACAAAAGCTAATAAAACAGTTATAGGCTTGAACAATTTTCGATTGTAGGTGTTCGTCAAGCTCATGATTATCATGGTAGATGTCACGAAAGAGTTTCAGTCCAACAGCCCTATCTCGGATTTGAAGCAGCGTATCCCAGATCAGCTGCTCGGTCCGAGCCCTATAACTGGCAACCTGCGAATTCCGTTTAGCTCTTTCCGTGGGCGGGCCTGGGGGCTCCTACTGTGACTAGAAAGGAAATCGTCCCAATGGCAATGCCGCCATAGGGCGCTGCAAATGTTTTCACGATTTCCACGATAGGTTCCATGTTTTGCAGGATCTCATACGCGGAAGCCCCCGAATTTTGAATGGCCCTTCCGGCACGCCCAGTTCCATGACGGTGACTTGCTTCAAATTTGCCTTTGGCAGCTAGGGTCGAGCCGAAGAATTTCTCAAAATCATCCGCACTCTGAATCCGTAAGGCTGACAGCTCTTCTTTGGAGAAATTGCTATTTGCTTGGGCGATTCTGTGGAATTCCTCTTGTTCTGCGTCTGACTTCTCAATTACAGTACTTGTACCTCAGTTAGTACTCGATACTAGACAAGATGCGTAAAGGCGAGGCCGCAACGCACAGATCCTGATCATTGAAGCGCTTTGTGCCATTCACTGGTTTTGTTTCGTGGGACATCCTGGCGGACACAGTTGGTACAAGATGAAGTGACAATCCACCCACAAGATTGGAAACAATTTCTTAATCTTTGACATTTGGGAGCCCCTGCGAGGGGTCCTAGCCAGACACGAGGCTGACAGGGTGCGGGGAAGTACATAAACCGCAGTCTTTTGCGGCTGAGCTGCATATGTATGTCGTTCAGCGCGCGAGGGGATTGGCGCGCTTGGTGACGTTTGGGCTGGAAGGTTTGGCTAAGGAATTCAGGTAGCAGATTCTGCAGGCGCCAACCAATGAAAGAGTGACGGGGTCTGAATAGTTACAACGTCTCCTTCCTAGCGTGATTTACGACAGCCAGTTTCTTCACCTAGTAGTCTACACTGCGAATACGGACTATGTATGAGATGTCGCAATCATTTGTGGAGATAAGCCACCACCCCCTGCCCTCCAATCGAATATTATGTTTACTCCAGTCATGTGTCGACACGTCCTCGCAAAAAGACACCCATGCGCACTGTCCGTGAGTTATTTATGGAGTAACATCCAGGGAATTTCGGGTTTGAGTACATAAAGTGAGTGATAACCCCCAACAGAACTATTCAAGCAAAACTCGTTCTTGTATGCCACTGTCACGAAGTCCGCCCCAAAATCCGTGTTTAAGACTGGATACGCGTTCAGGAAGTGGAACAAGCCTGATATTTCTGCAAGCATGACAGTTCCGGAGGCAGAGTCTGCAATAACCGTTGCGTACACCCTACCCAGACAATTGGGTGTGAAATCCTTGTGTCCTAACCCCACTGAAGGCGCTGGCGGGAAAGCTAGAGGCTCTTCAGAAGCAGTTTTCGGAGCTCGAGCAGAAATACAAGTCTTTGGAAGATACGAAAAAGGAAGTCACCAACGGAGATGAACAGAAAGAGCCCGGGCCTGAATCAAGTGTATGAAAATGCAGGATCTCTCCTTCTAGAAGCTCTAGCACTAATGTGTGGAAGTCGCCCGACAACACGGACAACAACGCAAAGGTAAACAACATATACTAATATCTGTGGCAGAGAAATTAATCGGGGCTAACGAGTTATTTCCAAAGGATCAATCCAGCGCGCATTCGCGAGTAAAGATACTAACAAAGATCAACGACCCACAAACTGGCGTGCCTGTTGAGAAGCCGGAGGAATCCAAGATATCGGAACCAGAAGCTAACACCGATCATGCCTTCGTCTTGAAGAAGACAATCGAAGACAAGTCCTCCAGCGCGGAAGACAGTTCTGAGATAGATATCATTAGTATAGACTTGTGGGAACTGTTGAGGGAACATCTGCGAGACTATCCTTACCACATCTTTCAAGATTCACCTGTCACACTCTATTCGCCTTATGAGGCTATTGTCTCTAAGTGGGACGCTTTCCAGACAGCATCGACCGAAGTTGGAACGAATGTACAAGCTAGGGAGGATCTGAAGCTTCTTCTAGACACCATATCGGGCGGATCGTCCGGGGATCCCAGACTGGACAAATACTTCAAAGTGCGGGAAACATATAAAAAGGAGAAGGCAATCAAGTTTGAGGACTTATGGACGATATTCCCACCAGGGACCTTGGTTTTTGGAAAGCCTTTCCAGAACGAACCCCAAGTGTTCATCGTCCAGGACAGCACGAGAGCTTGGCCAGATAAACTCGCCTACCCACAGAGACTTGCATCGTGGCAGCTAAACTGTTGGACGTACGACTGGACGGGATCTAAGTTTCAACGAACCCCGTTCGTGGTCGTGTTTGAACCGTACGAAGGTTTGAAACCCATTATAGCTTTGCCCTACTACCCCTTCGAGCGCCACCTTGAACGCAACCTTATTGAGAAGCAGCTGGTTGCCCGGGGTAAAGAATTTTACCGGCTGTGCACTGCTAATGAAGCATCTCGTCTATTCATCTACCGGGGTAACTCGATATTTGGGAAGAAGGGCTTCAGTGGAATGCTACAAGCTGACGATGTAAGTCAATACTCACCCGCAATGTGTACAAGTCTTCTTTGTTCTAATTTTCTACGAGGATGATGATCGCTCATCCCGGACGCTGGCGTGGGACCATGACTTTCACGCACGGCAGAGTTCGCCAGCGAGACAATCTCAGACTTCTACTAAAAACTCGTCATATGTGAGCTTTGCCACAACTTGATCTGTAGAATGGGATGAACTAAACAGGACCTTAGGTAGACAGTAGGGTTATGGTTGACTATCTATCCTACTTCCAATACGGGCCTCCCACGGCAAATAATGGAGTACTTGAACCAAGCGACATGAATCCGGACTGCGCCTGCAGTAATTGCCAGGACAACGAGGGCTTGGCGATGCGATACAGAGCTCGTTTCGACACTGATAGAGCCCAGAACTGGTGGGAGGATGAACAATATCTACTTTGTCCGCCCCGCGTATTGGGATACATTCTCAAGGAAAAGCAATGGGCGCAGCTTCAAGTTAACCTTATCCAGGACATTCCAGACAAAGGCGATCCGGATGATGCCTGGAATTCACGGCTGCGACTTGCAGACGGAGACAGGACCAAAAATATGCTTTTGGACCTTGTAAGCAGCCATATTTCGTCGTCGAAGACGGAGGAGGCGAGCGAACGGGGTCTGGAAGTTGACGACATTATACCTGGAAAGGGTAAAGGTCTTGTAATTCTCCTCTATGGTACGTTCTTGTTTTATTGTCCTGCCATTACCATGAGCTGTGCCTGCAGGTATATATTGATTATGTATCAAGGCCCGCCTGGTGTCGGTAAAACATCAACAGCAGAAACGATCGCGGTCGCAGCAAAGAAGCCTTTATTCTCCATTAGCGTGGCCGACGTTGGCACCAAAGCCAAGAACGTCGAATCCAACCTATCCAGGATCTTCGCTTTGGCCACTTCGTGGCACGCTATCTTGCTCATGTAAGTAGTGATGTGCACTCTTACCAACGCCGTTAGTCGCTTTATTGACAGGAGTTACTAGTGATGAGGCGGATGTCTTTCTCGAGAGCCGAGGGAGAGGGTCTGGCACATCATCCACAGACAAGAACGCGCTGGTTTCAGGTAACAAGATCATACGGTAGATCGCTCGAACACCAGCTAACTTTGGCAGTCTTCCTTAGAGTCCTCGAGTACTACCAAGGCATCATGTTTCTTACAACGAATCAGATTGCCCAATTTGACGTTGCCATCCCGTCGCGGATTCACTTCGCCGTTCAATACGAGAGCCTGAAGACAGCGCAGATGGAACAGATCTTCAAAGGGTTCCTCAAACCCCTTGATGACAAGGGTCTGGTAGACGACTACGAAGAGATTTTGGATTGGCTCGAGGAGGATGTTTACAATATCCAGTTTGACGGGCGAAAGATCCGTAATATCGTCACAACAGCCCTGGGGCTAGCCCGAGCCGAAACAAAGAGGGGACAGGGTAAAGGCAAACTGGGAAAGAAGCATCTGAAGGCCGCTGTTCAGAACGCGCGCTCATTCAAGGCCGAATCTTTCAGGCAGTACGAACGGTATAAAAACTCACAGGATGAAATGATCAAATAAAGTGAGTACCGATTCTCCAGGAAATATTACTACATTTTTGTGCCCTTCTTGGAGGCCAGGCTGGGTCATGACCCTTTCCTGTCTTACTTCGTTCCTTTGCAAGTCTTGAGAATTGACTCCATTCAACATTATGTCTATTCTCCCCTTTTCATTATGATCATCGTTTTGCTCCTTTGGATGGTATCTCAACACAAGGTTAAGATATTGACATTCAAGCGAGGTGGAGTTGATAGAATTTGCGGGCCTACCTAGGACTTCAACCGTTATAGCAATGGAATGTTATGCTCCTTTACTAGCCCAGATTGATTACTATGAAGGAATATCAAGTGCAGGGTGGAAGACAATCCACTCCCTACACCAAACCCTACCTCTAGTCAACCTGCATCCCCACGGTACCTACAACCATTTACTACGGAAGTTTTTATTGTCTGAAGCCTGTATGCTTTCCGAGAACGCCATCTGTATATCAACAAAGCATTTGTGATGGAAGGTTCAACGATACGTTAGGATTTTTTCATGTCCGGGTGGGTTCATATAATCAAGGTGATAGAAAATCTTTCTGTCTATATTTTCAGATAATGATAACTGTATATATCAATACCATCATTCTATCCTGTTTGAAGTTATTCACATGATTGAGGTCAGATTAGTTCTATCATAATCAGTGCAATATATTAAGGTTTTGTGGATTAGATTGGTCTGAAGACTTGAACCTAAATAGAAGCTTGATTTCGTCGAGAATTGACTTGAACCTCCACATCAACTAAGATGGAAGGACCTGTCCATGCAGGAATCAGCAAGGTGGAGAGGAATGTCGATCACTGGGGAATGTTTCAGGAGATGTGTCTTGATGCCAGGGATATCAGGCAGCCACTGTGGGCCGCCAAAAGTGGTGCCTTGACTGCCTTGTTTCGAAATCCTTTCTTCACATTTCTTCATCCTTCACGATCCCTCCGCGATCCTTCTTGATCCACTTTGAATCCTCTTCATATTCCTTTCCCTCATTGGTTGCCTAGATAGATGAATATTATGAAGGGTCCAGCATCAAGCGATAGAATGACATGATGGACCCTAGGTGTGATCGCAGCTAATGTGACGCCAGGCGGCAGATCCACCCTGATCGATCGTCAGCACGAGAGACGGCCATGCAACGTCATCCGCGAATTCTTATCTTCGTACGACCCCGGCTATCGGTCAATTATCAGATTCTCCCCCTTCTACCTGCATTCCGCACCGAATTCCCTTCAGACTCCTGCGACATCGCATTGTCAATCGTTCGCCCCGCGCTATAGTACTTCAGCCCTGGCGAGGTTCCACAGTTGGTATCTCGGGGCCTTTTCTGTAACATTCTTGTGGACCTATTGTCGACCCCTACGCCAGTTAGGCATCTCTCGAAGACGATGTCCTAGGCATTTTCTCTCTTTCTACGCGTGCCTGCGCAGGATGCGCCCACTCTGGCTCCACCCGCTCACACGATGTTAGCCAGGGCGCTGGACTTAATACAATGGCCTTTCGCTCCCCGGCGGGGGAGCGATCGCAGGCTGGGATCGAAATTCACGCGCCGCCTCCTCCATATCATGCTGATTCTGTCGTTTCTCTCCATCGTCTCTTACGTTTTATGCATGAAGAACGCTAGACCCGACATCCGCATCCCTCAACGCCCCATCTATTCATACGCGCCCGGTCGTGGAACCAATCTCCACATTCATGACCCCAGCATAGTCAGTGTTGACGGTACATATTATGCCTACGGCCACGGAGAACACATTCCCATTCACCAAGCGCCAAATCTAGATGGGCCGTGGACGCATGCTGGCAGCGTCCTAGACCACGACAGTATCATCGAAAAAGGAAACCGCAAATTACTTTGGGCGCCCACCACCGTCGAGGTCGACGGCATCTTCTACTGCTACTACTCGGTGAGTAGGCCTGGGAGTCGCGACAGCGCCGTCGGCGTCGCTACATCTGCCAGTCCCGGCCCTGGCGGCTGGACTGACCATGGGGTCGTCGTGCAATCCGGCACAGGTGAGGGGACCAGTAGCCACCCATTCGACATTTCCAACGCCATCGACCCTAGCGCCATCGTCGTTAACGGTCAGGGCTACCTAAACTTTGGCAGTTACTGGACCGGGATCTGGCAGGTACCGTTAAATTGGGACCTCGTCTCCGCCGCGACCCAGGCGGGTGGTAAATCTGCCCGACATCTCGCGTTCGAACCGTGGGCGGTCTTCCCGCGCAGCAAAAGCACGAACCCGCTCTACGGTGACCCAACCGGCGGACACCCCGTCGAGGGGGCCTTCATTTCATATCACGCGCCATATTACTACCTCTGGTACAGCTGGGGGAAGTGTTGTGACTTTAATCCAAAACATCTTCCCATTCGAGGAAATGAGTGCGTCCATCCTTTTTTGCTACCACGATGCTATTCTGATATCCCGAACAGATACAGCATTCGCGTCGGACGATCCTCGAGTCCACGAGGACCGTTCGTCGATCGAAACGGTGAGGATCTCACCCGAGGAGGCGGCGAGATCATCTACGGCTCGAACGGCGATATATACGCCCCTGGTGGGCAAGGTGTTCTGACCGTCGATGGAATCGATATACTTTACTACCATTACTGTATGTTTTTTTTTTTTTTTTTCTTCACATGTCCTTGTCACGCAGCGGCTCACATGATACAGTAAACAGAACCATCAGCTACGCACACAAGGTAAGTTCTTTTTATCTTCCCTTCTAAAAGAAGTAGTAGTAATGCTATATAGGAAGCCCGACTAGGTTACAACCTCTTGGCGTATGTTGATGGATGGCCGATTGCATTGTAGCATCTTAAAGATAGACATAAGACTAATGATTGGCGGAGTATTGGGTATAGATATTATCATATAATGCGGATTCATGTAGAGTATCATATTCACCAATTATCATTTCCTGTGGAGATAGTAATGGTTATAGATCGAGTATCAAAAATTGTACAGTGGTAACAACCCGCTTCGACCATCACATTAACGTGAAGACGGTAACGTGCATAACTCATCATTAGGGCTCGATAATTCCATAGTCAAGGTAGAAGACAACCAAAGCAAACAAGTCCATACTATGCCAGTCTGACCAGCCTGTGTCTACTATGTAGAACCACTGCATCTTCAACCCCTCTCCATCAACCAGCTCGCAAACACTAAACAAAGCAAATCAGATCAAGCCAAAACAACACATAAAGTCCACCCAAACCCCAGAAGACAAGATCACCAGAAGAACAGAAAATCCCCACCATGAAAAGACAATCAACTACCTCCCCCAAAGCGACGTCCTCGCCCTCCTAACCCCAGGCCTCTCAGCACCCCTCACCCACCTTCCACTTCCACTTCCACTCCCTCTCTCACCCTCAGACGTAGACACAGGAGAAGAAGAAGAAGAAGAAGAAGACGAAGAAGAAGAAGAATCCCCCCTCAACGGCATCAACAAAGGCGACGAGAACGCCCTCAACGAGGCTAACACGCCCCTTCCCCCACCCACGAGACGACCCCTCCTCGGCACGGGGGTAGTCTGTCCTGATCCCGAGGTACTAGTCGTACTAGTGAACGAGATAGTGGACGGTCTTGGGGTGGTCGATCCGCTTTCTTCATCGTCGCTTTCGTGCGCTTCACCGTTTAGTTTTGCGGAGTTTGTAGTGCCGGGGACGGTGGTGGTGGTGGCAACAGTGGTGATGAGGGCATCTGTCCCAGGTAAGACGGCTAGAGGAGTCGGTGGTGCCAGAGTAGGCTGTGCCTGTAGCTGGGTATGTGTTGGGTGAGGCTCTGTGGGGTGCATGGTGTCGATGCTCGGGCCGAGATCAAGGACGCTGATGTCGCTGTCGCTGTGGTGGTTGGGAGGTCTGGTTGGGGGTGGGGGTGGAATGGTTGATGGGGTTGTTGTTGATGGGGTGGACGGGTGGTCTGGGTCTGGGGGGGAGATCTTGATGGTTGGGGTTGTGGGGGATGGCATTTTGGTTATTCTTGCTTGATTTATTGATTGTGGATTTGAAGAGATTTGAGATCAGAGAGAGAGAGAATGTGTTGAGGTTGTATATCGGTACCTAACTAATCAAGGAAAGAGCATGGATTAGATATGATTATGACAGTAGATGGAGTGAAGTATAAGACATGAACATGGAAAGAACGTACGCAGTAGTTCCTTCTATTCTGAGTGGACATATAGTAAGTAAAAAGGTAGAGCAAGCAGAGATACTTTACACAGCATGAGAAACAACTCACATATATACCAACAGTGGCGAGTACGAATGTACCCCGTGCCGTCATCATAAAAGAAAGTGACTTGAGGAATATCAGCTGTCGTATAGTATGTCGATCATCAATATAGAGCGCTGATCAGCCGAGATATCTTGAATGACCTGATCTTGCTCATTACTCAGGCGAAAGCAGCAGACATATATTACATGAAGTTAGTATTCATTCTGTTTCATACTTCCTTAATATAAAAGTACAGAAAACAAAAAGAACAGACTCGGCAGTACAAACACGAACTAGAACAAAAAACGACAAAGCAAATAAATAAAAGAAAAGGTCGTACCCGGGATCGAACCGGGGTCAATGGAAACTTAAACCTGTCTTTTTCAAGCAAATCAAAATCCACGGGGATAACCTCTACCCCATACGACCGCATCTTAGATATTTGCCACCTTTAGTGATTTGTACGTCTGTCTTTAGCCCACGGATTCTTGAATCATCGTGGTCTCAATCATCTGTCATACTTAAGTAGGGCTCGTTACTGCCCTATCTTGTAACCAGATCTACTTATTATGATTTCTATGAAGATATGTATTCGAAGAGACGGTGAAACTGTCGATGACATCACATCTGATATACTGGAGTGGTTGTTCTGCATGATACCTCCATCTTACCACCACAAAGCTATCTCCTGACCCTCCAGATGACTAGCCAATAACAATGACCATGATCAATGCAGGTGATACCTAGGTACCTACAGGTTTGGGATGGAGTACCGCACTTCAAGCGAAGAATTACATAAGAATAAAGGAAGGAAAGAAAAAAGAAGTAGAAAAAGTGCCAACCCAAAGTCTAGCACATGAAATTCAATTCATCGTTTGTCTGCATGCACAGCTAAAAGCTGCACGCCTCGACCACTGTACTTATCCATATCCGTATCCACACCCTCCAGTCAAAGCTTTTGTTCTTGTTTCTTTTTTTTCTTTTCATTTAGGAATCTGACATGTTTTGTCAGATCCGTGCACACCTCTTCTCGATAGAAAAATATAATAAATAGTTGTATGCAAGGACGGCTTTCATACGCCATCCAAAAACCCCAGTAAATGCATCATCATATCGGACAGACACTCCATGCTTCACCATCCAAGGACTGGCCTGTCTCCGCCTCCTCGCCGGGTTTGGGGTTCGAGACTAGAAGGGGAGAGGACAAAGGCCAAATGTCTAGAAAAAAAAGAGATAGTAATGAAGGAAAAGAAAAAGGAAAAGAAAAAAGACCAACTGCTTAAGCAATCGTCTGCTGAAATGTTCGGGTCTCGCCTATCGGCGACCCTATCTATTCGTAAACCTCCTGCTTCTCATATCCTCATCCTCACGTCTCATGGGCTAAGACTGGTCATCCTCCGCTCGCAGCTCCACCACGGGCATCTCCTCGTCATCATCGTCGCCATCCAGCGGGGGCGGAACGAGATCCTGCACAAATTCATCCATAGGAGTCCCGGGACATCTGGGCCCAGTACCAAACGGACTATCCGTCAAAGAGGCTAGAGGGAAATCGTTATCGCTGAGGTCCCCACCGCCGACAGCGCAGTCGCTGGCGATTTCGTCGTCGTCGTCATCCTCGATACCAAGCCGGCTGTCGTTATCAGAGATGGATCCCGGAAGCGCTGTTGTCGTCGTTGTTGCTGTAGTCATCTGCGAAGGGCCGTAGTGAGCATCCGAGATTCGATCGAACGACCAGAAGGGCGGATCCGGGAAATGGGTCGCGGTGGAGTCGCCAAACTCAGCTTCTTCATTGTTCATACCTTCCTGTCGGTGCGCCCCGTCGAGGCTCGTTTCCCCGACTGTAGGGCTGTGCGAGTACTGCGGCGGCTGGTCCTTTTTAGCCGGGCGCGTTCCATCCTGTGAGCCAACGCCCGACTGGGGAGCTGCTCCGGCTCCGGCTGATCCGCTCGACGACCCATTGCGAGAGGAATCGCCGAAGCGCCGGCCTTCCCCCGACAGGGACTGCGCCCGGGACTCGTTCCGGGACCCGGCTTCGCTGGATGGCCGTGTGGATGACTCGGTGATCTCCTCGAGGACCTTGCCGCCCAGCGGACGGTCGGATCGGCGGCGGTAGAACAGTAGATAGGCCGACGATGTGACCACGTTCTGGGGGTCAAGCGCCCTCGAGACGGAGGAGTCTGGTACGGTTAGCGGTTTCTAACGGATACTTTTCAGTGAAAGTGACCTACCATTATACTCATTCCACTGGCCCGTCATGAAGTTCTTGGCATACGCCGTGTAATGACCACCGCCGAGCCCACCATAGTGGTTGTCGACAGCGAACAGATCATAGATCAGGCTCTTACCCTCCTCAGGACACTCGACGCGTCCAGTCATATCGAGCCCCTCCACCGGGAAGTCGACAAGCAGATCTAGCTTGTCTCGGAAGCTGCGAGTGGCACTAAATCTCTTCAGGTGCATGACCAGAATGTCTGGTGTCTTCCAGAGCTCGAACTTCTTGCTGGCGCGGCGGTGCTCTTTGCAGCGAGGGCAGTACCAAGCGTCGTTCTCGGAGAGCACCTCTTCCTTGTTGAACTCGTCCAGACACTCGTATAGGGAGACGCCCCGCTTCTTGCGCGTCTGCCGCAGTTGTCGTCGCTTGGCGAGCTCGGGGTCTTGCAGCCTCTCCACACTGGCCCAAGTGGCTTTGCCACGGACCGAATGCGGGTCTTTATCTTCCGAAAACAAGGCATCGTAGGCCTCCTCGGTCCAGTCAAGAACCAAGCCTTCCCCTGGACACACAAAGGGACGCGTCTGAACCGGTGCCTTGGGAGTGGCGGGCCGAGAGTCGGCGTTTAACCCATCCGAGCTGCTGTCTGAGGCACTGCTCGCGCTCTCCTGGCCGGAGCCTTCACTGCCGTTGACCTTCTCGGACTGTTCCTTGACATCGTTAGTGCGATCTTCAACGTTAGATGCACCGAGTCTTACCTGTTTCGGTACGGTAGCCGGCTTGGTCCTGCGGAAAGCCATCCGAGGGCAGTTCTTGCTGTCTTCCAATGAAGAGAAGCCGGTTGGAACAGCTTCATTCGAACCCTTCATGATCTTCACCTCGAAGAGCTCCCGGAATCTTGAAGGAATTGTGCTCTCGATAGCATCCGAGTGATGCTTAGCCTTCTGGGAGCCCGCGTCGGACGCGTCGCGCATGGAGACGTCCACCATCCCATCCTCACCGTCCACGGAAGATGTCTTGATCTTGGAATCAGCCGACCGCGCATCGTCGTCGTTCATGACAACCGTGTCCGAGTCTTCCTGCTGGGTGTCCTCGCCCGGCACCTCCTCGTTGAGGAAATCGCGGGTGGTCATGGTGCTAGCCCTGACCAGAAGCTTTCGGATAATACTGTCGTAGCAGTAAGCTTCGTCCCGGTTGATGACAACATACGACGGGACGCCGAAGAGCCGCCAAGAACTGTTCTTGTAACCATTGGATTTCCGGTACTCGACCCGATTGAAAACCGGAATCAGCATTTTCTCGGCCTTGGGGGAGTCGATCGTCGGGATCACTTCATGGTCGGAGCGACCGAAGGCGTAATATCCACGCGGAGCCTTATCCGGGTCGTAATTGGTTGGCACGGACTCGACCTCGAAGATACCGATGTCGTCATTTCCGCCGATCTGGGTCTCGGCGATAGAGCTCAGGTTGTCGAACATCTTGTAAAACTTCCGTTTGTAGATCTCGGCCATGATCAGCTTCTCCGGATCCGATCCCATCTTCTTGGCAAAGAGCTCCTTGAGCGCTTTGATGCTGGAATTCTTGTCGATTTCGATGTCGACGAGGACCGGCTTCTTGTCGAGACCAAAGTAATAGATGTTCTTGTTCCAGACATTCTCGATCGGCAGCTGGAGCGTGAGGTTGTTGAACGGGTCGAAAATGATGCTGACCTTGTCGCACGCCGGACAGATCAGAGTCGACTTATACATGCCGGCGAACAAGTCCGTGATGACGGAATCGTTGCGGGCCTTGTAGATGTCCCAGCATCGGTCAGCAAAGTCAGCGAGGGCCGCCTTGTTATGGACCATCTCATCGGTCGAGTCGGGTTTCTCAATGTAGGGCTTCTTCTGGATCCTGTTCAAGTCCTCCTGAAGACCGTCGAGGAGGAACAGAAGGAACTCCTGGGAATCTTGCTGTCCATATCCGGAGAAAGCAGGGCCATATCGACCAATGGTATTCTTTAGCTGCCGAGGAGCGAAAGAGGATGGCGCCGACTCGTCGTAGATTGACCGCAGCAAGTTGGCATAAGCCTTGGCAACCTCGCCGTTATGAGCCAACGGGTTACTGGGGTTGAGGTCTTTCTTGTATCTGTCATCTGAGAGATCGTCAGTAAACTCATCGCTTCCACATGTGCATATCAAGACATACTCAAGAAGTAGTGGCAGAGTTCCTCGACACTCCGCACGCATTGCAAGGCCGAGTTCATGTAGCAGGTGTTTCCCAAATTACTCAGACCAGTGTTTCCACGAGGCTTGCCGTCCTTCTTGCGCCCTCTGATAGGCTCCGGCGCAGGGGAGGTCCGCCCACTGGCGGGTGGGCTCTGGTTCTTCAACTTCGACGTCGCTTCCTTCTTCGGAGTAGTGGTAGTGGTTCCATTCGTGATGCCAAGGCGACTCAACGTGTGCTTTGACACCTCCGAGGCCCAGGTTCCGCCATTGGGCCCGGGCACACGTTCCTCGAGAACGAGCACTGCGCTGGCACCGAGTCCGATGAAATCCAACGAGGATTTGCCGTTGAAATTCTCGTTGGCCGTCTGATCTTTGAGATCGATGGCCTCACGCTGCGCACCCTCGGATAGGGAGAGAAACGTGTTGGAGTCGATGACAAGATTGCTACCCGCATTGGAAGCACCCGCAGCAGTCGGCGCCGGCGAGGCACTGCGTGAAGCGGCCGGCGTGATGGCGGCCGACCCAGTTGCGCTGCTTAGGCCGCCCAGGATTCTCCAGATGCGAACCTTGGTGGAAATATTGACATTGGCCAAACCCTTGGCTTCTCTCAGCCACTTCTGAGCATTTGCATGCCGACTGGACAGCACCCTGGCAGGTTTCCTCGACTTGTCTTTCAAGGCGTGTGGCGTCGTGCCCGTAGACGGATTGGGGAGCTTCAGGATCGTAAAAATGGGAGGGTTGATCTCGTACTGGACATTTTCGGCAGCGCCCACCGGGCTGGTGTTGTG